AGATAATTAAATAATAATTTAGCTTAATCTATTTTAGCCTAATTAGGCTACCTATGTCTATGCAGAGCTTTAGGGTAATTCTTTTATCTATAGAAAGCAGCAGACTGTAAGTAAGCTATTCTAAAGGCGCTACAGATAGTGTAATTAGACTAGGCATAACACACAAATATGTAAGTAAGAAGTAGAAGTAGTATCTAAATAATATTCTAGGCTGTACTGTACTATATAGTGCTAGAGCGGGTTGTTATAGGCTATAATAGAGTTTGTTAGGGTGGGGTCTTAGCAAAAGTGAGCGACTCAGGTGTGTGAGCAACTCGCCCGTGAAGTACGTTAAGTAAGAAAAGAGTAGTAGGGGTTAAACCTGCTAACCTCTAGTCTATACTCTGTTTAGAGTAGCTGTATGGATGGTGGTAGGAGCTCTCTCGCTAGGCGGCTGAGCTAGCTGAGATAAGTTTTCTCCATTGATATCTAGTGCCAAGACTGCCAGAGTGATCTACGGTTCTTTTGCTTCTTGAGCCACGCCACGCCCTCTCCTGTCCACTTGTTTATCTTCTTACAGCGAAAACCACAACAGAAGAATTCCACCCCGCTACAGCATGCAAGACTGGAAGCTCCATTGGCGACTGTGAATTCCCCTCTACGAGAGTTGTTGAACCTGTGCCATTACTTCATCAACCCAGGTGGCGCAGTCCGGAGCAGGTGGATCTGGGTTCTTTTCGAAAAAGACTCGTTCGTCATGGGGCGGTGGCTGAGAGGCTGCGATCTCCTCGAACTTTTCGAGATTTGACTTCGGCAACTGGCAGACACATTCCGATTTCTCATACGACTTCGACCTCGCAAAGTTATAGGCTGGTCGCGATTCGTAGTCCATCCCCATTCCCACATTTCCTTTGACGTGATAGAAGCGACCCCTGCCTTGATCTATGAGCTGCGCAGGGACGAGAGCTATTCCGACATGGCTTGGACCAGAAGCTTGTGAAAAGTAAACTTTGTAGACATTATATGTAGTCGTCATCGTTAAGAATAGGATGATGTGCGATACTTGGGTAGGATATGAATTAGACAGGCGTAGATGCGATGAGTATTCGAATTGTTTTGGTGAATTTACTGCTCTGGAATTTTCTCTTCCAACAGAAGTTGGTCCATGTTTATACTTGATCCTTCCATAACCACATGTATCAATCGCCCCTATCCATTCGGGATCCACTGTATCCGTAATAGTTCAGCACAGGGCAAAAGAAGCAGCTTTGTGCGGCTCAAGGCGATTTATTGGTTTTAGCGTTTAATTTAGAGACGGAATCTTCAACGCTAATAGCCGCCGAAGGATGAAACCAACCTGAAGCGCTGCTTGCTATATCGAGGCCCAGCAAATCCGTAGGTGCTGGCCATGAAGTCGGAGAACTATCCTTAGATGAAAGATAAATTACGTTGATTTGCTGCTGATAAACTTAGGTCGGCTATGAAGCCACTGGCAAGCCGTAAGGAGGCATCCGCGTGGCGGCATGATGAGAGCTATAATCTGCCCGCGCGGCATTTACGGCGACGAAGATGAAAACAGAAAAGCGTCCACTTTACAGCTGTGAGCAGAATTGGTTTCTTGTTTGCTCTTTAATTTTGTTCCTACCACAGGGTTCCCTCAACAGGGGCAATTTTCTAAGTCAATTGCAGTTAGCGCCATATCAAGTCGGCCGCATAATCAGTACAGGTTTCCGCTTTAGAAGGCCTGGACAGAGGTGGAGTGTCCTTGGAACGCCGTATTTTGCCCGAGGCATCAAGGATAATATTTGGCTCTACGTTGTGACACGCGTGAGTAACGTTGGGCAACTCAGCACAGCCTGCTCAGCTAACTTCCTGTGTCTTTGTAACTTCACGACTGTACAAAGCTATATAATGTCAAGGTCCAGCATTGCATAGTAATCCCGTGAATGCAGCTGAGTGGCAGCGAGGGGCCTGCGGCAGCTGCATCTTCCAGTCTTGCTCAGCAACTGCATAGCGGGTTGCCTGATTCCGGGCCCTCGCCGCATGATCGGTTTCTCGGATTAGAACGTTGATCAAGGATTCTCAGATGAAAAGGTTGTGAGTACGGAAATATTAATACGTTTGTATTGAAAAGCTATGTACATTCTGCCGCCATTTTCGGCAGCATATGCCACCCTTTTCGTAGGGCGTTGTCGTCGGTGGTGAGTCTGTATAGTGCGGCAGGTATCGACCCAGAAGTATCGTAAACCATCGCATTCAGTTTGTTGTCCACAAAACTGAATCTTTTTGTAGCCAGCCTTGTGCAGTCCGGTACCATCTATCAAATCGCGGAAGGTGAATTCATGGCCCACATTCCAGGTATGTGAGAGAATCCCATAGGGAGGAATGAGATCTTCGCTTGAAAAGTCCTTGGTGGGGGTGATCTCGCTCGTGTTGCTGCGTTGTAAAAGTCACATTTCCTTGTTTGGGGGTGGGTGGAGGTTTGGAAGATGGGTACAATGGAGGGTCAAGGAGGCAGCCTACCTATGAAAGTTAGCAAGCATGCAAGAAGATCAGACGTTGAGTTATACGGAAGAACTAGATCTACAAGCAAGACATAAACAGTGCTTGGGATTCTGCTGTGCCTTAGCAGCCCTTAGTTTGTTAAGAAGGAAGTTGAGACGACCTTTCGTTTGGTAGGGTGTGGCTGATTTGGCAGGCAGCAATTTGGCTTCAGAAGGGTAAACCATGAGCTGATTGTGTACAGCTCTGTATATTTTTGGGGCCTAGATTGTCTGATTAGGAAATAAATCGTGTAATGGGACATTGGCTGAGGTGCAGGCCAACGTGACTGCATTAACACGCCACATAGCGACTTAGCCGTGTGCATTCCCCATTCCCCACTACCGGATCCTGAATTATGCTAGTATAGAAACGGAATTCGGAAAACAGAAAACAAAAAGGCTGGAGAACAGTCCCTTGATCGACGGCGAATCGGAGAGGATCTGGGGTTCGGACTGTTCTTGGTCCCACGGTCGTATGTACTAGGAAGAGAAGTCTAGGGGCTTCTGAACTAAGAAAAAAATATGTGTTTCAAGGTATCTCTCATGATACCTGGATGTGCTAGAACAACAGCCCTAACCGTTGCTGGAAGAAGGGATTGTTCTAGTGTGAATAATCGAGCACGGTTTGTATTGATTTGATGTTATGAGTGTGAGTGTTTTTAAAGATTATGGTGTTGGAATGAGTTCTTCTTTCACTCTGGTATTGAATCAAGTAGCAACGCTTCACGCTCTTGCCTGAGTCTCCGTTACAAGAATATAAGACACAATCCCAAAACTTGGAAGGCAGGCGCAATTCATAGAACATTAGAAACCTCAAGTATCCACTGCTATTAAAGAAACCATGGAACAAGGAACTCTCTAAACATGGAAAAAAATCGTCTTGCGTTGTCTTCACTACGTGATTCACGCACTCATTCCGAGCATCCAATGAAGAGGAGCTAAACGCAGGATATATACAAGAAGAGTTTCAACATCCAACTCCGAAGACCAACGCCGGATAGACTTTCATCCAAAAGAATCACAACAGCTACTCCTCTCGTATGCGGCCGAGCCGAAGGCAGAAACTGAGCGAGAGACAACGGTACCGCACCTTTCAAAAGAAGGGGTGGGCAAAGAGGAAATCCGAAGAAAGCAAGTACCGGGCGCCCCGCTAGATATGTGCAATGCTGAACGCTCGAAAAGTATGACCGTGTGATCGAGGGAATAACTAAGACCTCCATCTAGTAGTAGTACGTCAACATCATTAAAATAGGTTGCGTGTGCGAGAACGAGGTTTTTGCTAGGGATAGAAAAAGAAACACCGAATTGTTGTAAATGCCACCAGGTGCAATGTGTAGGCAGCACCATCAGCCACTTTCTATGAGATCTCGAATTTTGGCATAGAATGACGCTGGGTATTGCTTTATCTCTTCATCCGTCGGAGCGTTTTTGCTCGGATCACGGAAGCGATCTGCAACTCTTTGGATGATCTGGCCGAGCAAATCTTGTGGGATGCGGAGATCCTCACCACCATCGGGGTAGAGGAAGGGGTCACGTTCGTCTAGTAGTTGCGGGATTGTGGGACGTTTCCAGGGCTCTCGTTGCAGGCAGCGTCGGAGTGTGGCTTTCAGGCCTGGGGGGATCCTCACGCCTCCTACCCCCTCGTCTGGATATTGGATGGGAAGACGGGGGTTTACTATGGCCATTACGCGGTGAATTTGGTTCGGAATGTGTGCAAAAGGTGGTCGACCGTACACCATCTGATAGAGAATACAACCAAGACTCCATACATCACTTGGTTTTCCGAGTTTCATCATCTTGGCTACATTGCCTGCTCCAAGCTGCCCTCGCATATCCGCATTCGTGTCTTCTAGACTTTCAGGAGACATGTAATTCGGAGTGCCGACGTGAGAGTCTCGATGAACATTTACAGTGTTGTCTATGTCGATTGCGTTGGCGATACCAAAGTCGATGAGTTTTAGGCGGCCTTGCACGAGGAGGAAATTGGCAGGTTTGAGATCTGAATGGACGATATCATGGTCATGGACGGCCTGAACACATTCGAGCATTTCCTTCCAGTAGTAGCGCGTAAAACTGAGGTCTAATCTCGCCTCGGCTGGGTCTAGCTTCATACGTATTATCCGAGCGAGATCGGATTCACCCAGCTCCATTAGCTACAGAATTGTTAGGTTTGGAATGCTTGTAAAGGTTTCGGATGTTATCACACAACTTACCACACTTAGTATCTGCCGCGATTCGTCTACTTCCCAGTCGTAGAGCCGGACCACTCTTTCCACATCGTTTAGCTTCTGTAGTAGATCAATCTCGCCCTTGTATCCTCGTACAGCAGACTCGTCCGCATCCTCGAGCTTCACTCTTTTTAGCGCAAATAACCTAAAATTCTCCGCCATAACCCGATATACGGCAGAACTTCCCCCTCTTCCAATTCGGTCCATCTGCGAATAATGCTTTCCATTGACAGCGAGCTGACTCCTCTTCTTCCTCTCCCGTGTCTTCGTAGTTGCAGCACCTGCGGCGGCAGTAGCTGTCTCTAGTACTGACATTTTCGGCGGAGGTGGTGGGGCTGGTCGATGCGGAGTGTTTGCGCTAATGGGCTGCAGTGGCATCGGTCTGTCCTGTCTTGAGATATGGACAGGCGATCGTGGTTGGAGCGGTTGACGGGGCTCGTTGTTTTCGGCAACTTTCATTACAGAATCCGTCGGCTTCATGGTGTCGACCCCCATCACCGAAATAGGGAGATTTTCCTGGTCCTGTGAAGGAGGGTGCTCCTCCTCGCTTTGAGGTGTCCTCCGTAGCCTCCTCATTGGTGCCCCCCGAAGTGGAACCCTTTTTATGCGGAGACTAGGGGCGGGGGTGACTGTATCCTGTACAGGCGTGTTCGATCCAGACCCTGTGCGTGATATCCGTAGTTTCGGCTTCCTTCCTGCTGCCTTCTCCGGCGAATCTACTTCGTTTTGCGCGAGCAGTGCGGTTGTCAAGGCACTGAGCTTCATGGGCTGCGGTATCTCGTCGTCGGAACTGTCGCCAATGTTGATGTTTTGCATCATCGGCGCATCTGCCGAAAAACCATGAGACTGTCCCAACACAGACAGCGGTGAATCTCGTCGCCGCATCGGCCGAATTGTGGACTGAGAGTACATTCGTCCGAAGCCATTGGACGAGCCCATGGGGGTAGGAGACGCGGTCGCCATTGTATCGCTGGGCTCGGGCTATCTATAGTCCAGCAGGTGAATCGTAAGAGCGAATGTCGACCGATTGATTAGCTTTCCATACATAAGGCGCGGATTTCCGGCGGCTGTCGTAGTAGCGATGCGGTTGCGGAGACGTTCAAGTTGGCCGTTGAAGGAAGCGCGTGTGCTGCAGGTGAGTTCGCGTGGTAACCGAAGCAACGCCGGTAAATAAACAAAAGAACCGCACACGATAATTTTATGCTCTCTTGATGAGCGCATCTAATCACTAGCATAACCTTATTTGAACATCGGTTCGTTATCTTGCACTGCGGCATAGTCGTAGCACCGACGAGAACAATGGTTGCAGTTCTGTCAAACTGGATTCATGGTACATAAATCTAACCAAGAGCACCGCCCAATATGTCTATGCAATCCATCTCTAAAAGCATCCTCAAACGCCGGCCCATGCGATCCACATGATACAATTACATTATACAGGAATGCGCGATTTTACGATACTATGTCCTCGACCACGACAGCGACCACCGCAGCGATATCGTCCGGTTTTCCACCATGCCAATTCTCACCGGGGAAGTTCTTCTGTACCTCTTTCGCAAACGGACCGTCTCGTCGGGTGTTGAGACTAGTCTCTTTGGCCTCTTTCGCAATAGCAATGGCGAGTTTGGCTTGGAGGGAGTCGTTGTCAGCTTTACGATCCCGTGTGGCTTGGGTTAATTTGGGCAGGTCAGGGCCAACCTCCAGAACGCCGTCTTTCTCTTCCCAAGCACCAAGATCGATCATAGAGCGGCTCACAATGCTCAGCGCATCCTGCGGGCTCAGATTGTCCCACACTCCGTCCGTAGCGAAAATGAGCACATCACCATGGCGTACTAGGTGATGTGTTACATTCGACTCCTTTGGAAGGTCAGATAGGGCGCTTGTACCCCCGAATACCGCCATCTGGACCAACATGCGTTCTGGGGTTTTAGAGAGCTGGTATGGAGTGTTGAAGGCATGAGTCTGTGGTTGAGTGAAGTGTCGCACAGCGTTCAACCCCAAATGCATGAAGCCAGAATCGCCGAGGTTGGCCACTTCGACATTCCCATCTGGTTCTGCGACAGCGAGACATGCTGTGCTGCCACCACCGACAATCCCACGGTCCACCATGACCTCGTCGTACCCCGCCTGGAGCAGGTCTTTCGGATGTAACGAATTCGACCTAGCTCCCTGTGGCCACATTCGAGCGGCGCAAGCCATGTACTCGCACAGCCCGTGTGAGAAGTCGGCAGGGTCCACACCAGACTCAACCCAGCCGCCAACGCCGTCCGCCACCCCAAATGCTGTAGTTCGTGTGGTCCCAACCTGGCTGAAAAAGAATGCATCTTGTCCACTTTTCGGTCGCGCTCGCTTACCCGAGGAAGCTTTGCACTCCTTAAAGCTCAGGAAGCCGCTCTCGGCGGGATCGAAAACATCCCTCGTGAAGGTATTCTTGTCCGCATTGAACCTGTTACCCTTTGCTGAATATGACGCGGCTACGTGATACGAGAATTGGGTGGTGCTACTCCAATTGTGCGAGGAAGAGTGGAAGGAGCGAACGCCTGAAATCGCGGGGCACGTGGCCTTGTTGATCGGACATGTTGGCAGTGAAGAGAGAGTTCTCTGCGACTGAAAGCTGGCGGTTCGGGGAGAGGCTGCGTGCGCCAGCAGCGAGGAGGTCGATAGATAGAGAAGCAGGAGGCCGGAGGAGGATGACGACGGCGACGAGCTTGCTTGGGATGTCAGCCGAGTTGACAGACGCAGTGCACTTGCAATGGCGAATCCCATGGCCGCAGCCCAAATCTGGAAGGGCACAAGTGTCAGCGATAGGACAGTGGCGGGAATGCGCGAAGTCGAGGGAGAAGCATGATGAAGGTGAATTACCTGTGTGACGAGAGAACTTTTGGACCAGGGATAAGATGGCCTGCTTGGCATCGGCGGATGGCGGCGAGCGTCCATTGATGGCTTATCAAGACGGAAGTAGCGAGAGGCAAACAGTACAGCCGTAAAAAATCAAGATCGCGCAGACACAGACTCGCGACTCCATCCCGACATACCTGGATGTTGCCAGATCCCAAGAGTTTCAGCATCAGCCTTGCGCAATCCTCACAAAACGTGTTCAGCCCTATGGACGGGTAAATCTCGGGGCCAGGTCCTCAGGCACTTCACTTCTACCACCCCACATCGCGATCTCTGTTTGCCTCCGCCACGAGGGAACCTAAATCAACATGGCCATGCACCCAGCACGGCAGGCGTATGTGGAGGAGGGGGAGCCCGAGGTAAGCCATGCTCTTGACTCTCATCCAAGCTTGCAAGTGCTCAACCAAAGACAAGCTATCGGCGGTTCCCCAGGCGGCATGGCTTTTCGCGCGGAGGCTGACCAGACCGCGGGCTCTAGGACCAAGAGATGGAGGGGATTGATCTCGCCAATGTCCGTAAGTATAGACACGTCCTCCTCCACCTACTCGTCGCACACGTTGACACGTGCTACAGCAATCGACCGCGACCACTATATCCCAACGGTGACGCCCGGCGCACCAAACGAGAAGGCCTCTGAGCTTCTATCGCAGTTCGAGCGCAAACGCCGAGTGGCACAGCTCATAGTGCCCACTGCTGATCGCGATGTGAAGGCTCGTCTTCGCTCCATTGGGGAACCCATCACCCTGTTTGGCGAAGGCCCGTCGGAGAGGCGTGATCGTTTGCGAGAGCTGCTTGCTCTTCAGGCAGAAGCAGCGGGCGAGGATGGTGATATTCAGATGCAGGATGCGGATGAGACGGCGGGAGAAGAACAAGAGGAATTCTACAGTATAGGTCAACCAAGGCTGCTGGAGGCTCGGAGAGATCTGGCTAAGTTCTCGCTTCCACGAGCCAAAGCACGTGTGGCTTTTCAGCGACTAGAATCTTCAATTTCGCTGAAGACACACGTCGAACACCGGAACCGCATCAAGGAGCGCCTCCAAGGCTTCGATTTGTACGGCTCGCAAACCTCCGACCGTCCAGTGGGCATCGTTAGATTCTCTCCCAGCGGCGAATACGTTGCGTGCGGAACCTGGGCTGGACAAATTAAGCTATTGGACGTGCCTAACCTCATGCCGAAGAAGTCCTATCGTGGTGGCCACCAAGACCTCACAACTGGCATCGACTGGCGACCGGGAGCGACACTTCCGGAGAGCGGAGTCTCTCCCTCATCCCTGAATCTTGCTTCCGGTGGCGGGGGTGGAAAGATCCAGCTGTGGTCGTTAGAGGAAGACAAGCCCCTTTCTACTTTAGAGGGTCACACCGACCGCGTGTGTAGGATAGAGTTTCACCCCTCTGGCCGCTACCTTGCTTCTGCATCGAACGACACGACATGGCGTCTCTGGGATGTCGAGACTTCCGCCGAGTTACTCCTCCAGGAAGGCCATTCAAAAGAAGTCTTCACAGTAAGCTTCAACACCGATGGTTCATTGCTTGCAAGCGCAGGCTTGGACAGTATTGGCCGCGTTTGGGATATTCGCAGTGGCCGCGTTATCTACATTATGGAGAGTCACATCAAACCTATTCACGGTGTCGACTGGAGCACCGACGGCTATCGCTTGATCACGGGATCTGGGGACGGTTTCATGAAGTGCTGGGATGTTCGCGCTATGCGGGAAACAAACAGTATCGGTGCCAACTCAGGAGGTGTAACAGACTTGCGGTGGTACAAGGGCACCGATGGATCAGCTACAGGGGCTGCACTGCGGAGGGATGAAGATGGTGAACTGATCCCGAAGAAAGCCTCCACCGTGATCGTCTCTGCGGGATTTGACAAGAACATCAAGATCTTCTCAGCCGACGACTGGTCTCTCTGCAAGTCCTTAAAGGGTCATCAAAGCCCAGTGCTCAGCACTGACATATCAAGGGATGCCGCCTGGATTTGTAGCGGTGGGAAGGATCGGACAGTGAAGCTTTGGGCTCGTGATGACCAGGAGGGTATATGAGCAAGAAAAGAAACCCGGGAACCAACGGTTCTTTCTTCTGCCTTCGGGATCATAACAATGCGATTGTGCATTGATGCTGGCGGTTGGCCGTGCGGAATGCGTGCGCCTTTTACACCCTGCACCCAAGCTCCTGATGCTGGTTACGACTTTCAACTGCATCAACTTCTTCATAAAGTCGGGGCAGAACGGCTCCCATTAATATACCCACGGACACAAACGTGAGCGTAATATGTCAGTTATCACTCTCCGTCCTTTCCCGGAGATGACCCGAGTCGACGGGTACCTGTCCTTTCTCGGTTCAAATGCCTTCATCGACACTTTCACCGATGCCGTGCATTTCCCTCTTTCCGTGTTTTCAATTTTCCCACTGCCTTCGGTCTCTCGTCTTAAATTTTTTTCCGATTAATGCATTAACGTGAGAAGGGCTTTCTATAAGGCCTGAAGCGTTAAGCTTTGATCGCAACTATGGTTGAGCGCTCTATTCTCACGCCAAAGAGAGACCATAATCCTAATCTGATCATCTTCACCGCAATTCATCCATGCGGTTACCCCGAGGTGTTACACGAGACAAAGCACGCTCGTACCCTCGATCCCCCTGCTGGTTTTGGGTTCCAGAAGCCTTTGTGCCTAAAATAGTCCTCTAGTAGGGGTCGAATATCTCTCCTCTTTACCAATATTTCTAGAAACTCCGGTATTCTCTTCACTCATCGTGACGGCGATAACGATTGAGGCGTAGTTGTGTCAGTCTCTGCTTGGCCTTCACAGAATTGAGAATCGTCCAAGCTTTGAGAAACAAATGTGAGCCGTCAATCGGATCTCTCACCGCTTCCGCACTGAAACTTGGGCTCCACAGTAGGTTCAGGAAAGGATTCCAAGCCGCTTGCCGTCATTGCACCAATGTCTCAGGGGCTTAAGAAGACTACTGACTCATAAACGGTGAAGACGTGTGCTCACTCTGCCAAAGCGTTCGAATGCCAAACACAGTAATTTTCTTCCAACAATAGCATTTCCTAGGAGAAATGTGACTGGTCGAATTCACCTGCGAGCTATCAAATTCGGAAAAAGATCAAGCCATGGTGACGAGGACTAAGCGTCGGGTGAAGAAGACTAAGCGAAGCCACTCACTGCCGTAGCCTCAATTTTTGAGCTCCTACAACTACCAATCAGAAAACTTCATGCGTTCGCCTTGCCATTGGGCTTCAATACGCTCGGGGCATGAACATGTTGGGTTCGCGTTGTCAATGCTTCCGGTCAAGAATGCCATTGTTTCGGCAAGAGCTCTCGGGAAGGAGTTGAGCAAACCGAGTGGATTGTTGACATTCGCTCGTCGCGTCTTAACTTTCAGCTTTCCCCATGATCCCGGCACTCGCGTCGTCGATTTGGGGTAGGATCAACCGTGGCGACAGATCCAGATCCAGAGCAAGTAGCGCCTGCACATCGGCTTTGACTGTGGCTGACCATCCCCCGTTCGGTCCGCCCTGGATTCCTTCAAGCGACAGTGGCTTTTCGCCATTCAATGGCCGCGTCGTCAGTGTTGCGCGACTTGGAATGCTTTGGTTAGGGATATATTGTCTGAAGGAGTCCATAAGTGTTACACAATTGTGGGAATGCTATCCACAAACAGAAGGATAGCCTCTACTACGGCCGTGAGGGCTGCGCGATTGGAGTGCAAGAAGAGCCATTTTGCTTGCCATCGGCTTTGCGGTTGTCAGGCGAGACTCAGTCGACACTAGTAATCTAAGCCATCGTAGGGCCGAGGAGAAAAGGAACGAGAATGCAAAATAATTCTGACGAATGACAAGCCGCGTGAAAATAATGATGGGGAGAACCGTCGTGCCGGTACGTGAGGATCCGGACATTGAATGTGGGACAGAACGGCAACACTGTGGCTGCAGTGTTTGCCTCGGATCGCTCCAAGGCTGCTTGAGCCAGCCATTTGGAGGTTCGGCCGCTTGGTACCTTACACCAGGCACTTCTCACGATAATGACAATAGCACAGGAGGGGATGTCAGATATTGAGGAGTGGCAGGGAAAGGCAATGGTGGATGAGGCGGTGAGATGACTCGTGTTCGGAAAAGTTGGACAGATGACACAATCATGGAGGACGAAAAGCGAGGAGAGAGGGTTCACCTTGCGAGCCAGACGAACAAGGCCGGCCGGAAGTAGGAAGCTAGAACCATGTCGCCTGACGACTGCTCATGAAACCATCATCGCGATGCAAATGCCGGGCTGCGAATGGTGTTGAAGCAGGGCAAAGAAAGGGACGACGTCGGAAGATGACGGCCCGCCGCACTCTCACCAGACCTCATCCATGACCCCCGCCCCTCATCACTTGCCGCATCGCTGCCGCGGAAGCAGTCGCGGAAGCAACTCTCGTTGAGATTCCCAGCAGGCAGGACGAGGTTATCTGGGAGATCTCGCCTTCAGAGTTTTCACTGCGGGCTAGCGAGGATGGCACGGGCGAATCACATCTGCAAGAATTGCTGAAAGGGCCGGCCCGCGCTGGCGTGAAGACGTCCTGGCGGGCACAGGTTGCACCAACACCGGGCTACTGTTGTACCAAAATGCTACTCCAGCGAGATGGCATCGTGGAGAAGTGCTGGGTGCGTTGCCTGACAAACGGCCGCTGGGCCGTCATCTTCCAGCGCTGTGCCGCCGCCGGAGGAGGGCTGTGATCGCTGGAGATCTGATGGATCATAGAGCTGGGGACATGGCACGCGTTAGGGGGCAGCGGACGCAGACGGAGCAAGGCAAACAGGCCTAGGAACACGGTGGAGGGGTGAAGATGCCAGTGGAGGCCCATGGCTGGCTGCAGCAACCACCACTCGCGACGGCGGCGATGGATGAGAGGTGGACGGACAGTGACGAGCAGCCGGCAGCCAGTCATTTCTTGGAAGGCTGCTGCGGTGCTGCATTTCTACCCGACGGTGCTGGGGCGCCGAATGGCAGGGCTTGCTGCGGTTTTGCGTACATCCCACCCATCCAAGAGCATGCCCCCCGTCCCCCCCACCGCACACGCACCTGGCAGACTTATCAGCAGTCCCAGCCCGCCAGCACTAGCCCTCCTCTCTGCTCCCCACCACACAACAACCCACCTCCCAGCACCCTCTCTGCTGCGCCGTCCAAGTCGACGCGTTCGAGCAGACTCTGTAATCATCGCACGCTTTCGGACGCGGATTCCCGCTCCTGCCTCTTTCGCTGCTCATTCTGGCTGCTTTCCTGGCTCTGCTCGATCTGCCCTCGCGATTGCCCAATTAAGCAATCCACACCGCCAGTCCCGCGGCTACACCGGTACTTTGCTACAAGAGCAGCCCCCATGGACTTCTCTACCAACTCCAACACCACCGCCCACATGGACTATCACCGCCCGTCGTCGACGCTGAGCTCCGTCGACCGCAAGCCTTCCACCTTTTCCTTCGACGACAGCACCACGCTGGACTCCAACATCCTAGACACGCCCACCCTGATGTCGCCCACCACCAGCACCCAGGGCATCTTCTCACCCGACACGTCTTTGTGGGAGGACTTCTCCGCCGGCCAGTTCGTTGATCGGACAGCCACCAGCTCTGTCGTTAACCACAACGGCAACAATCCCTTCTTCACGGAGCAGAGCAACAACCCCTTCGCCCGGCTACCCGCAAACCAAGCGGCGACCTATGGCCAGCAGACGTCGTGGCCCGTCACAGACAACTCTGGGTCGCGGACGCCAACCGCTTCTAAGCCTCTGAACCCATTCGGTCCCGGGGACTTTGACTCTGCGCAGTCATCCTTCGTTCCTGTCGCTTCGCATATGTCGTCAGCTTTTGGTAACCCTCATGGCCTGCCGGTCCATAGTAACGTGAGACCAAGCTCTGTATTCCCGTCAGCCCCTCCAGAGCAACCAATGTCGCCGCACACCAACTCAGAATGGATGGCATTCAACCAGCAGGAGCTGGACGCACGACCAGGCCCGAAGCGTATGAGGGCCAACTCCCCTCTCCGGTCCTACTCTCCGCGCCGTGACGGCGGTATCAGGAAGAAGAACGCCCGTTTTGACATCCCTGCGGAGCGCAACCTTGCCAACATCGATCATCTCATCGCCAACTGCACCAATGAAGACCAAATGAAGGAGCTCAAGCAGCAGAAACGACTCCTTCGCAACAGACAGGCCGCGTATGTAATCCCCTTTGGTCCCGGAACCTCCCTTGTTGGTTCTTTGCACCATTTGGTTTTTGTGTCTCCGATGATAAGCTAACATGACTGCAGCCTCGACTCACGGCAGCGAAAGAAAAAGCATACGGAAGAGTTGGAAGAAGAAAAGAAGATGTGGAACGAGCGAATGAGTATGATGGAGGAAGAGATCGCTACCATGCGCATTGAGTACCAAGCCCTCTGCCAGGAGAAGGAGAGCTGGCACCAGGAGCGCATGGAAGCTCACCAGATGATCAACCAGCTGCAATTTGAGAAAGAGGAGCTCGTTCGCGATCATACTCTTGAGACTGGAGAGCTTCGCAAGAAGATCTCTGTACTCACGGAGAGGCTTGAAGTTTCCAGCACTGCCATGTCAGTCGCACCGAGCTCCACCTTCACCGACTTTGCATCGGAAATGGACAACTTGAACATGGGCACTAACGAATGGGACAACTACATCTTCGTCAATGACTTTGTTGTCGACGAGCAAACACCACAACCGCAAGAGCAAGCCCTCGTTGTCGCATCCCGCTCCAAGGATACTGAAGACAAGCCTGTCGCCTCCGGTTTACTGCTTATGCTGCTCCTTTGTGGTGCATTCGTCGCAAGCAAGTCATCTGGCTCCTCTGCTCCGCCCATTCCTCGCATGTCTGAAGAAGTCCGCGCCGCATCCGCCACTGTTCTAGACAGCATCTTCAAAGACGCCGGGGTGGCTCCTTCCTTAACCGACCAGGGTCTTACTGCCAACCGGGTCTCGGGCTTTGAACCTGGGCCGTCTGCTATTAGCTGGCCGAAGCCAACCATGTCCGGCCCTGAGCTCGGATCCAACCTCGATCAACTGCATACCCAACTAGCTGCGCCGACGAAGGACCAAGAGAATGAGCAACTATTCTCTATTACACCCGCCCAGTACAACAGCATGACGTCCATGGACTTCACGCGTCCACGGTATAGCGTTGCAAGCGATGACCTTAGCGACCCATTATCTCCTGGTTCACAGCCATCTCACCACCGTCGTAACCTTGCGGAGACTCTTGCTGCTATGCGTGAGCAAAACAAGGGTGATACAGCAGCTGAAGTCTACACACGAAGCTTGCTCTGGGATAGAATTGCACCAGAGGTCGTCCACGAATTTAAACGCATGGTTGAAGAAAGCGCTGCCTCCTCACGTCCCCCGACATCCGATGGGAACGTGGCCAAAGTGGAGAACGTAGGATAAATTGGTCACGAATTCGCAATATTTCGTGGTTTTCTCACGATTGTCGTTTCCTTGCTTGCATTTTTTGGATCTTTGCATTGCGGTTCCACTTCGCTTCTACCCTACGGGGCCCATGTAGGGACAAATTTGCATTTTGGGTTGGAATTCGTCATTTTTCGCGATCAGTTCCTTAGCACGCTCGCACGAGCATCGCATCCACTTTTTCTCCTATTCGCTCTGGCTCCATTTGCCAATTGGTTATGGCAACGCTATACTTTGTTAGCAAGGACGGGCAACGTCGATTATCACAACGCATATCGGGATACTGGATTTGACTCTTTAAGCTCGAACATTATCAACAACGGCGGCTGGGAACTGCTTATAACTGCGATGGATGGATGGCAATTCATCACACACCGGAATCTCGTTTGTCACTATTTTTTTGGGATTTTCATTTGTCATCAGCAGGGAAGCAAATTTGGTATATATCTGGCTTTTTTTTTGATTTTGATTGTTTTTTTTGCAGAGCGTAGCGAGCGTGTCCCTCTTATTTCTTTGCTGAAGTTTTTCTCATGACTGAAATGGTATCTATCCTCCACGAAGGACGGAGTGCCAAGACGAGGACATTTGTTGCTACGACTTGTAAATGACGGTATGATTTGAAGATAGCTTTGGGTTGTGCTTGGTGGCTTCCGCTATCTATTATTGGTCATTTGTTGATGAAAGGAATTTGGCCTGGGGACGAAGACACACAAAGACACGATTTGATGGTTTAAGCAAGAGCAAGCATGATGAAAGTTTACGGTTTGGCGCTGGACCAACCAAACGTTCCTATGTTGGTGACGATTACAACGAACGAATACATTACGATTGCGGTATGTTTTGCGCGCGCTTTGCGGCTTCGGATGGGAGATTCCTCCAGCCTGTAACTGGACCCGACGTCCTCGTTTACTGAATTGAGATACCAGAGTTCGAAGTGATTGGACATTCGGCGTTCGGGTGAGGAGGAAGACTGTATCTAGGCTGTCATAGGCTCTACACTATTTCTATAATGATCGCTGGATTTCTCATTTATCTTGCCATTGACCTCCAATGCTTTGCTGACCCGTGTCGCCACCACTGTACCGATCCCCTGGTCGAGCCTTCCGTGACTTCTGGACTCCGTGAATGTCGCCGTCGTTCTCACACTATCCCCTTGAATCCCACGCTGGTTCCGAAGAACGCTGCGAATCAGTACGTAGAACGAAAGGCTTGGACTTTGAAGGTCCGCGAAAGCCGCCTCGGTGTAGCTCGCTCCCGTCTTCGAGGTTTGGCATTCACAAAATCAATCCACACAATCCACACAAACGCTCGCTTTAACTTCACAGTCTCCACCACAGACACACCCCACGCCCTCCTGCATTTACCCCAGAATTCTCCCAATTCCAGATCCCGCAACAGAAATACCCCTCTGCCATGCATTCACCTGAGCTTGAACTTTCCAGTCACGCTCGCTAGAGGTACTCTCCACAGCACGACTTGACGCACGACTGATGCGCATCCTTCCCCTTCAAGCCTCCATGCCCGCCCCCACGCAAGCCCGCAGGTCGCAGGTAGTGGGATCGTAGCTCGAGCAACTCGCAGACTGCCAGCCAGCATCTGCAAGGAGGGGAGGAGGAGGAGGAGCAGACAAGACTAACTGCACTGCATCCATGTCTCACGACATCGACACACCCTCCACTTCCACCTCCACTTCCATCTCCACATGAAAACGCACATTACATTAACCCACGCACGTACGTACCCCAGGCATTATTTTCTCCGCTCCGCATTTTTCCGTATTTCGGGATACCGAGTCCATGTAGTCTCATCTCATCTGATGCGGCAAGCCTTCCCCTCTCACCTCTCACGCTTCTCACCCACCCATGGTGCGACCCAAATGCACTCCTCACCATCAATTAACACCAGCTCCGGCACTCACTATCAGACAACTGAAAGTAGCCCATCAAGCCACGAAGATATGATGGCATGGTCGTACGAGTCACGCTCGTCATCTCAGCACTACTCAGCCCTAAGAACAAATCCTGAGAAACAACTGAAACAAGTGTGATATGAATGCACGGGAACAAAGAAGCTAGCACTAGCGGACCATCTCCGCTCCGGTTGTACCGATGAGGAGGATTGCCCGAGCATGAGCGAGAAATCAGACTCAGCCGGGGCTTGGAATTCCCCCAGATCCAAGCATTGCCATGGGTTAAGTTTAGCAATATTGTGCAGAATCGAACCAAATCCCGAATCATTGACCCATTCACCGGTTCCTGATACAAGTCGGAAGGATGGCAGGGGGAGGCACAAAGGTGAAGTGAACATTTTGGATTACGGGCATAGCACAAGACCAAAAACTTCCGAACGTTTCAGCGATAATTAATGCGAGATTCACGCTTCCTTCTCAAATCCGACAAAGAGCGAAAGACTGAGGCAATAGTAATTAAGACCTCGTCACCATCGCTAACGCACCCCAACGTAAATCCTGTTGTGCCACCCTCACACGACGGTGAAAATCCAGATCAAAAAAAAAACAAGCGAGGCGCCCCATTAATCTTTCCCCAGTTTCCTTATCTAGAAAGCATTGTCCGAGGGCCTGACATGCGCCAAAGATTCTAGATGACCATGTCCGCGCCACCTCAACGGGGCAACAAGGAAATCAAATTCCCCCGCAAAGGGAAGGAACAAGAGCGTTGTTGCGCCATTGCTGTCAAACATACCCGCAAAGAAGCAACGAAAAGAATTCACCCGTTCCCCCCCCTGCGACAAGCCCATCCCATGCTCCCCTCCCTCCATGATCCATCCCCCATGACCTAGAATAGGTCACAGGCTGGAGCGGGGGATCTTCGTGGTTTGCTTCTTTTGGCTGAAAACTTTATTTCGGGTTGTACTTTTCCTTCCAGATCCTGCAGGAAGAAAGGAAAGAGGCACAAGTTAGCACGTGCAGGTTTGAAAAGCGAGAGCGAACGGAGAAGATGAAAGAACCAAAAGGGTTGGGCACTATCGTCGCCGTTTGTTGTCGTCAGGTCCGTCTCTTTCCCCCACCCTCCTCCTCTTGCTCTCCATGATCTGTGTGCTTCAATAAAAGCCATCATGCAATCGATCAACCAATCTGCATCAAAAAATCCAATATGACTCTTTCATCGAAAGTGGGCCATGTCAATTGTCCCGCCAACAACTCCCGCCATCACCGTTCAGCTCCGTCATCGGCATCCACACACTGTGATTCCGCTTATTGAATCCGGAACCGAGACCAGCAACAGCACGCCACGTGTATGTACAAAAAGACGTACCCTTCCTGCTGCCAAGTGTCCCAGTCTGCCGGATACGGAAGAAAGCGAATGGCGTGCCAGGGCGGAATGACAGGAGTGTGGCAGGCAAGAGTCTGGTGGATCGAGTGTTGTGATGGTGGTGGGGGAGCGGGCAGCAGTGACAGGCCCTGCTGCGGCGAGGCCCGTTCAGTCCGCACTGGCTAAGCGAGGGTTGCATGAGATGGAGCGCTGCGAACCAATCGACGCACCTTGGCAGATGTGCATTGAAACCTGTTGGCATGGGCTGAGAATAAGTGACATTTTGAATGCTGGGCGCCTCGTTGCAACTGGTGATGGCTTGGCTGGTGTTGTTGATGGATGGAACGGGATGGAGGTGCCTGCGGATAACGTGACGTTGATGATGCGTGTGCCTTGGACCATATGCTTGTGCCGGCTGGGCCATGACAATAATCGACGAATAGTGGCCGAGAATAGTAAAAGAAAGAGATAGCGAAAATGGAACTTACCATGTATTGCCTAATGTCTTACTCCCCTTCTCCTCAGCGAGGCGTAGGAACTGAGCCGCTTTGAACTGTGAGGCGTAGCATTCCATCGTCAGCCGCGTTAAAAACATTGATGCCCAAGAGATGAGGCTGTGGAGGATTCTGCTGTCTCAGAAATGCTCCGCGTGATGATCGTACAGCTGCACCTCAACACCGTTCGTGACACTTGAACGTAGTGCCTGCAAGACCGGTGAAGAAATATTCCAGTACCAAAATGGAAATATAGCAACACGTGAAGAAATGGTTGACTAACCTTATCCTTTTTACACCCAAATCCTTCCAGGTAGCACCACGCAACCTCATTCATAGCGTCAGTGTCGCCCAGATTGGCTGCCGTTTCGTAGTACTGCTTTGCGGCCACAGCGTCCTTCTTGATGCCCCAACCATTCCGGAAGCAGTTCGCCAGCTCGTACATTGCAAGAACTAGCTCCCCTTTGGCTGCTCCACCTTTCTTCATGCCGGCCCCAAGTGCGAGTGACTCGACTTCTGCGCTGTTGGAGGCGGCATATGATAGGTACGTAATGGCTAACTCGACATTTGGTTCGCAGCCCCAGCCGTGTCTGTTGGACCGTCAAACACGCAGGCCATATATGGAGCGGGATTGGGGATTTCATAATCAGCACGGGATCAAAGAATGGGACTCACCGGAGAGCAAGACCATACAGGACCTGACTCAAAGCGTTGTTCGGGCCATTCGGATCGGCCAATTTCCCAAACATAGCTGTTGAAGCCTCTAGATCTGGATATCTAATCAGTACTCACATCTTGAGATGCTATTTGATCAACATACTGCCAGATTCATGCAGCCGGATCGCTTCCTGAATGTTATCCTACGCTCGGCTTAGCCCCGATTTCCAACTTCTCCTAAGTGTATAGACGTACGTCACCAACAACATTGCTCACGCTAACGCTCCTGCTTCTTCTACCGTTTCCTTCTATAGGATTGCTCGTCTCATAATTTGGCGTTGTACTGCCACTCTTATTTAAGCTATTCCCTTTCGCGAGTAGTGTCGCCCTCTTCTCCCATTTCGCCTCGTCGTCCTCGGTCCTCGCAACGCCATCTCCCAAATCTGGAAGATTCTCAGGAACATTCACCGAGCTCGAAGACCTCGCGCGACCGAGATGTAGCCGTTCTGAAAGCCTGTGTTCCCCTTTAGCCCGGTTGTCTTCGCTGCCAGAATTGCCCTGCGAGGAGGCATTGCTATGCCTTCTAAATCTTCCCAGTCTCTTCTGAGGTTCTGGAGATAACAAGGGCTGGTCTCGTGTGGGGTCGCCCGGGAAACTAGGGGGTGTGATGACTTCTTGGGTCGTGGTGGTCGTACGCATAAACGTGAACTCTGGAACGTCCGGGGATAATGTTGGCCTCGTCGGGGCAGATTGTATAGGACCCTCCTCTCTAACTTTATCCTTTTTCTTCAAAAGATCTTTCAAAGGCATGGTGTTGGCAATCGGTTGGGCGCGTCGCGGGTGCGTACACTGGGCAAGGGTGGCTGAAGCAGGATTGTTGAATGACGGTGTTCAACGAACAGATACTAGTAATGCTACCAGATCTTGAGGTTGGCTTTGTATCTTCTTAGGCTTCTTGCAGAAGAAAATATAGGCATTGAGGCAGACTGACGGGAGCGAACTGTCAAATAGTAGGGCAGCATCGATGGGTGACGAGCCAAGCACCGCCATTTACTCAGCCTCCGTCTCCTGTCAGCAAAACAAGATACTTAATGCGAACAATCATGAGCTGAGCCACGCCGGCCTGAACTTCACAAACTCAATTCACTGCATTAATTGACACGGCAGGCATTTTTAATATTCTTGATTTTTTTTTTAATTGTACATTATTTCTCATATGGGAATCTTTCCTCGAAGCAAAGACTGGTTCTCTCAATAAAAGAACGCCATCCGAAGTGCAGAAAGGAAAACAAGTAGACCAAACCTGGAGAGGTGAGGAAATTAGATTGCGACAAGAACTGTGGGGCCTGGATGTCGCTGATTTCACTGGAAACAGGTGAGACACAAAGCATCTACCTTGGGTATCTTCCATCCACCGGGAACGCCGAAATCTGAAGCTGTTAAATGAGAAGACGGAGTGTAGGAAAATACCTACACTAGAAGTAGATGCTTTGAAAGAAAGGGGGTAGTTAGAGAGGAGTATCAACTAAGGTAGGGATAAGGGAGTCCTACCTCTTCGAAGGGCTAAGGAGGTTGAGGTCACGAAAGTTTAGGCCTCAAATGGAACAAAGTCCGCCTGGTGAGAGAGGGTTCCAGGCTCGCTTTGTGCACCCTCTATGCCGTTGTTTGAGTCGTCACCCAGGTCTATGTCGCAATTGGCATTCACCACGCATTGTTCGGTACCATCCTCCGCGCTTTCGTTACCATCGAGTTTCTCTGGGGCACTCGAGGTTGGTGGTGATCCTGCTTCAGAAGTGGAGTGACTCCCTGCGGCCTTTCGCAATCGTCCGGCGTGCATTACATGAGGGAAGGGACAACCCTCTACCTCACAAGAACCCTTGTTCGTGAAGTCGGGGCATTCGAATGCATGTCGTTCAGCACAAGCACCGCCTTTTTCACAGTAGCCTCGGCGCGCAAAAGCCTCACAGACTGGGGCAGCCGGATTGACGTTCACGTGGGCGTAACGACAGTTCTCTTTGGTGCAACGATGCTCTAGGAAATGAGTACAGGTTGGCGAGCGGTGTGGTGATGGGGCATGCGATAATGGGCAGGCGTCGCCGTAGACACAGTTATCTTTGTATAGATAACGCTTGCAAATCGCTGTCTTTTCGGGATCGTGGGCGTGTGGACAACGTGGGCCCTTCTTACAAACACCTATTTTCGTTAACAGTGCAACAGGGTTGACCTTGTGAGGTCTTGATAGCAAAAGACAATGTGAGTTTGATACCTGTTGCCGTGAACGCAGCGCATGGCTCTGCGCTCTTCTCCACCTCTTCTTGCTCAGTCTGCGCGGTCTGGTTATTAGTACATTTTCCAGGACTCTTCAGAGTAATATCGAGCCGGGAAGGCGGTGGTGGTGTTTTTGGCGGGTTGAACGATACCGATCGATTAGAGAAGCGCTGCGCAGATGCGTAAGGGTGATACCCGTAATACCCTCGGCCGCCTCGTCCCCTACCACCACGTCCTCGCCCAGCGCGATAAGAACCGCACGCAGCTTCTTCTTGTTGCTGTTGCTGAAGGCGAAGGCGCGCGTTAAAGCCTTTTAAGAGCTCCCATTAGTATAGACTAGAGTGGAACCGTTGGGAAGGTTCACTCACTGGACCATTCTGCGATAATGGCCGCTCTCTCCTCGGCTGGGATGGCCTTCATTTCCTCTTCAGTGAGGAAGCGTCGTGGAGGGCGAAGCATGTTGGTTACTGTTTGTCTGCACACAAGTTAGTGTCCGCCGACGTTCCACTACTAGTTTTCTAAACAGTTTGTGGTGACGCGAAGAGGAGAAGAGGAGAATAAGTGAGTGAGAATGGTGGGGCGTTCTTTGTCCACAGAAGAGTGCCAAGACGCTAGGGGAAATGATTATCCGCCTACTTGTGCCATGCTCCCAAGAGAGTCGTTCATAGATAAGCAAAACAAGGGCTTCGGGGATCTTAGGCTAGAGTAGCAGCTCAGCATCACTGGAGCATCCTTGGTCTCATGGGACTTCATCCAGTCGGCATCGATAGCCTATGTGTGAGGAGGCGTATTCTACCTATATTCTCTTTTCTAATTTCATTGAATCACCTGAGACATGAGCTCCCCAAGAGGACCCAAATTTCCTTCCTCTGCACTGAAGATATGCTTGGGAATCTTGTAATCAACCACCGGCTCCTTCTTAAGCTCTCGAGATAGTTCGGCATCGAGGAGCTAGGGACAGAGTTAGTCACAGTCCAACCATAGGTAATTATGGTAATGTTAGTCCTTACCACATTGTACGAATGATCTAGAAAGTCCTCTAGATTGTAAGAACGCTTTGTAAATTGCTCCGAGATGATTTTCGCCAGGGTTGCAACATTTGGATGATAATGTGATTGTAATGTCTCGATCTCCCACAGACTACTCTCTATGGCTTCAGTGAGCATTGGATCTTGCTCGCTCATGTCGAATGGATCATCCATTCCCTCCTCCTCGAGCTCTTGTTTGATGTCTCCGTCGCGAATCTCTCGGTGGATCATAAAGGTACACGTAGGGTGACATTTGAACATGTTGTATATCCAAGGTACCACTACGATGATGCCTGCTGGGGGACCGTTTAGAGCAAGTCGTGCGAGCCGCTTGATAAAACTAGCGACAAGAGCAGCAGGCAAATGGGTCGAAGACATGAATGTGTCTAATAGTCGGAAGAAGCGTGATCTATGTTTCGAATGCAGGATGGTGTCATCGAGTAAAGAGTAGAGCTTTTGGTAGAAGGATGGGTAGTCGAGATTCCTTTCGGATATGAGGTAGTAAAGTCCTGACAATGCAAGTAATGAGGTCGCTCCGCCAATGTCATAAGAATCGGCTAAAAAATCCATCAGCAGTTCGGGTTGCCGAAACCACGGTGCAATCTGGTGGGAGAAGACCCGGAGAACCGTCTTCCGTTGTTCTTTATTATGACCGGATTGGAAAGCAGCGAGCCATGCAGTCTGGGCTTGAGATTTGTGGCTTGCCAGAGAATACATGGGGTTTGTTGATTGGGTAGGAGCACCCATGTAGAAGTTATCCAGATCGGCCTTCGACTGGGGGACATTATCCAGCATCATCAGCAGTGACAGAGCGTTGGCAGACGCGAACTTGTAAGTAGATTCTTCAAGCCCAGATTCAAGGAAGGTCCTAGGATTATTAGAATCAGTTTTGTGGTCGACGAAAGACAGTGAAGTACGTACTTTATCGTCTGGAAAGTATAGAATCGAACATCATCAAATTGCTTGAAATACTTCTCAGCAAACTCGTCGCGAGTAGGATCATTCTCAGGAAGCAGGAGTATGGACTCCACTGTTCTAGAAAGTGGCCCCTGTTTCCAGTTGTAATCGTTTTGTGTCTTGGACTCCTCTTTGACCAGGCGCATTAGGAGAGTCAGGGCTAAGGATTGCTTGAATGCAGTCCCACTCCGGAGATAATACCCTAGTAATAGCATGTCTAGATATTCCCGGTATCTCTCCTTCAACCATTGCACAATGACCACATCTGACTGTGACATCCCCTTGCTCTTCACCAAATCTCCCATAGAAATTAGTCGCGAGAAAATTCGGCATAATGCGACAGCGGCTAGAGTCGCGGTCTCAGGTTCCGAATCTTCTTGCTTCGCAGATTGAATCAATGCTGCGATATTGTTGAAGTGCCGGCGTGAATCGAGAATCTGCGATTCGAGTCGCAAAATAGTTGCTTGACGGCTGTCTTCGTCGACGGGGGACTTTCGTGTGGTCTTGGACTTGGCTGATCTACGTTCCTCCTTCGTTGGATCTCTTTTTCTCTTAGTGCCTGCCATGCGAGCAGTACCAGAGCCAGACCTGGGAGATGTGTATGTCGAGGTGAAATTAGAGGGTTTTACTCAAAAAATGTTAGAGGCGGTAGAACCTCGGCAAGCGTGCCTGGGCGCCGAAAGCTCCTTCATTTCCTCAACACCAACACCATCAGCCTTCAAACCTCCCCACTCTCATCCTCAGCAATGGCCTCCCGTCTCGCAAGGAGCGCGGTCGGTAAGTACATGTCCTTTAACTCTGTCTCAGATGCCATTGACCCGTGTGCTCAATCGCAATAGGCGCCGCCCGCCTCCGACCAACTCTTCCATTCCGAACCCTCCCAGCCATCACGGCCCAGATCGCCCCGGCCCGCTACAACTCCAATGTCCCCGCCGAGGACCCCAAGAAGAAAGCGCAATCCATCTTGGACTCGATACCCGGGAATAGCTTCGTGTCCAAGGCGGCTGTACTCTCCGCCGGAGCGGGTATATCGGTTGCGGCAATTAGCAATGAGATCTACGTGGTCAACGAGGAGTCCATCGTGGCCATCAGTTTATTGACCATCTTCTGGGCTGTCGCTCACTATGCCGGACCTGCCTGGTCGGATTATGCGCAGACCCAGGTCGACAAGATCAAAGGCATTCTGAACGCTGCTCGGGCTGATCACACTGCAGCCGTAAAGCAACGGATTGAGAGTGTCCAGGATCTCGGAGGCGTTATCGACATCACCAAGACTCTCTTCGAGGTTTCAAAGGTGCGGTGCCCGTGTTCTGTCGATGGCGACTATATCCGTTGGGCCGATTATTGCTAACATTGAACTAGGAAACCGCCCAGCTAGAGGCTCAGGCATACGAGCTGGAGCAGAAGACTTCCATCGCGCACGAGGCGAAAGCCGTCTTGGATTCGTGGGTGCGCTACGAGGGGCAAGTCAAACAGAGGCAGCAGCGAGAGCTGGCTGAGTCCATTATTGCCAAGATCGAGAAGGAGCTCGAAAACCCGAGGGTTCTCAAGCAAATTCTTGACCAAAGTGTTGCCGACGTTGAGAGTAGGCTTTCCCGAATATGAGAAGCCGTTCATCGATACTAACATATTCCAGGGATCGTTTCACAAAAGGCATAATTGACCGCAGACATCTCTTTCCCTCGTCAATCCACTGTTAAATACATCTGTGCAATAGTCAATCTGGTTCAATAGATTATCCTTGAGCTTTGGGCATTGGCCCAAGAATAAATGTGCGTCTTGATTATCTTGCCTCGTGTTCTCGCCCACGTTTTCAGTGCTTCAGCTCACTCTGCTGAGCTTCTCGCGAATGCTATAACTAAATCAGGTACACAAAACTCACTCCGTCTTCCTAATCCCTAGGAGTACCACCATTTCTGTACATCCAGAGCCGAGAGAAATCCCTCACCCGACTCCGGGGAGCTCCAGTATCTACAGGACTCTGCATGTCCTCTATCCTTGGGCTACCGTTTCCATTGCCTCCATTGATAAGTGTCCGGATCCAAGTCTCCCTTGCCATATCGTTGCCGTTGAAATTGACCTCCTGGTCCATAAATTTGTTATTTTCGAGTACTCGACTATCTGTGTCCAAAGGAAACATACGATTCAGGTAATGCTGGTTCAGAAGATGACCCATGCCTGAACATATGAAAACGCGGCCCATATACCTGTTTCGGAGATGAGTGAAGCTCAACACACCCCACCGAGCCACGAATTCAGAGTCATGAGCATAATGCTCGATATGGCGAACGGCTTTGTCAATACCACTTGTACTTGACGATTTCTGTGATGCGGCAGCCATAGAGGCAGAGGTTCGGTGTGGGTTGTTAAAATGGTTTGCTGCACAGCCGAATGTATAGATCTCTAGCTTGTGGATAATGTCGTGTGGGACTGTTTTCGTCATCAGCAATCGCAAAGATTTATGTGGAAGAAGGCTACTGACGTTCACACAGCAACCAGTCTAATATCAGCCCTCCTTCGATACCGCCTTGGCTATGAAGAATCAGGATGACTTTGTTATTTTTCTCGTCAAGAAGGCATGATTTTATCAACTGGTACGCATTCCGGATATCTACGGTTGCGTAACAAAAATTACGTTCGATGATACATTGAACGAGATCGAAGACGATACCCCAAGTACGATTGTGGACTCCTACCACAGGGCGGCGAAATGTCAGGGCAAGGCGGTTGAGGTTTCCTCGGAGCCAATGCTTTCTGTACTATATCAGTACATTCACACTGTAGTACGATAGCTGCACTCACCCAACCGATACTCCGTTCAGGTAGATCCAACATTCATCTCCATGTTTCAGGGCGTCATCACCCAGATTGACAGTGGACATCAGGGAATTCTCGCCGCCATTCGCACCATTTAAAATCCAGTAAGTGGCCAGGACAACCGCCATCACTGCGGCGATATACAGGATACCCATCCATAGGGGAAACAAAATGAGGAATGGGAGCGAGATCAGGAAAGCGGATTGAAAGACGATCAAGAATGCATGTACAGCGAGACATATCATGTTCCTGAGGGAATAGAGACACAGTTCATCGAGCTCTCCACATGGCCAGTGGTTCCAAGGGTGTAGAACACCGATGACAGACCAAGCGTTCTTGACGAAGAGTAGGATGTCAAACCAACAGAGTAGAAATGGATTGCCTGTATATGGGATGGGAGACTCGGAGAATTGACCCTTCTGCGAGGGTAGGAGTTCGATGTTGGGCATATTAGGAAGATCTATTATGAAATTTATGAGGAACGATTCTTTATATCAAAAGAGCAAGCAGCAGAGGAACGATGCCATTCGAATGTGGAGTCACAGGGACTGGCCTCTAAGTTTATATTTAACGCCCCATGGCTTCTGACCTGTGCAGAATTCAGCCTCTTAACAGGCAGCCAACACAGAGTCCAAAGGGCTGAACACGGGCGTATCTATACAACGCCTTTTACCGCTCCGAGGCCCCTTCATTCTCGGCGACACCGCAACTAGTCCTAAGGACCTAGAACGCCAACTTTTGCTGGATGTCAACCTCTTATGAGGTGGTGAGATGACAGAGATCTACAAGCTGGCATCTTGGGCGGTTGGCCTTGGGGCTGAGTCTGTGGTTACACAAGACGAAGATATTTCTTTTCTTGTGCACGGATGCCGATGTTTCCAGCGGGCGGTGAGATCTTGCGAATAAGCTTTCCGGAGGCTGAGTTCCAAGGCCTGAAGTTGAATTCGCTTTCTTCATGTGAACATCTTAGGTTTTGTCCTTGTCCATGCTCTTGTGATTTGGGGAGGCTTCTCTGGAAGAGAGAAGTTGGTCCTTGTGTGGCGCTACTCCAAAATAGGGTCATGTGGCACGAACGACGGCAGAGCCATGCGAACATCCGTTCTTAAAATGGAGATTGATTGGCAAACCTTTGTTCTCGTGAACCACGTGACGAGGTCTGCAACCTCTCTTCCGCCTATATTCGCACGTCGGGCTCAACAAAACAGGACGCTATGAATTCGCCAACGGTGCTGCAACAACTCTGATCTGAGACAAGAAAAGAAACTCCCTCCAAGCCGCCAAGATGCTACTTTTGTTCGGCTCCTTCGAAAGATATCAACGATTTCAGAGCCTGGGCCTCTCTCCTACCTCAAGGAGTGATCTGATCTTTTCGGCCCATGCTTCCGCAGCTTCTTCGCTGATCGCATTGCCATCATACGAGACACTGAAGCTAACAGTTCCGTCATGATCTGTCGAACTCCCAACCAGAAACTCATTCTCTCTTGCTCTCACGCACATTTTCAAACTTCTAAAATCTGCCGCAAAGTCCTTCCCTCTCACAGCTCCAACATCACTCAGGCCGTACAAACCTGGCCTGAAGAAGCTTGCCGTGGAGCCGACAGAACTGACCCCACATGTAGCTCCAAATTGGCCAATGTTTGCGGGGTATGAGCCCTGGGGATTGATTCCAGTCTTGCGATGAGTTGGAAGTTTCGCCTCCACGCGTTCAATCTGAAAGAGATATCCGTTTGCCAGTAACCGGCCAGGGGAATATGGTTCCAGGCTGATGTTGACTTCCGCGGATTTCAGTCGCTTCTGATACACTCTCAATTGTCGGTTAGCTTGACTAGCTATCAGCCTAAATCGACTTTCCATTGGGAAGGATGAGGGGAGGAACGGCAAGACAATTCCATCGCTGAATGATAACATGCACGAGTCTGCTGGTGCGGTATATCCAAAGAAAGTTCGGGGGTTTAGCGGGAATGATGCGGAGAAGGGACGGCGTTCGGCGTTGGAGGTGCTTGGGTGAAGGCGTTCCTCCATTTCCATCATGGAAATTCCGGCCAGTGCGAAGCAGCCTGCACCGACGCTAACGTTAATAGAGCGGCATATGTCGATGAGGCGTTGAGAAGCGGGTTTAGAGAGAGAGGTGACGCAATGAAAAGAATTCATTGGGGGCTTGTGGTCGGCAGAGTAGTCGAATACTTTGGAGAAGGTCGGTGGAAAAGATACAGCCTCTAAAAGCCTCTCCTCTCGTCGAAGCGGATTAATAAAGGTCCGCGGAAGCGTTTTCCGAACATGTCTCAAGACTCTCAGGACCGCCCAGAACCATCTCTGTCTTGCCTTGTTCCCCGAAATTGGCGGATACAGATCCTCTTGAGCGGGCGGAAGCCGCGATGCAATGTTCTCTGCGGACCTGAAGAACTTGATTTCTCGTTCAGTCTCCGCGGCTGGCATGTTAAGGATGTGGAAGAAGTGTCTGAACCAGTTATATGCGGACAAGCCATCAGATATTTGGTGCGCCATGACGACTAGGAAACGACATAGGAAGTTGCCATTTGGAAGAGGATCGAGGGGAAGAACGTGTAGACGTGACAGGCATAGTGAAGGGTCAATGATACGACCAACGTTCAAGCTATGCCGGTGTAGTTCATAGGCATCCACGGATGGGTAAGAGTCCTCGACCCAGACTATTGACCGGAGAGCCTCCTCTACAACATCCTCTTGACTACCGTGAAGCTCTACTACGAAGTTCCTTCGACCAGTCTCTTTATCTTCATAGACTTTGCTCTGGAGCATAACATGTTGGAGACGCAGGTTAGCCCAAGCCAGAGCAATTCTTCGGCGGTAGTCTTCCTTGGAGAGGGAATGACGAATCTCGAGCGCAAGGAGCGCGTTCATGTCTGCTCGACCTCCATATTCGACTCCATCAGTATCGAAAGACCACTCCACTAGTCCTAGGGGCCGTTGATACACTTTCTTTCCATTGAGAGTAGTTGTATGCCATGCATGGTATTTATTTGCATACCTAGCAATCCAGGATTCCCGCTCTTTTGGCGTCATCCTAAGGTTTTTTGACGATCTAAATTCGAAGGATGGGAGGAAGATACAACGCCAAATTTAGCCTTTAGAATTAAGAATACCTATATAACTCTAAAACGGAATCAAACATGCTTTCAGCATTGAAATGGAATATTAAAGGTTCGTCCTTAGTGAGAGGTGACGAGAAAAAATGAGTCTCGTATCTTGTAAACGACGAAAGGTGGGCTAGGCTACTGGTGGGGTAGTTACATACGAGTCAAAGAGTTTGACTACGCAGATCTTTAGAAACCATGACAGCCTTCAAATACACGTTTCTCATAACCCAAATACCTTGCTTCGTGCCACCCCTTCAGGATTTACTAGTCACCATCTTTGCCTCATCCCCACGAGAATCTTCAAGTTCTTGTCCATGATCAGGAGGCTACGGTCTTGGCTCTGAAAATCAAATCCTTACCCTAGTCACTATGGGAACAAACCATAGTATCCGGCAACAACAACTACATAAATTCCACCAGAAGCCTAGCCCTATGTTTGAACTTGTCAATTTTTAGCAGTCACTCCTAGCTCTTCTATAATCTTCACCCAATTGCCCTAATTTCGATCCCACCTCTCTAATCCCAGAATGCCCCGCACCCTCTACCTCGTAACCTATCCCGGCGGCTTCTCCAACATCAGCCACGGCAAAGTGCCCGCTCACTGGGCTCTCTTCATACCCTCTCTCACTAATTCACGAATCGGAAAGACCTTCGACGCAGTTGGGACTCCCTTTTCTGGGTACGGCCTGCGCTTCCGGCGAAACTACAATCTGGATGACGAACCTAGAAAGTTCGAACTAGTGCCCATCGTGGATGTGGAAGATAATTTAGTAGTAGACACGCCGGGAGATGGGATGATGAGTGAGGATGTAGAGCCGAAGGATAGACTAGAGATGGAAGCGAAGAGGGTAGATCCTCCAGGGTGCAGTCCGAGGCCGTTGGATCCTTTTGGAGTGAGTAGGCAGACATGGAATCAAGTGCGAAAAAACTTGTATAGAATCTAATTTGTATACCAGGGTCGGAATTGCCAGTCGTGGCTACATGACTACATTACATGGCTTGTTGATAGGAACCTGGCCAACAAGTCTGCACTGGAGGCACTTGCCAACGCTCCGAAGCTTTGAAAGGATATGAATTGGTCTTCAGTCATATTGTCTTTTCTTTAGTCATGCTTGAGCATGGCGAGTGATACTCGCTGTCTATCGGATTATCAATCTACCAAACCAATCTCGTGTTGCGATTCTCCTTCGTCAGTTTACTCCTCACCATCCTCTTCCGCCACTGCACTCTCTTCAACATCCTCCTCGAAGGTATTATCCGGTACCGAGTACAGTCTAAGCACAGGTTTGTTCGGATCCTTCACCAGGACGTACTTGCCCTCATCCATCTTGAGACACATATCAACGATGGTGCGGACAATGCCCCAGCCATTGTTGAGGTTCAGAGCCATCTGGTTGGCAAAGTCACGCGGCTTGTTTGTGAGGACGCCAAGAATGACATGGTCGTTGTTGTTCTTGGGGTTTGTTCGAGAGACGAATCTACCAAATATTAGATGTTTGCGTGCATATGGCAGAGGTTAAGCGCATACCCTAGCTTCATGGTGTCCGCCTTTGCCAGAATGCTCTGAACTGCCCACCTAGCCAACTTGCAGCTGTTGTTCTTCATCTCAGTAGCGAGGACAGCACCCCTTTGACTTGCCAATTTTGTTCGCCAATCCAAAGCACCACCGCTGCCCTGTGCCTTATTGTCGAATTCGTTAAGAGCCTTGATCGTCATGTATTGATCTTCGCCATTGATGTTGTTCTTTACAACTGCATCAAGCTCGGTTCGGACGATCAAGTTGAGTGGCTCTTCGTCTCGCTCTAATGAAAGATCGAAACGGCGGTACCTGTACGCTTTTGAGGCTGGCGGATCTGTCTCTACTTCCTCGTTGTAGAATGGATGCTCGTGGGGCATGCTGAGCTTTGATGTCTGCGACTCGAGGACGACCTGCAGGGGGAAGACGTTGTTGATGTGGGTAGCCTCCAGCATGAGGGCACCAGGACTATTCATAGAATCCTTGTTGCCCTCTGAGATCTCTAGAGGGGCATCCGTTGCATTCTCGTTCACCGTAACCATATCCAGATTGGAGCTGTCTCGCTTGTCAATGAAGACTTTGTTCCCTCGCCGTGTTATGACCAAATCCCACGAGTAGACAGACTTCGTGGCGCACATCAGCATGGACAAGATGTTGTCGGTGGCAAATATCGTTGCCTCATCCTTCTCCGCCAGCTCTTGCATAATAGGATCGCTCGATGTGGTGACGTTGTAGGCTGCCCGTTCCAGGACATTGAGTTTCCGCTCAGATGTTTTGGCGCCAGGTTGCTTGTCGTAACTTCGGTCGTAGTAGAACAAGAATCCATAGCTGTCGATATCCTCGCCTTCGCCAGTGTCGAGGTTTAGCTTCGCCAGACGAGCGAAATCAATCTCCTCCAGGACAGACCAATCCGGCTTGACTTGGACGGATGCATCACGGTTGCGCTGGGGTTTGTCGTCCCTCCATCCGAACCGCCGCCCCCCTCTGCCGCCTCGCCCACCACGGTTGTCGTACTGCTGTCCGCGACCGCCACCAACCCGCTGGAAGGTGCCCCGCCCACCTCGCTGCGCCTGTCCACCCCGCTGTCCCCGACCACGGAAGACGGTACCGCCTCCCCTGCCAAATCCCCGGCCTCTAGCGGAAGTTCGAGTATTGTCTACAACGGAGAAAGTCGCCTCTTCTTCGGCGGCTTGGATAGCGAAGGGGTTGGTCGCTTGGTTTGCGCCATAGACTTGCTGATCTGCGTGGTCGTGGTCAGTTGCGCAAAACAGGGAGGCAAACGAGAAGAAAAAGAAGCAGATATGTACCTCTGTAGTTACGCCCGAACTGCTGGCGTCCCCCCCTATCCCGATCTTTGCCCTCGGTCCAGTCTGCCATGCGGCCGAGTTTGTCTGCTTTCGAGTATGGCTGGAAGGGCACGCCGTCCAGCATCGTCTCGGTCGAGGCCGGAGGGCCCCAGCCATCATTGCTGGGCAACGCCGACACAAGATCCAGAAGAGACGCGGGCGCCATGGTGTCGTTGTAGTAGGTTGTGGTGTCGCCGTGCAATATCGATCTTCAAGTGCGCGGGAAAATCTTGGCGTGTCGGGAGATCCCGAGCCCCGCAACCCACGAGTGAAGGCGTTCTGTGACCTCTCGCCTCCTCCCTTCGCATCACAGTCCCCTTGCGGCTTTGGGCATTGCTACGAGTAGAACTATATGTGCTCAGATGCAATACAATGGCCGTTTTACTCTGCTTACCATTAGGTAGACTGGACAAAAATGGACGAGATACTGGTGCACATTTCTGCACCAGCAACGCGTCAGGACGATGACTTGTATCGCTCCTTGATCGATGCTTATTTCGACTTTGAACCCTGTGAGCTCGTTGGATGTGGGCGTCACGAGCGCGGCGACGACCCCGGAGGGCTCGTGAACCCCCCCCTCACCACTAGCGATGAATCATACGGCAGTCTCCCTTCCCATATGTCGTCTGGAAGGGACTCCAAAGGCTCTAATCAACGACATCAATTCTCCTTCAACCCGAACGAAGATTCGATTCTACCTAGGAGTAGACTCGAGCAGTTGGAACGGCTTCACGCCAAATGGAAAAGACAGAACGATCCAGGGCTAAGTGCCATCTCCGCACCTCCATCGCCTACCGGGATTCCTACTTCTAGGAACAAGAGTAGTTCTTTCATTGAGGACTCACAGCTGGCGGCCCACGCTATCGAAAGCCAGATATACGATGGAGGTTCAATCACCTCCGAAGATACATCGGAAGACGAAACGCATTCGTCGTTTCCTGTCAAGACTGTTACCTCGCTTCGCCCTTCCCTGCCAAAGTCCCCGACTACGTTGTTTGGTCGAGACCGGGACCCGGCACACCCAAGCCTAAAGACAGCCTCTCTAGATTTGCCAACTACATCAAGGGTTGAGAGCGATGTTCAACAGAGCCCTACCATCCCTACCAGCGCTTATGATTCTGTAAACCCATTTCAGAACAACGCCCATGCCTCAATCGGCGGTACTTTGGATGGCACAGCGCCAACTAGGTGCCTGGAATTTCGCACTTTACCTTTCGAAGCATTCCCCCCAGCGCCAAAGGTATCTGTGGAATGTCCGGTCTCGTTACCATCACAAGTCACAAAATACCTAGAGGCAATAAAGCAACAAAACCCAAGACGCTTCAAGCCATCGAAAACATTGCGGCCAGTGGACAATGACGAGCGTGGGTACTGGCTAGTTGAGTGCGTAAGTTGGCCCCTGAAGATACAATATGACTTCTGGTCATCTCTGTGTGATCACGTTCGTAGCGGCAGGTTTGGCTGGGGCGTGACTCTCCACCGAGAACTACCAGGAGCCACAAGCAAGGTCCAACAGATGCCAGTGGGACTCGGACAGGCTCGACTTTATTGCTGGGGCGAAGTCGTTGAACACATGTGGCTTTATCTCTGGCTGTGTAGCAAGGGAATGGTCTCTGGCTCAGGTTCAAGATGGCTCGACGCGGAGGATACCGTGGTGATCGTGGGATAATACTAAGCAGGGAGCACCAAAGGCGGAGACTTTGAATACTTACGCTCATCCTTGAAATGGAGCCGGTCTATTGCCGCGATTTACTAGCTGCGATGGTCAAACTGTTTCTTCCACATTCCAAAGTCCATTATTCAATAATAAAATAGGCTGAAACGTGTGAATGTGAAAATCCCTCCCCAAAGTGATTGGTGAAGATCCGGCTTATAATGTGCACAAGCAAGGAGTTGGGGTTTTGCTGAAACCACGGATGCCAAGACAATGCAGTTGCTGATGAGGCGGTTACCTCACCTTGCAAACGAATACTAGCCACGCCTCCCACACTCTTTCTAACTGGCAATGTAAGCAGTTATTCGATTCTTCTCGTGCTATGCCCAAGATGCCGAACGAAGAAGCCAGCACAATCACTGGGTCAGATACATACAGCACGGATGAGCGGACCCTCTACGACCACGCCGACGATGACGGCTACAGCCACGGCAGACCCTCCACGGAGCTCTCAGAGCCCGGACACGATATACTAGAGTCGGAAGATGAAAGGGAAAGGTTACTGACGAAGAATGAGGGGATAGCAGGCATATTCAGTAAGAAAGGTGTCAAGATTGGGAAAAGGGAGCCAACGAAGCCTGACGGCGACTCCAATCAACGTGGCAAGAAAGGCCGCAATGGCGAAGCGAGTGCGCTCATGTATGAAATGGAAGAAGGTGTTGGGGTGTCAGATCAAAGCCTGTCGAGAGGCTCGTCGGAATCCGATGAGCAGAGGTTGTCAGCAACAATAGTACAGAGAAAGGCATGTCCGATTAGCATCACCATGCGAACTCGTCTAACAAGATACATAGGCACGCCGAACACGTATATGGCGCAGGATCATCATATATGTCTGCATTATGGTGCTCTTCCTAGTCCTCTTTTTCGTTGCGTACCGAGTCTCCAAACCCTCCCACCCCACGGCTGCGGCGCTGATGTTATCCAATGGAACTTCTCTCTTCGCCCCTACGACTATCCTAATATCTCTCGATGGCTTCCGCGCCGACTTCCTTTACCGTGGTCTCACACCCACTCTGAATCGGTTCATCCAGAACGGAATATCACCCAAGTATATGTTGCCCAGCTTTCCGAGCGTTACCTTCCCGAATCATTACACCATGGCCACCGGTTTATATCCCGAGGCTCATGGGATAGTCGGGAACACATTTTGGGATCCGTCTCTTAATAAAGAGTTTTATTATACGGAGCCAGAGAAGAGCTTGCAGCCCTTCTGGTGGGGAGGTGAACCTCTTTGGGTAACTGCAGAGAGGCAGAACGTCCGAGCTGCGGTACATATGTGGCCTGGATCTGAAGCACATATCAGCCACATAGAGCCTGCATACGTGGACAAGTATAACGGCTCAGAGGTATTGCCTTTGAAAGTCGATCGTATCCTAGGTCTCCTCGACCTGCCCGGACCATTAGATACGCCCACTAGACTAGACCAACCACGACCTCAGTTAATTGCCGCTTACGTACCCAATGTCGATGGAGATGGGCACAAATATGGCCCAAATAGCACTGAAATACGACAAACCATCAGAAACGCCGACGCTATGCTTGAATCTATCCTCCATGGCCTTCAAGAGCGCAATTTAACTGAGATTGTCAACGTAGTCGTCGTATCAGACCATGGCATGGCCACGACGGATGTTTCAAGGCTCATTCAACTGGAAGATCTCATTGATCCTAACGACTTGGAGCATATTGATGGTTGGCCCCTTTACGGACTGAGACCTAAACGGCCCGAGGATCTCGACCGCTTACACCAGCAACTTATCGACAAGGCGAAGAGAAATCCCAATATTGAAGTATACCTCCGGGACAAGGATATGCCCAAGCGATATCACTTCTCCAACAATGAACGCATCGCGCCACTCTGGATTGTTCCAAAGACAGGATGGGCCATTGTTACCAAGGATGAATTTGATGTTGAGAAGGGAAGAGAGAATGGAGACGTATATCATCCACGCGGCCTCCATGGCTACGATCATGAGCACCCGCTCATGAGAGCCATCTTCGTCGCGAGAGGGCCTGCTTTCCCTCATGAGGCCAACAGTCGCGTTGAACCGTTCCGTAAGTCATTTAACATATCCTGTCATTTCATACCTCTAATAGACTCCCCAGAAAATATCGAACTCTACAACATTATCTGTGACACAATTGGAATCGAGCCAATGCCAAACAACGGAACGCTTCGCCTACCTCTAAAGCCAGTAGGTCTACATACGGATCCGGAAACGCCTCCCAACGTAACACCGGCAGATCCAGTAGAAACATCAAGCATTTTAGCTTCCACTGTCCTTACCTCGTTTGCAAGCCTGGCAACGTCAGCCTCAGGGCTTGATGACCCTATGTCTTCTTTTCTGCAAATACCCCCAGTCACAACCCCAACTACAAGCGCACCACCAGCATCATCAAGCACTTCAGAATCGTGGTGGGAATGGCTCACTCATAAAGCCGATAACGTGGAAGACTGGGTAGAAGAGTTCTTAAATTCTCATATGCCTGGGAAAGGTGATCCAAAGAGCACACCATCTTAGTACTATAAAAACGGGATAGAAGGCTTTCTTGCATGGTTGGATTGGAGTAGGTTGGTTAATAAGATACCCTTTCATTCCATCGTTACTTTGCGCCAAAAGTCTGTCACCTTTTATTCTTTTTTGCCTCGAGGTTTGCAGAAGGGGCTTTGCCAATCCCTTGCAGTGATAATCAAACCCACATCGGTTCACATACTCATGGTCCATAACACAAGCTTTCGGCAGTTGATTTAGTGGGCCAGTAGTCGACCAAATGCCATCTAAAGCCTTCTCCGCATCTCGGTCTTACACAAATGTTGGAATCCTCGAGCCCGTGTCTGTCGGAAGCATCGTTGAAACTCCAATAGCCTCGAGCGGCAGGCCTGTGGTATGTCCGCTTAGATTGCGTGTTTAGGCTAATTACCTGACTTAGGGACGCCACGAAAATCCTATCTACAGTGCAGACGCACGAGTGTGCTACTCTGCAGTTATGAATGTTAATATAAATGACATCAAATTTGCGGAACTTTTAGACTCTAAAGCGTTGGAGGATGTGAGCTCGAAGGACAGTCGATCTGCCATTCACACCATTTCATACCTAGATGCCAAGGCAGAGCACTGTTGTGCCCCGATATGGATTCAGCTTCTGGGTATTGTGCACGATGATAGGGAACTCACCTACCTTCATACCATATAAAAGCACAATCAATCACTATGGGTGCGCTTCGATCTTGTTGCATGCGGCCACGACTTCGGCACCTTCTGGACAGCTAGATTGCGGAAACACTCAAGGATTATGTGGCAGCATCTCTATCTCGTTTCCCTTGCTACTTGGGTCACAGCCTTGCCGACCCAGAGCTCTTCCTCCTCCGGCAGCATCCACCTCACAAGTCGACGCCGTGCCATAGTCTCTGAATCCGGACGCGTCCTTCCAGAAGTCCTCACAGTCTTCAATAACACACTCAAGAAGTACAACGTTGGAAGCTACATAGCTCCATACCCTGGTCTCGATGGCACACTGTCAAGACGGCAATCACCAGTCCCGCTCGTGGACCAATGCGCCAATGGTGGAAACGATCTTTTGTACTACGGACCGATTAAGATCAGGGATAAAACGTTTACGATTGACTTCGATACTGGGTCCGCAGATTTTTTTGTGCCGGGTTCGGCTTGCGGAACCCAGCAGGGCTGTGCGGGATCTTCGAAGTACGATGGCGCAGGGAGAGACCTAGGGAATACAACGTCTGTTACCTACGGCTCAGGAGCCGTTACAGGGAAGAACTATCTCGACACAGTTACAGTAGGAAACTTAACTGCGACAGATACAAATGTGATTGCATTGTTGCAAGCGAAAGGGTTCAGTAATTCACAGTCGGATGGGTTGATGGGGATGGTATGTGTATCACCTTTCCTAAACCATGCAGGTGTGCAAGACGGAGAGTTGACGACAAAAGTACTCGTTTCAACTGCCGCTTCTAACGGGGTGGCATAGTGAATCCCTCTTTCAGCCCTCGTTTAGGGCTGAGGTGGTGCTCCGTCATAGGAGAAAACGTTTTTTGAGGCTGACAACAAGAGCAGGCTTTCTCGAAATTAGCAAATGCAAAGCAACCGACATTCGTCGAGAGACTGATCGCGGAGAACAAGATTTCATCAAAGGAATTTTGCTTCTATCTTGGCCGCTGCTCGGATAACAGCGGTTCCACGTCTGAGATGACCATCGGTGGACGGAATCCCTCCAAATTCACCGGAACATTTACCACAGTGCCACTCAAGAAGCAAGATTACTGGCGTGTTGCCATTGATGGCGTCAAGGCGGGAGATATACCCGTCGCTATTCCAGGAGATGCGATTATCGACACTGGAACCACGGCTGTTGTCGCCTCACCTGCGTACGCAGTTCCGATTAATGAAGCTATAGGAGGAATCCCAGTTCCTCTTGGATCAACAGGGTCGTTGGAGTTGATTGCCTATGGTGCGATCTTCTTTCCGTAGCTCTCATCCTCCTAGATCCCAAACTAACAACACCAGCCATTCCATGCGACTCCAAAACCCAAATCGCGCTCACATTTGCGGGTCAAGACCTTGTCATGAACAGCAAAGACATGACCATCGGCACCATTGACATATCTTTCGCTACCCTTCTCAATCATGCGCCTCTCATCTCCCGGGTGAAAGCCGCGGAAGCTAACCCTTCGGCTGTGTTGTGTCTGAGCAGTATTCTGCAAGCGGATGTAGGTGTGACAATGAATCCACCCGTAGCGAACTTTAATATAATTGGGGACAGCTTCTTGAAGAATTGGTACAGTTGTTTTAGTTATAATGGTGCGTCGGGGCAGCCAGGGGTGTTGTTTGCTAAGAGCATTTGAGTTAGAGAGTGTATAATGAGGGAGATAAATGGTTTATTGGCATGGGCTAGCTTCTAGGACGGGGATTAAACTTTATATAAAAGAGTCTAAATATTTGCTCAATATCTATCTTTTAGTTTCAAGGGAAGAAATCTAATAGTTGTGATTATGGCTTCAGTTGGTATGTAAGGTCGTGTTATATACTCAGAGGGTCAGCAAATCAACCACATACGGCCATAGCACAAGCAAAAGCAAAACATAATTTCCCGTTCGATCAATTGTACTTAAGTCTTGTAGCGGCCTGTTAGTAGTTGGGTGGGTGACCACCAGCGAATCTAGGCTGTCGTATGTCTTCGAATTTATTTTATTTTATTTTAAATTTTTTGGGTTGTAGCGGTGAGGTTGCTGTCTGGTGGGGTGAAATTGAAGAAACTAACTTATGGGCATCTTGCTCGCCTCTATAATTCGTAAATCACCCTTAAAAGCAAATTTTAATAAAGCATCTCGAGTATATAAGAACTTTCAAACTTGTAGAGAGCTAACAAGTTAAAGTAATTTGGTACCTTAAGAAAATTAGGCCATGAAAGCGTGGATGTATCATGCACATCAAGATATCAGTAAACACTTCGGTTGCATGCAGTGAATATACACAAGCTGTTAGAGAGAGTGAAGCGTATAAAAGAGGGAAAGCGTTGCAATCCCAATGATGGGAACCGTGAAGGTTCACTTCAAAGCCGCACGCAGTGCCTTCCCAGCTTCTCCACAGATTCTAGCGTTTTGCTATGATTATTTGTGAACCTATTCTTCTTTAGTGAATCTATATTGGTATCCCTTTTTTGTTACTTGATTAGCCACAGAATGTTTCGCTCTAGCCGAGTATGCTCATCATTTTGAGCTCCCATTAAAATCTCTCCCAATTTCCCCCATAATGCCTGGCATCCTCCCAAGTGCCGAACGCCATCCCAAATGCGTAGCTTTGTGCCGTCACCGTCCACGATCTAAACTAGCAGAACTGCGTTGAGGCAGCCGTCATTCTCCGGGTTATTCGTGATCTGCGCGTATCTACCCCAAACAACTTTACCACCCGCTGTGACGAGGCCCAGCTCACTGACATTGACTTCGATGATCTGTGCTCCCAGTTAGCGGCATTATCCTTTGACCGCGAAGTGTGAGTACGCTTACCGTTCCCCGGGTTAATACACCCAACTGCGTGTACATCGGATTCTGAGGATTTTTCTTGACACTGATGATGGGTAATTGAACCGTGACATTGAGTTCAGGATGTGTGACATTAGCCTTCTTGTATCGCAGTCCCATAGGCCTAATAAAGCGCTACAATGTAAATTAGTTCGGTTCTGCCAAAAAATATGGACAGGAGCTCTTCGCAATACCTCATATTTGACCGGCCGTCTTGTAAATCCAGGTCCTACGAACGTAGGTTTCGTTATCATTCGTTTCCAGCTCTTCTTATGCGTCTTCTTGCCAGTCTAAATATACCAGTCAGCAAGCTCCACTTCCTCCCCTCCCTTCCCTCCAACCGACCGAAGCTCACCTTCACGACCGAAAACATCTCCTCCTCGCTTATACCCTTCACTTTCGGCAACGGCACACTAAATCTCGCCGCCTTCTCATTCCTCTTCTGCTTGATCGCACTACTCAGCGCCTTCGCATTCTTCTCATTACTCCGATCCAGCAAATACTGCGGCAGTGCCGTCGAGCTCTCCTCTGCGGGCTCGCTCGATTTTAGATTTCGTTCTTCGTGCGCCCGGATTTGCTTCTTCATCTGGATCTTTTCTTTCCGGCGTTTCTCGGCGTACATCTTTGCGCGCAGACCCCGCAGGTTTTGCGCTTTATTAGAGGCATCGTGGCCTTCACGGGCGAGGCGCTTGCGTTTTCGCTCCTCGTAGTCGAAGCTGCGAGATGGGTTAGGTGAAGGTTGGGGATTGGGGAGGGGAGGACAAAGTACCGCTTGCCATGCTGCTTTTGCCAGCGCTCGATGTACTCGTTCTGAGGCATTTTGACGCTGTTTTACGCAGAGTCGTTAATATCGGAGTTGCTTGCCCGCTACAGAAAGTTCAGTGAGAGCAATTCGAAATCTTGGCACGCTAATCTTAACGTAACTAACTAATTTCGGCTTAGTCACTCATTGCCAAACCTCATCCAATATCTATCGAAAAAGTCTCCCAACAGCATATCCACCATTGTCCCGCATCGCAATGGCACTGCTAGCTCAAACACTCCGAAGGTCTCTCCTAGAGATGCGATGTTCACTCCCGCCGACATTTCTACTGCCCTTCCGCGCAAATATCACCGTATCGCACACTCTCGAAACGGTCAACACACCAGAACAACCCACCTCTCAAGACCCCGCACAGAATATACAAGACTCCGCAGGCGATGCAAAAAAGCTCCTTCAGTCTGCATCAAGTTCAAAACCAACTCCTCATGCAAGAGAAGACAAAGTTCAAACTCTTGTAACTCCTTCAATACGCCAACTCCTTCCGCTCCTCTACTCTCAACCATCGCACTATCTTACAATACATATTCACGGCCGTCCATATCTACTTACACAAGGCGATACCGTACGTCTCCCATTCCTGATGCCGAAAGTACAACCAGGGGATCTCCTCCGTCTTAATCGCGCAACCCATATTGGGTCGCGAGACTATACGCTTAAGGCACCGGAGCCAGTGAAGGGCACAAGGGATATGCCCAAGAAGATACATTTTCTAGATGAGAGGTTGTTCGTTTGCCGAGCGCGGGTGGTGGGGATAGAAAGCGAACCGATGCGGTTGATGGAGAAGACGAAGAGGAGACAGAGACATATCAAAACAGTGAAGAGCAAGCACCGGTATACGGTGTTGAAGATAAGCGATATACGAGTCAGGAGTTTAGAGGAGTATGAGAACTTGGTTGCCGGGCACCCTATGGAGGAGGAAGTTGATTAAGGCTCTTGACCCAGGATGGGATTGACTCTAGGGGTCTGTATTATATGTGTAAGGGTCATGGGATGGCGAAAGCATAGCATGTTATACATTTGAATGCTGAGTAATTGGAATGCACGCTCTTCTGTACCACTGAGAGGCCAACATTCTGTTGTGTTTAAGATATTTGGATGATCCCCCTTCTATACTGCAAGTAAGAGACATCAGACGCTTGCTGGCGGCCTGTGTATCTTACTTTCGTGATCCCCGTCCTTTCAGACGTTCAGCGAAAGACCGCAGCTTCAAACCTCTTGTGCTGAAATCACCTGTCGTTCCAGTCGTTCGCAGTGCATGAAAGGAGTCCTATATCCGTGATTAGCTGCTATGCTCGCCATGCAATGTAGCACAACTCAATGCACCATCTGCGTAGCATAGAACTCCTAGATTCAACATTAGTATCTAGGTCTGTATACGAAGGATGTCCGTGGATTACTCACCGGATACTGGTTCTGGATCATAGTCGTCACCCTCTCCACCTCTTCCGCCAATCCCTGAACATTCGCATCCCACTTCCTCAGCTCTTTCCCGACGATCCTCTCCGCATGGCCCGTCTTGCGTTCACCGCTGCCTTCGCCTTCAAAGAAGATTAGCCGATCAATCTGGTCAATGTATCCAGCCAAGCGGCCCTGCTCAAGCATCTTTGCTGCATAGTCCTCGGCCCTGTCTGCATCGACGCCTAAAAGTTCACCTAGTTGATCGATACCAATGTTGTTGTATAGCTTCGAGGCGCCGAGGAGGTTGTGTTCGAGGACGGCTTTGTCGAGAACGGTGGATCCGTCTGACATCTTCGCTAGATGATGTGGCTGAAGCTTCTCGGAGAAGGCCTTTACTTCAGCAGGGGATAGAAGCCGGTCGAGGAACATTTTCTCCAGGATACTGAATTCCTCCACTTGGTGCGCCCGCTCATCCTTGTACAGCTTTGCCAGAGTCCTCGCACGCTGCGGACCAGCAGGCGCCAACACAGCGCAGACAATGGCCGAAGATAGACCATGTAATCGCTCTTCTTCGGCGATCACAGTCTCGAGACTTATGGTATAGTACGCCTGGCTTGCGTCCAAGAAGGCACGCTGCGAATCGTGGATGCGAGCTTGACTGAGCTGGAACATCAACCGCGTCTCCTTGTCTTGCACGCTGTGTATCACATTCTTGACCCTGTTGAGGTATGTGAACGCACTGGTCGGGTCCTCCTCTTCTAGATAGCATCTCACGATCCTAACCCAGATCTTCGCCTTGTCATCGTTGGAAACTGCCCGCTGACTTGAGTCGAGGGTGATAGTCTGCAGGATCTTGGCGGATCCCCGGTAGTCCTCTTGAGCCTCATATGCGTCTGCAAGAATCTCTTTGATCTGGGTATCCTGCTCTTCATACGAGACTACCTTTGGTGCGAGCAGGTCCAGGACTTGCTGCCCTACCTCAACCTTTACATCTGCGTCTTCGACTTTACGAAATTGTTCGACGAAGGCGGCGAGGAGCGGGCGTGATGCAACTATGCCGAGGGGGTCTCCGAGAAGCGAGCTGGCGAAAGCAATCAGGTTTGCAGCGAGATTGCTAGAGTTGCTGGTCTTAAGGACGGTCTGGAGGAGAGAATTGTAGCGGGAGGGTTTGTCGGCTGCGGGCGCCGTTTCAATAGCCTTTATAGCTGAAGAGACCTCTGGAGAAGACATCTTGGGGATTGTAGAGGAGGAAGAGGTTGTAGAGGAAAATGAGGCGTATTGGAGGAAGTTGTAGGTGGGGCAGCTCAAGGCAACAATTCGACAAAACTTGGTGTATCTGAGCAAACTTAATGACCTACGCTGGGTAGACAGTTACAGTAGAGTGATTCTCTGCCACTTTATTCACAACAAATCTCTGCAAAGGTTATGGAAAGGTTTATCACCTGCGCTTGGCAGGAGTGGATGCCCCAGAGGTCTTGAACGTCGGATATATTTATCGATAACAATTCTTGGCATGCGCTAGTGCCCTATACCCGTTGCGGCTCTTCCTTCAAGACACCACCCAACACTTCACTCACTCCCACTCTCCCCCATCTTTACCATCAACCACGGCCGCCCACGGCTACTCACCGCAACCTACCGCAACCCGCTGCGGTCCACCTTCACTAAACGTAGATTTACAACGCCATCTACGCGCAATAACAATCTTGAATTGGCTAATACAACACATTCACTTTCATGATGAACGGCATCAAAGCCGACCCCGACATCAAGATGGACCCCGATGCGGGTACCCCCTCCGGCAGCGGGTACATGGATGATGATTTCTACGAGGACACGGGCGAACTCCAGCTCCCATCCAGAGGTGTCGACAAAGACGTCTGGTTAACGCGCATCCCGAAGTGGCTGTTCGAGAAGGTGTCTAAATGGGACGATCTGGCCGACAATGGGAACGACGACGAGCAGGTCGTGATTGGGGAGATCATGCTGCTTCCAGACCCACAACGCCCAGGCGCTGCGAGCAAAACAGCGCCGATGAGAGTGTTCCTGAGTGATAAGTGGCAGGAGAAAGCCAAGGTGCCGCGTGCCTTTGAGCTGACGGGGACGAATGCGTCCGCGGACCAAATGGGGAATACATACATATTCACCGAAAAGGACCTCCCAGGGTACAGGCCAAACGGATACGGTCAGGGCAAAATGAGCGCTTCGGTAGGCTTTGGAATACAAGACCCGAAAGCGAGGATTCAGAAGCGCGGCAAGTATCGCAAGGCAATTCCAAGTAAGTCTCCTCGTAGGCACAAAGGCAAACAACATACCATTTACTAATACATGTACAGAGCACACAGCACTCCTCGGCTCCTCAACCCGCGAATACATCGCAAACCCGATCCACACCCCCGAGTTCAACGCCTTCGCCCGCGTCCGCGCCCGCCACGCCATCCAAGGGGCTAACACAAAGACCAACATCATTGACGCTGTCGGCGACCACACATCAAATCAACACGTCCAGAAAATGTTCAAGACCTTCATCAAGCCCGCCACAGCCCCGAAGCCGCAAATCAACAAGGCCGCTCGTATCCCCAAGAACGAGCTCATCGATCTCCTGCATTCCTGCTTCGACAGATTTGCTTATTGGCCTATGAAGGCGTTGAAAAAGGAGACCAGGCAGCCGGAAGCCTACCTCAAGGAGGTGCTAACGGATATTGCGGATCTTGTCAAAACTGGCACGTTTGCAAGTTGTTGGAGAAGGCAGGACATGTACAACAAGAATACTGCCCAACAAGTCTTGGACAAGCCGCCGGAGATGGACGACGATGTTGGTGGCGACGACGGAGACGAGGAGATGGAGATGGAAGACGTGGTTTGATTCCATCATCACACCCACTTGCCCTCCTTGCTCCATACTTTTTGTGATATTTCTTTTGCTGATTTATTGGGTATTCATATAGGAAGTTGCATTAGCGCGGCGTTCAGGGACGGGACAAAAGTCCTATGGTCTGCTTCAATGTTACGTGCCTAAATGGTGTGGTGATTTTTCTAGGCTTTTGGCCTGTAAAGCATCCTTTATGCAGGTGGCAAGATAATCATTTGTCTGAGAGCATGTGTATGTAGCTGAATTAGTCGCTACAAAGATCGTCTCACGGTTGAAGTTAAGATTGCTTTCTATTACACAGACAGTAATATGTCCATGGTACCAAAGCAATATCAACTCGGAGAGCCCCTCCTATCCCATAAGATCATTCGCAGGGCCACCTTTCCGTATCCCATTTGATTGCATATAACTCCCAACACCATGTCAGACCAGGCCAGTCCAGTCCATATAATACAAACCCCTAATCCTCGATATCATCATCACTCAGCACCAAATTTGCAACATCCTTTTCCGCAATTCCGGGCAACGCCATAGTTATCTCATCACTCTTAATCTTAATCTTAATCTTCCTTTTCCTTCGCCTCGGCGTCTCTGGGCCCGGGCGATCAGTAGCCCACTGCTCGTGCTCACCTGATATGTCATCGTCGTCCTGATCTTCGTCTGTCGAAGCGCCAACTGTGGCCCCAGTGAAGGACGTAATTTTCTGGATGTCGCGGATGGTGGCTGCGATAGAGGGAGACGGCATGGAGGATTTGCGAATGATGAGGGGAACGTAGGGGAGGCGCTCGAGGAGCATTTCGTAGCGGGCTGAGCCGCCGCTCCCGAGGAGAACTTGAGGAGGTTGATCCTCTGTTTCTGGTTTCGCAGTTTGTGTTTGTGATGGAGTAGGAGTTGGCCTTGTGGAGTGCGAGAATCCAACGGCCCTCCTCCAAGTATCCACACCACTAGTGCTTGCCTCAGCATGCTTGGATGGCCCAACACCAGGAGCAAACAACTCGCCTCGTTGAGCTCGCGAAATCCACATATCGAGCAGTCCACCGACCTCTTCCTGCTGCCTCCATATCCGTAGCGACGAAGGATAGTACATGGCATGTGCACTTCCCTTCCCAGTTGCTTTGCCCTTCATACCCATGATGCCAAGCGGAGGCGCTACCCGTTTAACTGGAGAAGGGAGACTAAATAGCAAGCCACGAACACTGGTTTGAAAGCTCATTTCTTCTTGGCGTAAATTGTCCGCACCGGTTCCCTGGAACGTCCGTGAACGAATTCCGGAGGTGCCGAAACGGTCTGTGGAAAGGAGGTCTGCATCAGACAAAGCGTCGATACATCCATTTATTGAGTCCATTGTTTCCTCAATATCGCCGCCTTCGCACGAGAGAATGTAGTTCTCATGCAGTGCAGCAATGAACGTGTGTGTATCGGTACCAAGTTCGTCAATTAGCATGTCGACTTGGACCTCAGAGGGCTTTGGCCTTCGTCGTTCCGGGAACCAGTTTGGAGGCTGGGGATTCGATTTGCAGTTCGCGTCTTCTGGGAGACGTTTGTTGTACACCACCCTTCCTACAGCATGGAAAATGCCAAGGGTGCTTTCGCGCTGTGTAATCATCTCTAGGGAATCTTGTTCCATCCTGGTCAGTGGAATATCCTTGGAACCCTTCCTCTTCGTAAAATTAACCTTGGCACCCCACCCCTCATCCTCGTCGCCTCGGAGGCAAAGAAATTCCAAAGAGGAGACCGCACTACGAATATCTCCAAGCTCGCAAAGTCGCTGAATTACCTGGGGACCTGCAGTCCTCCTCCGGCCACTCCTCCGTGCCTCTTTCAGCACAATAAGCTCCAGCGCTTTGGTCATAAATGTCGGCGCAATAGGGTTAAATTCGATAACGGTGACACCAGGATGGGTGAGAATCTCCGGGCCGAGGAGGCGATGCGCAGTAAAGCTGTCAGCTGCAGCAGTATTCGTAGAGAGAAGAGTTTCCGAAATAATCATTACAATTGGAGTAATAGTTTCTTCCGGATCCCTCTGCTGAGAGAAGAACGCACTGGCGGACGGTGTATTCGCAGCAAGAAAATTGAGTATGGATGACCGAAATGACTGTACGGCTGAAGACGCACGTTGAAATGTATTAGGGAACTCTTCTACCAGAATCAGCTGCTTTTGTCTATTTGTCGTACTGGGTGTTGGTTGGGCCTGACGAGTCGAAAGCGGTTCGTCGAATGCAAGGCTTCCAAATGCGCCAGTCCTCCCAACAAAGTCCTCAAATTGTGCGGTGATTGAGACGAAGCCTTCAGGAGAGGAAGTCGAGCTGACCGGGTTCTTCCACTCATGTATGTCAAACCCCATTTCTTTTGAGAGTAGTGATACAGTTGTAGTCTTTCCACTTCCCGCGGAGCCTTTGAGAAGCAACAGTCTCTTGCGCCCCCCGCCGAAGACCTCTGACAGCCATGCTCGAACATCGGCCACCTTCTTCTTGTGAACTACCAACTCATCCAAAGATAGGGGGCCGTATTTCTCATTCCATGGTCTATTGTCTACATTCTCTAACTGCACATGCTGCGACAATGGAGGAGTGGTACGTGCCCCATTCATTGTCCTGAGAAATTTTTGGCTGCCCTTTGGCGGTCCTTCATTGTCCGGACCGCGCAATTCATTCACCCTTCTTCGGACCGCTAACGCATTTTCGGTATCAGATTTTCTCGGCTGCGTCTTAGTGGAATGCTCATCTGCGGAAGAGTCCAAGATATCGTCTTCCTCCTCAAGAGGAGTATTCGTGGCAAGCTTTTCTGGACTGGGAGTTGGCTGAGTTGTCTGAGGCGGAGGGACATTGCTGAAGAAGGATGTAATTGGCCTGTAGATGGGCTTTGGTTTCTGGGGTGATTTGGCAGGAGGCTTATGAGGTTTCGGTGAGGCTGCGCGTCGTTTCTGCTGTTTGGAGGACTTTGAGTCTCCACGTGCCCCATTCTGGGATATGCTTGTTAGTGTGCCCCTCTTCGGACGCTTAGGGGGCGGCGAGTGTGATGCGTCTTCATCGCTGTCGGACGAAAGCACGATGGGCTGCTTGCGCGTGGCCCGCGGCTTTCCCATGCCGCCTCAACTTTGGATGTGTTCCGAGGCAAAGGGTCATTCTCGAACCCTCCGGCCAATGCTGGACGTGAGCGTGGGAGCGGGCGGTTGGTCCAGGTACTCGAGTGAGGTGAAGGTCGGATCGAGAGATAATCCGGGCTTGGCGGGAAGATTGCGAGAAGGCTGGTTGGAAGTCCAGCACGTGATGCCTCCTGAACTTAAGGCGAACGTTCCTGCCGTGCCAGCACACTTGCATTCGCCTGTCCATAACCGCCCTCTCACCGCACCCGTCTGACTTGAACCACTTTCTCGCGCTCATCTCGGTTCATTCCTTGAGACCAATGCAAGTTCGAACGTGCGGCGGCCGGGTCGGCTTCCTGATGGCTGATGTCGCACCAACCGAACGACACCACGCATGCCACCAAGTCACTTTTTGCATGGGCGCCTGATAATCGATGCTTCCCGCACACAAAATTTCTGCCCAACGGTTGACCCTCCCGCTCTTCTGTTCAGCCATTGCTAGGCTTCAGTCTTGACTGCTATCTCTTTATTTAGTCATTTCCTGATGCGTGGTCCATTCCCTGCATTCGTGGCTTGCCCCGAGGAGGGTGAACCGAATTTTTGCTTCTCGTTGACTCAACGTGCGCAACCAGCTGCATATGAATGCCGAAAGTGTTTCCAATTGGGGAAGCGCATATATTAGTCCGCCCTTCTGAGGTGCCAGCTCAGCCTTCTAGTACTGTCCCATTGGACAGATTTGAGTTCTTGTTCGTGTTGTCTCAATGCAAGGTTCTCAGATCCACAGCAAACCGTATATAGTCTTAACCGCGCTTGTTTGTGGCAAATATACAGGCTCTCTTCTCGAGGTGCCACGCAAGCAAATCTCTTGCCTCATATTTGCAACCTTCCCAAGCCCGCTGTGCGAGGCGAACATTTATTCTAACGAGCCCTCTGTCCCGGGAATCTTGATAAAGAGCAAGCACCACTAAACTTCAAAATGGCGAAGAAAAAGAAGGGCAGTAAGATTCAGAAGCAGGTTGAGTGGACATCTCCACCAACCAGTCCGAAACAAGCACTCGAAGACCAGATTCCTACTTTACCTGGAACATTGCCACTATCACCAGCAACCGAAGCAACCGATACTACACAGGAAGACTCGGTAAACCTAATAGAATCGATAGCTTTGCCACCCGAGTCGAAGATTGAGGATTTACCCATACCACAACCACCAGCCGAATCATCAACAAGCCAATCGCCAACAGTCGAAAGCACTACACCAGAGACGCTGCAAGAAGAGAAGAAAGAGGAATGCAACTTTAACTTCACTTCTTCGAGCCAACCTACCATTGAATCTGAGCTCCCGAAAGTACGAGAGGCAAACCAAACTTCAGCATTGATCGCAGCCCCCGAGACAAGTCTTCCAGAGCCAGCCGAACCACCACCATCTAGCCAATCCTCGGCGCCGGTTGAGTCTGAACCAGTCAAAGTCTCAGCAGAGTTGCCAGCCCCAATCAATCCAAGACCGCTAGCTGAGGAGGATATTCTTGTGAAGCCTGAGGAATCGGCACTAGAACTGCCACCCATTGAGGCTTCATTTGCGCCAGAATCATCACCAGCCCCTGCAGAAACTGTTTCAGAGGCGAAGCCCACAGAACTAACAGACCCACTAGCCCCAAGCCCTAGCGAAACTCAGCCGGCGCCTGAGGTGGTTGAGGATCTTCGGACAGCTTCAAGTACCCCCAAAGAAGAAGCGCCGAAAATCCCAGAATCGGAAGAGCAACTATCGTTCTCTAGGCCTTATTCCCCACCCAAACACGAACCAGCACTTCCAAAGTTTGATGACAGCAGATCTCCAACTCCAACCGCTCAACCGAAAGACAGTTCTGCGGAACCGTCGTTCCCTGTAAAGTCTCCGCCCAAACCGGAAGCTGTGAATCGCCTGATTGAGGACGACAGGCCTCCGGCTCCAACTCCTCCACCAACCCGAGTGCGTACGCGACATTCACCAGCGTTTGAAGAGACCGACGACGACGACGAAGACTCTCTAATCCAGCCTAGACTTAGAGGTGAAATCGCCACGCTTTCGCGGGACCCTTCACGAGGCTTGAGTTATCCCCCACAAGCACAACAGTCTCGCGTCTTTGCAAGCCGGGTTCCTGTCGAACATTACTCAAATCCTCCACCTCCACAGCCAGCGCCACCTCCAGGATATCATCCTCGATACTATCCTCCTACAGCTCCACCATACTATCACAACCAAAACCATACTCTCAGTATGAGCCAATCTGGGGGGTATCCGAATGTTTCTCCCTACGGCCCTCCATCTCACGCATCATCTCCATACCAAGATGCTTGGGGCCAGTATCCGCCTTCCTTTCCTCAGTATGGCAGTCCCCCCATGCAACGCCAGGATTCCTTGGGATCACGAGACTTCCCTATGAGCCCTCCCAGCATGGAGCATAATTCTGCTATTGAGGACGATACAATTGATGTCTTTTCCCGCATATCACAAGCAATCCCTGATCTTCACCTCCTCCTTGCAAAATACAAGGAAACCCATGGTCAGCTTGGTGTTCGTGAAGAACTTCTCCGAAGAGCAGATTTCGAGCAGCAGGAGAAGCTGCGATCTAAAGACAGCGAGATCATGCATTTGAAGGAGAAGGTTAGTAACCTCGAGAGCAAGCATTCAGGTGATGCTAGTAGACTCCGGCTCGAAATTGGAAATATGGAAGAGCAGATGAAGGAGCTGAAGGAACAGATCGCGGAGACTGATACGTTCAGGAAAGAGGCAGAGGTAACTCGACTGGCTCTTGATGCAGCGAAGACCGCTTGGGAAGCTAAGCACAAAGAGCTGGAGAGCATCAATGCGAATCTGGAGAAGACAAGTACAGAAGAGAGGGAAAGGCTACAGAAAGAATTTGAAGACTGGAGAGTAACGGCCACTGCGAAACACGACGCAGAGAATATTGCCCTAGCCATTCAGTTTGACAAGAAGCTTAAGGAGGCAGACGTCCTCGCAGAGAAGCTGAGGCAGGAGGCGACGGCTGCATTTGTGCAAGAAAAAGATGAGCTCAGGTCAGAACACCAGAGGCAGCAGCGCGAACGAGAATCAAGTTTCGACAGGGTGAGAAAGGAACTTGAGACCAAACTCAGTATGGCTCAAAAGGACCGAGAAGAACTACTAAAGAGCGAGCGAGAAAGCCGGGAGGTGTGGGAAGTTGAGCGTAACACACTCATCACGGGGCACCAGGAGGACCGCGACAGTTTGCGGCGAGGCTGGGAAGAGCAACGTGAGCTCATGGAGTCGCAGCACAAGAAGAATAAGGAGGAGTCCGACAAGGCCTGGATTGAGCTTCACGCAGATGCCAACCGCAGGGCGGAGGAGGAGAAGGCCAAAGTAGAACAGTTGACGAGGGAGAAGGAAGAGCTCCAAAAGCGCTTTGATGAGCTGAAGGCCGAGCTTGAGAAAGAGAAGGAAGTGATTAGAAGTGTAGCTGGGACCCTAGAAAGTGAGAAGGGCAGGCTGGAGAAGCTTCTCGCAAGTTATGGTGATGTCACTGAGATTAAGAGTAGGGGTGATACATACTAGTAAGTTTGAACCTGGAATGCCTCGTGTTGTATGCTTCGGAGGTCTTTGTCCCACTTCAGGCACAGATTGCGCTCTTCGGAGGATGATGAATTTGTGCTCATAAGTCTTTAGCACTTGTTCCTCCCTTTAATGTAATTTCCGTTTTACCTTTGCACCCCTTGGTTTTCCGTTGAGTAACTCGCTGATGAAATGTCTTCCCAGCCTAGTGTCGTTCTCCCAGCTACAAAAGCAAATAGTAGACTTAGCGACGACTCATTTTGTTCATTTACCTGTGAGCCCGCCACCCGACGTCTTGGCCAATATTCCTCCGGAACTACCATCTTTTCTTGGGGACACCGTTGCATCAAGGTACGCGGTCAATTGGGTTACAAAATATCTTTCACTAATACAGACTCTTAGGCAACTTCGTGCAGCTTATGTCGCCCACACTGTGTCCAAGATGGTTACTTTTCGAGTCTTTGGACCTTTTTTGTTCAGCCTCGGCCGCCGTTACGACAAGGCTGACTCACTCTTTTCTTCCATGAGTAACCATATTCGCGACAAAAGCACACGCAAAGAAGCAATATGGCGCCAACAAACACTCCTCGCTGCATTCACAAGCAGCGGTGCTAAGCAACGCATCAACACTGCCGCAGGAACCGTGGTTGACGAGATTGTTACTGCGGTCAAGTATTTTGCCGATCCCAAGGAAGAGGAGGGCATTAGGATTGCGGTAAGGAGGATCGTGAAGCTGGCTGCTGAAACTTGGCGATTCGCGCGACTCGAACGAGAGCTTATCACCGCTACCATGCCTGCTGTCCAGGACGAGGCGCATGGGTTCACTGGACTGGAGTACTGGCCCGCATACAATCCAGAAAACACACCGATCCCGTCACTCGTCGGTACCGTCGAGGAGTTGAACGAACAGCCCAAACTGCTCTTGAGGTTATTCCCAGTCATTTACCGTGAGCCTAGGCACGAATGTTTCCGCTCATCAGAAGATGAGAAACCGGATAAGGGGTGCGTCTATCACCATGGACTTGCCTTGTACGATGATGCAGAGCCAGTGGTGGCAAGGGCGGAGGAACTCAGACAAGCGGGTTTGCCTCCCATCACCAACACTTCTCCGACTGCTGCTGATTTTCCGCCGCCTATGATCCCTCCACCTAGGAAGCCGCCTCCCCCAACACCTGAGATAGCTGGAGAAGATCAAATCAAATCACCCGTTCTGCCTCCATGTCCATCTCAGGCAACTGAGTTGCGGACTGCTCCGTCTCCCCCTCCTTCCCCCCTTCCTCCTCCCCCTCCAGCGGAGCCATCGAAGCCACCCTACACTCGAAAGCTAGTGCCGATAGAAGACATGACGCACCCTCCTCCATCACCGCTTCCCTCTCTAGCAGAGAGTGCTATTCTTCCGCCTCCCCCGTTGCCTCCTCCACAGACTGAGAGCACCATTCCTCCTCCTCCCCCACCCCCTCCAGAATCGAACAATGATGACAGTCCTCTCCTTCCTCCTCCACTGCCAGCAGCAGCCGAGGGTGGCATTCTTCCACATCCTCCACCACCACCAGTACCAACAGAGGGCGCAGTCCTCACTCCTCCTCCTCCTCCTCCTCCTCTACCTCTGCCCACAAGGACACCAGAATCTTCCAACATGGCTGTAGAAATCCAAGGAATTGAACAATCAGTCCCGACGCCACCACGATCCCGAGCTGTCACTCCTCCATCCCCCCTTTTTGCAGCAATTGATGAAATCGACGGCCTTCGACAACATGGTACCCGCAACCCATCAATTTCCCGTCGCTCCACCGGCCTCGGGTCGTCCCGCAATTCAAACGAAGAGCTCCGCAAGGAACGAGGAGAAGGAGCCTCGCGCCGTACCAGTGGTTATGCAATTAGCAACCGATCGAGTATAGATGGCGGAAGCCAGAGAAGTGCCAACAGCCGATATACTTGCGAGAGCCGAAGTGCAGCTATCAAAGGTCTTTATCCTAACAGTCCGTTAGCGGGCTCTCCACCGATGGAGAGGACGATTTCCGCACCCAGTGTTCCTACGAGAACGAACTCTCTTCGAAGCCAGAAGGTCAGAGTCAGCAGGTCTCCGGCATTGACTGGGAAAGATGATAGCGCTACGTTTGACTTTACCGCACGGCCGACTGCTCGGGGCTCTGATGACGCAAACGTGGACCCGTCAACACAGTCTTAGCACGTGCTGGATGCATTCGACAAAATTGTTTTGTTTCCGTCCATGTTTTCCGGAAGAGCATACTCCCATGACCTTTTTTTTCTTTTCTGTCTTCGTCTCTTCCTTCCTTTCATTTTAGTTCATCACGTTTATGATTTTCTGGAGCGCATACCTCCTCAACCCTCTGTCTATGATTTCTTCTACATACAGTACAGACTCTTTCCAATTTTCCATGAATTTCTCATATCTTCGAAGCAGACTGTAGGGGCATATTAACGACATTAGAGGAGTCGTCAGTATAAACAAGGGCATTCAATGGTGTTCAGAATTCTCTAGCGCTTCGTTAATTGGTATAGCATTGGGATTTTCGCACTTTTGTGAAGTTGGAATTGGCGTTCTCTTTGGAGGTCTTGTCAAGCATGTATGTACATTTCTTCAGGTACATGTATGGTAGGTTGAGGGTATGTCGATGAGCTTTTTCCTTTCTTCTTGCATGGAGCAACGACAGTATGGAATGAATGTACAGTAGTATCTGACCTTAGAAATGGGGTCTTAATGACTGTTACGAATTGACATCACATAAGAAGCCAAGACAAAAGCCTGTATGCACCCTTTTAGATGCCTACTTAGAGTTAACTAGCTATCGGATGGGAGTCTACGGCTACCCTGATACCTTGAGGTTCCTACACAACAGTGCCACATTGTATCAATCGAAGGAGTCAGGTCCTTCCCAATCAAGCCTATGATATGCCTGCCGTCGAGCCTCCCTTCTCTCCCTTCTCAGCCTTGCACCTGTTATGGGTACTGCAGGTACCGAGCATATTGATATGTGCGATTGTCCCCTTTTTTAATGGTATTATTCTCGTGCGTGGCCCTGAAATATAAACATGATGTTATTCGAAGCACGAAAAGTTAACACTGATATAGCATCGCCACCTTAGATGAAAGTGAAGATACATTTCTCGGATCTAAAAAACCTCGACACCGTACAAGTTGTTTGTCGCACGTAGCGAATCCGAGCGACAGGTGGGCGGGGAAGCTCTGCTCCGAGAATGTGCGAATCTTGTACTGCTTCTTGTCCTGGTCGGGGATTCGGTTATTGACCTATCGCGAGCGAAAATGTAGGAGTAGGTCGAATGAGGATGTCGCGCCTTCGGAAGGAGTTGGGATCGCGTGAGTCTACGTGGATATTAGCTTTCGAAATATCTTAGCCTGAATGGTCGATCTGGCACGAGCTCAACGACTGTAGAGTGTGGGAACTACTGCTGCGTTGAGCTAAGGCCAGACTCGCAAAGGTAACTAAGGTTTCTGTAACAGGGAGTGGTAAGGTGCGGTGAGAAAAGTATAGCAGAGCCGGGGTGAGGCAGGACAGCACCAAGATGCGTGCAGGCGAGGTTGCGGAAAAGCCGACGTTGGAGCGGCGCCGGACAGCAGGCAGCAAGACAACAGCGCCTAGGTAGATGAAGCTACAGAGAATAACTTAAAGAGGGAAACCAAATATCAGGATTTTGAATTTAGAAAGCTACTTAGAATAACTGTCCCTCTGCATTCCTACAGTTAGCCCAGCAGCCAGAACACTACGCGCGACAACATCGCACAAGCCAACGAAAATTCTTCACCGAACCCCCTTCCAACAGGCAACTAGCGACCACGACTCCATACATACATACGTACATAAAGACAAGCAGAAACTTCTTCCTCAACCCATCGCACAATAGCGATAGAATTAATGAAAAAGTAAAGTAGACCAGCAAAAATTACGCCGGTGAAGCCCCCGAAGGAGATTCAAACCAAGACCTCTCCGCGCTGTGCAATGCAGGAGATCCTGATTGATCGACTCTATTCTTGATCAGAGTGATCCCAACAAGGCTAGAGCGTTGTTAGCATTATGTCCAAAGTTTTGGGTGTAGTTGGGAAGGACTCACTAAGTATGATCAACTTCCCTTGGGGCGGGGGGAAGAGGTTCTTATATACTGAGAGGTTGGTGCACGGTCCATTGCATCACGTGATAAATGGGCTAAACTAGCGCGGTTTGTGGGTCGTTGGCCCGAGTGTGCCTCAGCCTTCACTTTCACATGGCCTCGAAGGTGTTCCTTCATTCTATTTAAAGCGACCCTTTCCACCACTTCAATGCCCCCCTTTCCTTACCTTAATGTTGTTATTTCCTTTCCTGTCCTTTAAGTTGCCCTTCGCTTCACTTCGCTGAAGGCATAGCTCTATTCTCGAGTGTTATAAGCTGCAACCTAACTATAGCTCTGGCAGGTTGTCAAATAATGTCGAGTATCACTAGGTGGGCTCTATCTATTGAGCATCTTGCTAGAATTAAGCTAAAAGTTAATCGGGTGCTAATCCATGTCTTAAATTACTTCCCTTGTGTTCCACGGTGACAAGATGCAGCAAAGAAAGTAACTTCTTCAACCTTTTATGATAATTCAAGCAACTAGTTATTCAATATTTATTATTCAAATCAATCTCTCCTCCTCAGCAGCAACCTCAACGGTCTGGCAAAATATCCCCACAAACAAAGAACTTACAAATGCTTCCGCATCATGCTATAGGTAGGTAGCCTGCCACGCGGCCAGCAGAAAAATTGCAAAGGAGCTTGATCAAACAGAATCCAGCCGTGGGGTAGGACGCATAGCCAGGCTTGACTTAAACCCATTGCATCCACCATAGAGGGTAATACTTCGCATTGATGAGCAAAAGTTGCTGTCCCTGTGAGAATGGAATAGATTAATGCTCTTATCTATACGAAACATTGCAGTGAGGGCTCGTACCTACTTAGTCCTAAAAATTATGCTATGTTGAAATTAGCCTCCTTAACTCATTTTCAATTCCACTCAACAACGTCCTCAATCACTACTCCAATTCCCTCATGACCTTCGACATCCTTGAGGCTTTCCTCAGTCAGTTTCAGTGTATCCTGTGCTACAATATTGCCTGGGTCGTCCGGAAGCTCATTGATTAATTTCTGCTTTTCTTCTGGAACCAGGAAGTTTAGAAGGTCCCGACTCACTTGCGCGTCCTTCCCGGGCTCCTTTGCGTATGTGATATATGGCTTAGAGTTGACCTGGAATTCAAGCTGAGAATGGTGTGCAGGAGCGGGCGAGACTGCTTGTATGCCGAAATATGCCCTAAGCTGGTCTACCATATCATCCCCGGTCAAAATAAACGCCCATGGCATGATCTCGCCAGAATACTTGTTTAGAGTGACTTGCCTACCCCTCAACAGAATATTAGATACACCTCGGTTTTGGTGACTTCTGTGAGGTTATCATAGTCTTTGGATAAACATAGTATTTTTGAACAGGCCTATGTGAAGCTAGATAAACTAGGTAGGAGGCTTCATCTCCTAAGACGTGGGATAAGCATCTGGCGTGCCTGTTAGATAATGAGATTGAGGATACTGCTTGCAAAAGGCGAGGATTCGGGGAATAAAACTTATTGTGGATTTAGTCCACTATGAAGGAGAGCGCAGAGAAACACATACGAGCAGACATCATAGTGAGGATTATGAAGAAATGTGTGAAAAGCTTGTTGTGGGAACAAAAAGGAGCTGTGATCTAGCATATCGATTGAGGAACTATCGATCAGACGCCTTGCTCGAGAACTGAGCTGAGAAGGAGTTGACTAAATACTACGTACAGATCCGCTCGATGGAACAACACGTGGCCAGAGCCATCTAATCTTCCTCGGGCTAATACATGTGACAGAGCTGCGCCGTACGCTGTTCGTACAGGCGCCTACCTATGCGACACTTGCTGTATTGAAGGTCTCTCTGTGATGTCCTGAATCCATACTCTTTGGCACCTAATAAGGCTTGCGTACTCAACAGCCTAGCTTGAAATTTTTGAAGAAGAGATGTCAAGTGCGGCTGTACATTTGCCATTCTGTGCCATTCCGGTTTAGTGAAGAAATAACTAGGGGAGGAAGAAGGAATCGTTTCGACCACGAGAGTGAGCTGCTTCGCCGCTTCCAAGGTTAGGGAGCATCTGTGGCAATTGATTAGTTCCCATACCTCCTTCCCCAAAAACCTCGACGGCACTGTTCTACCTGCAATTATTACAGTCATTGCCGTCTACCGCGCAACAAGGTTAGATAGGATTTAACCTCTTGAGACTCTTCCCAACATTTAAGAAACCTCTAAGAGGACCTAATCATATTTCCTAAATCTCTACCAAGCCCTCTATTGGCTCCCATCACACCACGTCTCAATTCATTCCTAATTCTTCCAAGTCGCCAACTTGCTACAAAAACATAGCATTGGTTTCATCATCCACACTTCCCCGTTGTTCAATATAGCACTTGAAATCTCAATTATGATTTCTTTCTAATCTCCAGCTCTACACTCTAGTCTGTCAGTCTCACAGCACACGAAGCGGGATAGCCATCCACGCAAGGGTATCCAAAGGCCCAGCCCAGCCCAGATAAAGAAAAACGCCTGCCCCTCTCAACCCAAAGAAATTCAATGCCACGCAGCCAGTCAACCATTAACAAAGGGAAAAAAAAAAAGGACGTTCAGTACAATGAGTGAGTGATTCAACAGTCAGGACAGGACGCCGGCACAACCGCCAGCTTAAAAGATACAAAAGAACAAAACACAAAAAGCCCCACAAACCACAAACACAAGCCTTTCAATCTTCCGGTGTCTCACTCCCCGAGCTCGTGAAATAACTCTGATCGATTCTCAAAATCCATTCAATCTTCTCCCTCTCATTTCTCGCTCTAAACAGGTACGTATTACTCCTCGCAAACACTGCCCAGACGCAATCAACACCTCGCGAAGCACCTGTCGAAGCACCGTTAGTGAGGAGGCGTGCGATCTGCGGCTGGTGATCGATTCGGGAATTCAATAGGTTTATGGCGTTGAGTTCATCGCCTTCAGGAACACTATAGATATGTAGGTAGGGCTTACGGAGTTCCACGAAGCGGCGCACCCAGCGGGAATTGTTCGTGTCGGGCATGAGGAGGTATCCACCCTTCAAGAGTGTCGGGTTTTTTGAGATGTAGCGGACTGTGGCGACGAGCGAGGGAGCGGGGCTGGGGGAATCCCGGGGTTGGGGTGCGAAGGCTGCACCGGAAGATGGGGGTTCAAGGTTTGTAGGATTGAGGATGATTTCAGCGGGGGCTTTTTTGGTTTGCCACAGGGAGATGACGCGGTTGAGGAGATTGGTCTGGCGCTCGTCCAAGTTGGAGTTTGATGTGGATGTAGAAAAGGTGGTGAGGGCGCGGGATCCAAGTACACATCTTGCAATCTCAATATCTGCTATCCTCCGCCGCCGTTTCTCGGTACTAATAAAGTCTCGGATGAGGGATACTCCTCGCGGTGTCCAGCCGCTCAACTGCTCTTCACCCCTGATGTAGTCATCTCGTGTATTCATCCTCCAGAGATCCGTAGCTCGCTTGACAGATGTAGGCCGTATGCCAACAGAGAATATACCAACAGTCGAGTGGACAACTCGAGTCGCGTTCCACAGCTGCATGAACATGGAAGTTTGCCGAATATATGTCCGACCTCGGATTTGCATAGAGAGGTCGAGTGAGAAGATCATCGGTTCGGCGAGCTTCGCGCTGCTGACGTTCCAGAGCAAAGAAGCTTGGACGCGATATTTCTCAGGCGTGGCTCTATCTAGCAGAAGCGAGCCGTGCATGCTAGAATCCCACTGGCCAATGAAAGTGACATTCGTGGTGCCATCAGCATTGTCCTTGACAACAGGCGCTGAGACAAGCTTGACCGGGACCTCCTTGATCGGACTGTCCAAGGCCGGTGCATTGCCAGATGCATCAAGAAGGCGAATGCGTCCCACCCGCATGGACAACACATCTTGCCACTGTAATGTCTCGCCTGAGGTGTGTGTGAGGTTCACGACAATCCTTCGTTGCAGCCCTTGGTGCAGTTGATATGCCCCTGAATCCACGATACTACCCTGGATAACCTCGACGGGCTGGTAGCTTCCATCTTCAGAGATTTCATGGATCTGTACTCTCGAAAAAATGTCGTGGGTATCTTCAGTGAAGAATTCGGATTCTGGAAGCCGGGCGTTGCGCCGCTTTTGCTTTGGCTTCGGTGCAGAATCTCGCATATCATCCCAACTTAGTAACTTGTCAAGATGCATGGTCGAAACTTTAGCAAATATGGAAACTCGAAGGAACGTGTTCCGCGGGCTGGGATAAGGAAGGCTCATGCTGTGTACGCTCTCAAAGCGCACTGGGCCCTCATCGAAGTCTGTGATCATTTGCGTGGTTGTGGCACCCCCCTCGTCCGAGATGCCAGGCAAAAATAGCTGGGCATGCACTTGTGTGCCTTCCCTTTCAGGGAAACCAATGAGGTCGTGCATGACAACATTGAATTTCAAAGTAGTTGAAGGAGCTTCTGCGGATGAGGGCTCGAGAGCGAGCCGGATAATACCAACGACGTTGGCAGTATATGGGGAAATGACATCGAGGAGGAAATCCTGCACCCGGGATTCAAAAACGGCGGTCAGCGGAACGTCGACATCGCCAATTCGAGAGAATTCGGGCATACAAGGCTCCGAGAAGGGGTTTTCGAGGCTAAAGTGCTGAAGGTACTCCGGCCGGTTCATATACTGGTGCATTTGGTGCATCAACCGTACGCGGAATCGTAGTTTCTGCAGTGACCATAGATGGACAACTTGATTCTTAAAGTCAATAACTCTGACACCGACACACGGCTTGGGAGTACTATCAAGAAATTCGTCGTCCTCTCCAGCGATACCATTCAGGACCAAGTCATACGATGAGGCGAAGGAGTGGCCGATATCAACGATGCAAAATTGGAAGACGACATGCTTGTCCATTTGCTGACTCATGACTTGAGCCTCCTTTAGAATCGCAGCATTTTGGAGAACGGTCTCAGCCATGGTGACGTATTTGCGCTGTCGCCATTGGTGAAAGACATTCTTGGCTAGGTTAAGCTGCTTTTCTGTCGGCTTTGTTGAGACCGAGCCGTTTGTCTGTGGAGACACGGGCTGTTGCAGCTCCTGGAGCTGGCGTTGAAACTCTTCCTTCTGCTCTTGAAGCTGTTTCTGCATCTCCTCTTTCACTGTGCGCAGATTCTCCTCCATCTTCGCCTTCTCTGCCTTAATCTCCTCGATCTCGACGTTGGCTTCTTCAGCGGATTTCAGCTTCGCTTGATACTCTTCCTTCTGCTTGTCTAGCTCTTTCTGCATGTCCTCTCTCACCAGTCGCAGACGCTCCTCTTCTTCCCCCGGTTGCGGGGTTGACGGCACTGTTAGGATTGTGTCTAGGGAAAAGTTGTCGATAGTTCCAGTAGAAGCGTACTTTTCACGAACAGGATAAGAACTCACAGACTCCATATCCTCTTCTGTATCGAACAACCGGCTCTCTGGGCGGGATTTTCGAGTCGCACGCAGCTTTTGAAGATCCTCAAAGAGTGAGTCAAGGTCTTCGTCAGTCAGGGCAGCGATCTTTTGATCAGTCCCCAACAGCGCGGTAACTGCTTCTCTCCTAGCAAAAGACCAGTCTGAGTCTCGGCCAGAACGCTGAAAGGGGGCAGGAGACATAGCACGGGGACTATCCGAATCGAATTCAGACTCTGCTCTGCTGACAGTACTCCATGATCTTTCGTGACCAGGTCGTGGGGATGGCGAACCGAGCTGAGCGGCAGTTACTGAATGACGGAGAAGGCTGGTGGTTTGTTCTGCGCGCTCAGCCCTGGCCTCCTGTGGGTTATTGAAACGAAAAATGTGAAAGTCTCCCAAAATTATGCGGTAGCCACTCCGTAATCGCTTGGGTTTGTCAATGCGGATACCATTGACCATTACACCTGCGTTATCCTTCGGTACAACAGTGACTGCGCCATCCACGTTTTCAAAAGTGCAGTGCTCGTGAAGAATTTGCGAGCCGTTGAGACGGATCTCGGCAGTTTGCGCAGTGTCCACGTTCCCAACGGTCGTTGTCCCTGGCTTCAGATTGTAGATCAGACACTCCGCTAGGAGAGGGTCGTCACTTAAGTTTACTAGATGTGGCATTTTCTTGGGTGTTGATAGGCCAACAAAGCCCTTCTCGATGCTGATGCCAAGCTCTTCAAGTGCAGCCTCCCGCTCCTTGTGAATCTGCTCCGTCTTCTGCAGCTTCTCCTCCCACGTCTGGTTGAGATCCTGGTACAGCTTTTCAGATTGATTCAACTGCTCCACGATCTCGGCCTTGGAAACCTTCTTGATGGTACCATCGGGTTGCGTGATAGACACCATTTGTTTTTCTAGGGGCGTGTCAGGGGCATACTGTTCCTCCATCATACCTGGGGAGCCGCCACCACTGAGCTTAGAACGGAGCGATGCAAGCTCTTCTTTCAACTCTCTTATCATACGTGCGTTTGGATCTTCGTTGACCACAGCGTGATTCTTGATGCGCTTAGCGGAGTCAGCATAGCGGAGGGTTGAGAGGGTCTCCTCGAAGTTGATGTCGGCAGGCGAGATGGCAGCAATCATAGCCGTCAAACTGTTACCCCCCAGGGAATCCTTCAACAGCCACGTCAGGACCGAGTCTCGGTATGGCACTTGTGCGTTCTTCTTCTTTCCCGTAGACCTGTCCGCCAGCGCCGCAATGACACGGCCAAGGGTAGACAGGGACCTGTTGATTTCGGCGCCCTCCTTCAACCGCGCGCCTGTGGCCCCCGTAGACGTCGCTCTCTCCGAACCCGCCAGGTCTACGAGGCTAATCTTGGCCACCTTCTCGCCGCTCATGCTTGTCTCGACATCGTGCCGTTTCTGGGTAAGTGTCAAGGTAAAGACGGCGTGCGATCGACTGGAGGTTTCGTTCATGTTGGTTGCGGCAACCGTACGCGCCTTGTTACCCTCGTCCATCAGATTTTCAATCTCGGCGAACGACCGAACGACGAGCTTGGCCAGGTCCTCGACATAGGGGCCCGTGGAGGGATGCTCTCGGACCCTGAGATTCCCCTTGGTTGAAGGATTGAGAAGGTCGCGAACCCGCTCATTGTAGATTTCCAGGTACGAGACTTCGACGGTGCACTGCGAGTTCTTGTCCAACTGCATCTTGCCAATCCGCTCAAACATGTCCTGGCAAATCTTCGGGATAATGCCGTACTCCTCTCCATAGCCCATCATGGAGTACGACTTCCCGGAGCCGGTCTGGCCATAGGCAAAGATACAGTTGTTGTATCCCTGGAAGGCATTGTCGAGGAGCGGCAGGCCGAGGTCCTTGAAGAGGTGGTCTTGCCCGGCGTAGTTCGCATCGTTGCGACTGAAGGACCAGTAGGACTTGTCGAACGCGAAGGTCTTGTTGCCTTCCAGGGCGGCCTTCGCGGCCTTGCCTTTGGAGTCGATGTTGGTGGGGGGGGTGAGGATGGTCTGCTCGCCCTTCATCTGCACGATGCATTGTGCCCTGCGGTCGATTTCTGCGACGTGTAAGACGTGACAAAGCGTGTGGGAGAAGCGGGCAATACACACCTCGCCCATTGAAGGGGCGCACCCTCACCACCACCTTGATGTTGCCTCCTCCGGACGCCATGGCGGAGGGTGCGGGTGCTTAGTCGAACCGCAGTCGGAAGTAGAGGGCGTCAGTGCCGCGAGGAAGCAGAGTGCCGGTCATGCGCGGCGGCGGGACGAGTTCATGGCACGTCGGTCGGTGGTGAGAGGGGCTCCAGGAGGCAGACGAGGTTTGTTGTGTCTGGCGCGGTGCAGTGCTCCCTCGATGAAATTGCGCGAACCCTTGCTGCAGTCGGCTGCAGCCGCACGTGTTCTGCCGCACATCCCTGCTCGACTGCCAGACGCGCTGAAACCCCCCCCGAGCCCACATCACGTCGCACATCAACAAAACAAACAGACGTCTCGAAAATTCACTTGGGCCACGTCTTTTGCGGCTCTTCTCGCTCCCTGCGACCCATGTCCGCCGACATGATCGCCCCGCCCGTCAACCATGCCATGAAGGTGCTGGACCGCAGCTTCTTCCAGAAGACGGTCCCGACCTCCGCCGCGCGAATTTTCAACCCCAAGAACATCGCAACATGTCGCACCGAGCTGCATCGGGCCCAGGATGCTTGGCTGAATGCCCGCATCGCTCCAATCAGACTGGACCCCGACGAGGAGAGAGCGCGTGTTGGCGGAAAATGCATCCTGCTGCGGCCGGAGGTCCTGCACAACGGTAGCGGGCACCACTCACGCATCATGGAGCAATGCTGAGTTCGCACAGGCAGACCCGACTACATGGAGTAGTAAATTGAAAGACCTAGAGCGCAGCGGCACAGTTGGCGTCATCCCGTATGATTTGCGCCTCGACTACAGCTACTTCAACTACTTGGAGATCATGAACGCCATCATCCCGCCCTCTGACCAGTCCGGGCACGACGACCTGCCCACGGGCTTCAGCATGGTCGGTCACGTGGCGCACCTCAACCTCCGCGACAAGTACCTGCCTTACAAGCACCTTATTGCCGCGGTCCTCGCCGACAAGAACCCCACAGTCACAACCGTCATCAACAAGCTGGACAATGTGGGCAGTGAGAGCGCATATCGCACGTTCCAGTATGAGGTTCTCTATGGCCCCGACGACATGGACGTCACCGTGAGCGAGCAGCATTGCACTTTCTCCTTCAATTTTGCAAACGTATACTGGAATAGTCGGCTGCAAGGAGAGCACGAGCGGCTTTGTGACATGTTCCAGGAAGGAGATGCCATATGCGATGTCATGGCCGGTGTAGGGCCCTTCGCCATTCCCGCAGGGAAGAAGAAATGCTTCGTCTGGGCTAACGACCTGAATCCAGACAGCTACAAATACTTGCTGGAGGGTATTCAGAAGAACAAGGTTGCCGACTTCGTTCGACCCCTCAACGAAGACGGGCATGAATTCATACGGACAGCGACTGCAGATCTCCTGAAGTCAGAGCACTCAGTCCCAGTATTCCCCAAAAAGAAGATATCCAGGAAGGACCCCAATCCCCCAAAAGGTCCCCGTGAACCACTCAAAACATTAGTCCGGCCCCGTTTGTTCTCCCACTATGTCATGAACCTCCCGGCAAGTGCTATCGCATTCCTGCCCAGCTTCATCGGCCTCTACTCCACCATCCCCGGCATCTCAGCCAATGAAATCCGACGACTGTTCACCCCGCACACAGAGACTCCCCTCCCAATGATCCACGTCTACTGCTTTAGTACTAAGAGCGACGATAACATCGCCGAGGGCCACGATATTTGTCGCAGGATATCCAGGGAATTGGGCCATGAAGTCACACCCGCCACGCCGGAGCTCCAGATCTGGGATGTCAGGGACGTGGCGCCGAAGAAGAGGATGTTTTGTGCGAGCTTCAGGCTTCCGGAGGAAGTGGCGTTCAAGGGGGTGGAAGACTAGACGCTTGGCATCTACCCGTCGGTCAGTGGAAAGCGCCAAGATATTCGGGGAGGGTGTGCGTAAAAGTTTCAACTCTGCAAGGATTTTGCTATTAGATACCCCACCCGTAGAATTCGACATAGTTTTCTGACACGCTACTCTTAAATTGCGATTTGTAGTATTGTGTGTGGTGTGGTACTTCGGTGCCTGTATAGTGCAGGCTGCATGGCTTTGCACTCACATTCTAACATACATCTCATAACAATATGATTCTTTCACGATCTTACATACTCAGTCCCCTGCATATTCAATTCGTTGTATGCCGCTTTTGTCACGTCATTCTCACCCGCGCTCCTCGCTCCTCGCGCCTCTCACGAAACCTCGCATCCCTTTTGATTTACATGTAATCTCTCATATTGCTTTTATCCATCGTTCTAATACCATATCATTACACCATGCATATCCTTCATGCACACCCTCCATGCAGACATTCCAACCCCTTTTCACCCCTATCTGCCCTCCATAAACCTACCCCTTTCCACCCCCTCACTACCTCCCCTTTACGCAGACTGTTTTACCACTGAAAAGCTCCCCAAGTAGTATCCCCATCTCCACCACTGGCATGATTTCCCTGATTCCAGACCTCACCACTACCGTTATCACTCTGACCATTATTCCCCCAGCCACCCCCTACACTATTCTGCTCGTTGTTACCCCAGCCTCCATTCCCATCCGCTGGCCAACCGCCCTGATTCGATCCGCCTTGATTTGAAGCAGCTTTACCCTGGGACTTCTTTGACGCGAGGTCGGAATGTTTGGAATGTTTGGGGCCAGAGCCGGTATCCGAGTTCTTCACGGAGCCTTGGGCGGTGACTTGAGCTGAATTTTGAATTAAACCGTTGCCATTACCGTTCCTGTTGACCACAGACCCCTTTTCAGATCCCCGAACTGACCCCGCTTTCCCATTCTGTGACGACGGCTGCGGCTGCGGTTGTGCATCCCATGCTGGGACTGGGACTGGGACTGGGACTGTATTTCTAATCCACTCTTCCACCTTTGGATCGGATCCACCATTGCCTAATGATTTCGCCTTCTGAGAGTGAGAACCATCTTTGTCAAGAGCACTAGCGCGAAGCTTCAAGTACTCATTGATCATCTCCTCAGGCGGGAGTTTCAACAAGCGCTGTTTGATATCTTCCTCTGTCTCAACAGGCGTCGGGGAAGAGGTGCTTGGGGAGGTGTCAGGGTCATCGGGCATCTCGTCGCCGAGAAGTTGTTTCAGGGCAGCGTGGCTGCGGTATTTGAAGCGGAACACGGAGTACTAGCACAACCGACAGGTTAGTTCCCATGTATCATGGTGAAGTGGGCAGGATTGAGAATGAGAGGAATGTAAAGGAGGTGGGGTGGGCAAGGAGGCTTTACAGGTTTCTCCCATGAATCCAAATACTGCGGCCTCCCAATCTCATGTGTATACCTCTTCGCCTTCCCTGCTTTTACCTGATGATCCAAAAGCTCCTTCTTCGCCTTTGCTTCGGGGATCTTGGGTAAAGGCTCTTCATCCAAGTTATAGAGCACCTTATGCCCACCAGTTGTGAAGCTCGCGTAGTCCTCAGGGATAGTTTCGAGTCTCCTGGGTGAGGCTTCTGGAGGGATTACGAAATTTGACCATGGGGTACGACTAGAGGGTTTTTGATGGCGACGATAGTCTTTCAGGCGGGATTTCGAGTTGGATTTGCTGGAGATGGAGGAATGTTTGCCAGCGGTTGAGGCGTTGTCTATTTGGGAGGTGGAGTCGTGGGCAACCCATCCGCTACCAAAATCATTATTCTGGTTATTAGAGAATTTGCCCACGCCTGCTGTCCACGCGTCTCCACCAGAGGCGTTATTGTTATGGCTGTTGTTAGATTCGTTGTTGGCTGGCCATGGAATGTCTCCAGAGTTGTTGGTTTGCTCATTTGAAGAGTTATTGGCCCCTGTTCCCCAAGTGCTCTCGCCAGAGCCACCGCCGTTGTTGTTCTTATTCCAATCATTTTTGTCTACTGGCGCATCTCCGCTACCAACGTTGCCGTTATGGTCAGTGAAGTCCTTGTTAGTGTCACCCCGGCCGTTCGAAGTGACGTTGTTCCCCCAGCTATTCTCTTGAGGACCGGAACTGTCTTTACTGTTCTCTCCTGAGTTCTCTTGGACATTGGAATTGCCAAAGCCATCCCCTCCCCAGCCACCACCACGGTCGGAGGTATCAATCTGATTATTGGGGTCTTCCTTGTCATCGCTCCAAGCACCATCTTGAGCACCACAACTGCCGACACCTGCTGAACCCCACGAGTCATTTTGATCTTTTTGGTTGTTCGTGTTATTGTCCTCTGTTCCCCAGCTCCCTGGCATGTTATAGCCTGGGCTGCTGGAGTCATTCTTGTCTACTCCACACGCGTCGTTGGTCTGGTCGTTGGAGCTCTGCTCCTTTGATTCTCCGCCCTCATGGCCACCTTGACTCCATCCACCAAGGTTCGTAGTACCCCAGTCGTTGCTTTCTTCTGGTACACTGCCCAGCTTGCTCTTGCGCGACTTTCTGTGACTCGACATTCTTTTACTGGATCCGCTCTTACTAGAGCTGCTGTGACTACATCGAGTGTCACCAGATCGACTCTGACTAGATGAACTCCAGCTGGTTTTGCTCCCGCCGGATCCATTTCGATTGGATCCACTCTGGCTAGATCCACTTCGACTGGATCCACTTCTACTAGACCTGCTCTGACTTGACCTGCTCTGACTCGACCTGTTCCCGCCATCTTTCGACTCTTCTTGATCACCACACGAACCCGGCATAGATTTAGTATTGTCGTCAGTTCCCCAAAATCCCGAGGTTTCATTCTTGTACCCTAATGGATTAGCCTTGTCCCATGGAATGGGTTCTCCACCACCACCCCATCCACCAGTATCCTCTTTCTCGCCCACTTTGTCGGACTCTCCCCATCCACTCCGCGGAGCTGACTTTGACTTTCTCGATGACTTTGAAGTGTGAGGTTTCTTGGACCCCTTGAAACCCTGCGAAAGAGTATCACCGTTGCCCCAGGTCCAAGCGTCATTGTCTTTCTGAATGGCACTGGAAGAGAGAGTAGAGGTCGAACAGTTATCCTTGCAACTACTGCGAGATGAGCTGATGAGGATTGGACTGTCATTTAAGCCAGGGGTATCCAGGGGAGGGGTGCGAAGTATAGGCGTCTCTATGTAAGGATGATGTGCTTTTAATCGGCCGTCATCTTCATTGTTAGCCCCTCCGCATCCGTTGGCATCGTCAATGCCCCATGCGGAGAACTCATCTATAGATTTACACGAAGATTTTGAATGCTCAGACTCACCATTGCGAGACCATCCTGAGCGATGTCTGTGTCCCAGATAAGGTGTAGGCGGGGACTGAGATATGTCTGGCGACTTGGCTGTGTCCCAGGAATTTAGGAAATGGGATTCTTCCTCCACCACTTCATTCTTTCCCCAGCAGTTGTCATCTTCCGTGTCTGACCCGGAAGACTCACCGAGAGAGCCCCATAGATCTTGTGACTTCCTCAAATCTCTCTCTTGAGATTTTCTCAGAGGATTTTTCTGGGCCGAGTGAGACTCGGATGCACCCCAAGGGCTTGAGGTGGCCGATTCCTTCCCGAGCGGGCCCGGACTGCGCCAATCGTCGGTATGTTCGGTTGCCCATAGAAAGGTCCCCGGTTGGTGCTCTGAATCTGACTTTAATTTGCGCAATTTCTCGCTCTGACTAGTCCTTGAAGAGTTGTGCTTCTTCTGGGTGGATGATGAAGATGACCAACTCCGGGAAGTTGAACTATCTGATTCCTTCCGCGGGCTACCAGAACTGGACCAGCCATTGCTTCTAATTGCGCGGGACGGAGATGTACTTCTACTAGTGTCTCGGCACTCCGAGGAACCGTCCGCAGCGGAAGAACTTCCTCGTTTACTATTCTTACTCAACTTAATCCATGGGTCTGATCTGTCAGCTTTGTCCCAAGCAACCGGTTGGTTCGTGCTAGTGTGGATAAGGGGAGAGGCCCATGCTGGATTGAGATGATCCGCGGGGGGGATTCCTGCGCCACCAGAGTTCCAACGAAGAATTCCCGACGGCTCTTTGCACCATCCACCGTCTTGTGGTCCTGGCGGAGGAGGGGGTAGATTTACAGGGTCCAACGGGGGTGGGGGCCATGCTCCTGGGGGCTTTTGGTGTACTCCAAAGGGAGTCACATCGTCGTTCACAATTGGAATTTGCAGAGGTTTTTGCTTCTCCACCTTCTGCTGAAGGGCTTCTGCAGCTCGCTTGTATGTATCTTGAACCATCCGAGTTAGCCATTGTGAGGTGGCAGGCTCCGTATCCGACACAGATCCAGTAGGAGTTTGACTCAAGGTAGTGTCAGCAATGGTGGGTGGATATTGATGTGATGAGACTGGCCCTGATCCATAGTGTACATATGGGCTTATGGGTCGATTAGCAGTCGATCGAACTGTCGGCACAGGGTCGTCATGTCGCGGAAAGCTAGGAGGGTGGGGGTAAGGGATAGGATAGTAGCAATCCGAGGGTTCATCGATGACATTTCGCTGCTCTCCTGTTCCCGTGTCAGCTTGGCCATGATCGCTCTTCCCGCCTGGTGACTTACCTCGCGTTGACAGTGGAACACTGGAGCTACCATATCCAGGGCGGTTATGGACAAATCTATGTGAGGGATGTCCATATTCACCGAAATAGTCACCTGGATCTTGTAGTCGAGAGTGATGATCTCGGGTTTGACGATTAGTGCTGTATGGCCGCTTGTTATCCCACGGTGCTCCATCCAGGTTGAGACCATACTCTGGGGTATCATTAGTACCATCGAAGCTACCAAATGTGAATTGAGCCGGCTTCCGGGTACTGCTGGTTCCGACACCCCTAAGTTGCGCGGTGCACCTAAGTACGATGACCTCGATGCACCCAATGTTGTCGAGAATGTTGGTGTTGGAGCATATGTCTGGCGCATCATCCGCGGCGGCTCATAAGTTAGTACCTTGGCAAGAGTAGCAGAGATCATATGCACCTACCAGTGTTGAGCTTCGCAAAGGCCCATTCTCGCGCAATCAAAGAGCCATTCTGTTGCCTCTCTTCTTTTTGGCGAACGTGAAAGTTGACCACGGTGCGTTTGCCTAGCTTACCTGGAGCGCCCTGCGGGTCTACCAAGCCGAGCCGATTACGATTGCATTGGTAGATACCATCAATGTAGACAAACATGGCCAAACCCGGAGCAATGAACCCGCTAGAAGTGAGGCGTACAGCGAATGTCTTCGGGTCGGAAGGTACACGAATGAATGACTCCACAAATCCATCTCCATAGGAGGTTCCATACTCTTGCAGCTTCTCTCGGGAGTCCCCCAGCTCGATGGAGCAGTCGAGATCCTTCAGCAATGGCATGGCGAGGTGCTTTGCGGGATCATTCGCGTTGAGAGGCGAATGTGAATCTACCCACGATGTTAAAGTCAAGGGGTTGTGGGAATAAGGCTCGGTTTGAGTGGGGCAAACAATGGTTATATGAAAGGACAGTCGAGAGTCTAGAGAAGAGAGGAGAAAATCATTTCACTTAACTGCCTGATAATTGACGTCAGTCATCCTGTTTGCAGGTACAACAACAAATTGGCATTATTCGCAAGACACACCGTATATTTAGGTGGGGGAATTGCATGGATGAGCGCGCAAGAAGCGGCAATATTACTGCCTTGCTTCCTGAAATGCATCACATTTTGCTATTCTTCTTGCTTCTGAGACCTAGCCTTTGAGATGATAGACGAATTTCTCACCGAAGCCTGTCTCTGAGAGGATGTAGCTTGCCCGCCAGACTGTATTCCCCCCAGCCGCCCCTTTGCGGCCTCATACTGTTTGACCGCTTGTCCTTCTACTCGACAAGACGTCACACTCGCTTCTCACTCTTCACAGACGGAGTTCTTCGGCATGATGCGGCAATGAACTGGGCACACCACAACTTGGGGCGAGGATTTAATTCCCAATTCATCACAGTTCATTTCCGAAAGCAAAATATGAAGGCTCAAGTCCATTGCTCCAGTTACAATAACAACAGGGATGAATAGACGTTGAAAAGCCAGAAAACACAAGCCAGCTCTTGAGCCGTGCCGACGCGATTTCGTGGCTGACTAGTCTGCAAAGGGAATGGCGTCGAGATCAGAATCATCAACAGCTTAACGTCAATCCAACGTCTTACCAACACCGAAGTGCAGGAGGCCCTTCATGTCCCACGAAAAGAATTCATCCCTGATGTTATTACAAGTTCTATATCTGCTCGCATTACCCTTAAAAGTCTACCGTTAGTCATATTGCCGAAAGGCTACCTTGGAACAGGAAAACGAAAAGCTGTAGAAGGCGACAAAGAGTACTACCAAAGAAAGGTCCCGCCAACTCGAGAGGATTGTGGGACTGGGATGGTTTTAGCGACGGCTTTACAAGCTGTATCAGTTCTCTCCTCTTGACCTATTCCATTTAACTTAATCCCTCCAATATATTTCTAGTGGCCATTTATTCGCTTTTCTTACATAGCTGCGAAAAGTCTAAGTTGTCGTTGCTACAATAGCTACGATATGGCTACCTTTGATTTGTTGTTATGTCTGTGAGTATAGTTTTCGAGCATCACAATGGTTGGGCGGGCGACCGTTTTCACCGCATCCAGGTCTTCTTCGCTCCAACAGCCTCATATTTCGGCCTCCTAGGCATCGCGAGAATTTTCGTGCATAAACGCACTACTTTCCCTCTTCTCTTTTGCTTACCACAAACACTCCGCCTACTCTACCCCCACATCCTCTCAACCCCGTCACCTCTTCGTCAAATCGCCTTCATCCAAGCGACTCTCTCGTGTATCTACCCTCTTTACAGTGGTGTACGCATTCAACTGCTTTTGGAGCAGCATCCTCATCAATTACCCTTGTTCAAGACTCTTCTCTACCGGACTGGATCCTAGCTCTGCCCAGCCCTAGTGGCCTCGATACTCCGTAAGTTTCCCTGTAGGGATGCCCAATATCAGTCACCTCATTCTGCTGCTTTCACGAGAAGCCTGCTAACATTAAAGGCTCTTTGACTAGCCCGAGCTAGAGGCTACCCCTAAGAAGGTCACTCTTGTGGAGTCAGCCACCGACATTCAGAGGCTGTTCATGGACAAAACTAGCATGCGCTACAAACAAACTTTCCTATCCACCAAACTAGATAACCCGACGGTCAAGAAAGACTTCGTGTAGGTATTGTTGTAGAACACTCTTAAGGGTCACTCAGCATTTTATGGGGTCTTTTACTATGCCCCACTCTACAACGCTTTAGAAAATGCTAACACGTCTGGGAGTTCCAGTACTCAGGCCCAGCCGTGCAAATTGTGCTTCCCACCGCCACCGACCCGAAGACCTACGAGCATTGGTCAACCTTCCTTCAGGCTCACAATATCTTGGAGCTCATGAAAGACACCAAGATTCGCATCTGTGCTGCACTCAAGCTCATGGGTAAAGAAGAAATCGGCAACATCGTCCCTATTATGGTGAATGTTCTCCTCCGAGACGAGGCCGAATATGAGCGCGGAATTACTCCCTGTATCGACTACGTCCAAGCTTGTTCCATGGATAACAAGTTGGTGGCGATTGCGAGGCCATGATTCTGAAGAAGATCGAAATAGTGCAATATCTGTGGACTCATGGGCTGGCCGCCACCGGCATGTTCAATGTTCTCATTACGCATAAATACAAGAGCTATAGTATTTATACGGAAGAAGAGAAGCAGCTCATGAAAGGGGTCGATAGTGTCGCTTACCGGCGTGTCGACCACGACAAGATACTTTTCGATGCCCACGCTCTCGAGATCGTCCGCCGGGAGAGGGACGGTGCCTATGATTGAGTGGATGAAAGTGCATCTCAACAACAAGCGACCACTACCCCCACTGGGGCTGGGTGGCTGGTACGCTGTCGTCACAAAGGGCTAGGTGCGGGTCCTTCAAGAGATGGCATCTCAATTCAGCTGGACGTCCAAAGGGATCTCCGGGCCTGCTGCTGTGGAGGGTAAGTAGTTCTTAACAGTTGCGGAGATCACCTTCCTAGAAATACAAGAATAGGATCGATAAGAACTTAAAAAAAGACTATAACACCATGCATTATAATCCTTCGAGCAGTGTTATTAGAACAGAGACTACTATCCTTTCACCTTGCTTGAGTTTAGCATTTAGCTAACGAGATATATGGTAATATCTTGTAAGACAATACTTGAAAATATATCTCCTGATCTCTTTTCCTACTATCTAAAGAAATACTTATATAAGAATTTAATATGTTTATTAGGCATAGTATCTCATTAGTCTTCCTGCTATCTTTCCAGAACAGTCCCTACCACCCCAACCCTTTGCCAAAATTCCACCCCCCTGCCAAGAGATGCCTACTCATACCCTTCTGGAGCGAACTTCAACCCCATCGCCCTTACGGTATCCCAACAATGCCCTAGCACTACCTTCGCCGACGTCCTTCTCGCCAACGACTTAATCATCTGATGACTCCTCACCCAGGCATCATGATCCCTCGCTAACCACCCCTGTGGAACATCATCCTCATAATTCTCCTTCACATGGTACTGATCACTTGTAAAAATCCATGTCCCACTCTTTGGCATATTGACCTGCAGAACCGCCAATCCGGGGGTATGGCCGGGTGAATGATGTAAATTTAATCCCGGTGCGACTTCAAAATAGGAGCCATGAAATGGTACCCAATTTATATCAAAGGTGAGGTAGTGTGGGAGATAGACGCCAAGATCGGATTTTGTGGCGACGGCGTAGAACGCGTACTTTAACTCGAGTTCGTGCACGTACACAGGCACACCTGAGTTCCGGAATGGATCTAATCCACCTGCGTGGTCGAGATGTAGGTGTCCGATAATCACCATCCTGACATCCTTAATGTCATGGCCGGTCAGTTTGATCTGCGCGTCCAGGTCCATGGAGGAATCGTATTCCACGCGCGAGAATACGTCGTTGACTTGCGGGCCAACGACTTCAGGGTAGTCAGGCCCGGCGCCCGTTTCATAAAGGATGAGCCCGAATGTGGGATGCTCAATGAGGAAGGAAAGCATGATGAGTTTGCGGCGTTGGTGTGGCGGATTAGGGTCGGAAAGTTTGGAGGCACCTGCCGCGCGTTTGAACCATCCTTCGTCGCACTCGAGGTTGCCGAGATGGAGGGCCTGGAAAGATGTTAACTGGGGGTGAAGATGGGATTTGAGGGTGTAGCACCCATAGTTTTGTTCCCTGCGAATGTTGTGAACTTTATGATCGTTTTAAGGGACAAAATGGGCATGCATACTTCAGGAGCTTGATTGATCAGGTCAATTGAAGTCGACATGGTGAAATGTCGTCAATGTCATCTCAACTTGAAACGTATGGGGAATTTATCTCTAAAATAAAAGCCCAGCTTAGCTCTTCTATTTCCGGTTTATTGGCCTTCTCCAACTCCAACAAATGGTGAAAAACCATGGGATTTTGTACCCTGTCTAGCCCCACCTACTACGCGTGGTGACACTGGGTCTAGAAGCTCTAATATGAATTGAGGGCGTGATTTTTCTTGGGCGTTGTCGTGTTCTACTTTTCGAGAAGAGGGGTTAGCTCACCAGGGTTTGCGCCTCCGCGGGACAGTGTTCACATGAGCGTGGGGCGCAAATGGCAGAGAGGTCCCTTGACCGTTCAGCGGGGAGGGTTCGGGGAAGTAGTGGGGTAATTTAGAACGGCGTTACGCGAGTTCCTTAACAATGAAGCCAAGTTAGAGCACATTGGCCACACAAGAATTCTAGAGTTAAAAGGCAGAAAGAGTGAGAGAGAGAGAGGGGGGGGAGAGAGGGAGGAAGAGAGTAGGGGCTCTTTATGATTTACTTAAAGCGAGATATCTCCAGCTTCTCACTCCTTCACAAAAACCATTGATTAAACCTACAAGGTCTCAAGTCCATCACGTGATCTCGCGTGTCTCAACCTTCTAAGGTCGGAACCTTATCCAGGCAAAAATCATAAAAACTCAGCACACTCAGCACTAAACCCATCTTAAGAAGTAAGAATGATACATGGTGGTAGGAGTGGGATTTAAACCCATGCGGGTTTCCACGCAGAAATATCCTCACCCAATCTTCGAGAGATAAAACAAGCTTTCACTTAGGCTCTGCGGCTTAACTGCTCGGTCTGATTCGGAGCTAGCCTTATCAGAATGGAGGGGAAGTATGAAGGAAGAAAGAAAGAAGGCACAACGGACGCTAAAACTCTTGGAAATACTGAAGGAGGAATCTATGCTAGCCTTACTTTTGAGAATTTAGAACTTCTTCTTATCAATAGGGTTTCTACTCTGTCATCTACGCCTTTCATTAAGCTACAAGATACTCACGCGTTTGTTTGTAGTCTTTTGAGTAGGAAGAGATGCAAAGGGATTGACTATTTTGAGTAGTGAACGTTGAACGTGGAAAATCTTCGATTAGTGTAGAGTGGAGAATTGGGAGAAAGAAAATTTTGGAGAAACATCAAGTTAGATTCGAGCCCCTTATTCCGAACTCACATAGGATTCATGGTAGAATCAATTCAGGCTCCTGCTAAGAGTCTCCAGGAGCCCAATTCCCTTGAAAACCGATCGCATTCAAATGCACATGAACATCTTGCCTGACTTCTCGCATTCAACGTAACCGCTCAAACCCTCCCTCCCACCAATACCCCTATATGTCCTCCCGCCTCCTCCAAGCTCAAATCAGCATCCCTATCCCCGGCCCAGCGGAGCAAACCCGTCCCAGCATCCCCTCAACTCGAAATTGCGCTATGAGAAAACATAACACACGCGCAAGGAATGGGCTCGCAAGCAGCACCACAAAACTAAGACAAGTAAGCCACACCCTATAACCCCAATTTCACATAAAGTGCGGCGAAGATTGTCTAACAGCCGCCGTCTTTCAGCCAAAGGTTTCACAACAGCAAAACATACGTTTTGGTTGACAGGGGCACGCAGCTTGTTGTGGGGCCGGGCCGATCAGAGAAACAAGACAAGGGCAGTGACCTGATTAGCTGAACCGAAAACCGTCCTTGATTAAGTTTAGCGCCTTATTTTCGAGGTCTGTTCACTAGCGATCTGAGCTGAACCCTGGACCTGAGCTTTCGACTTCGATGATAGAAGATTTCGTAAATGTCACTAGGTTCGTTTCCAACATGACAGAATTGTCATCATTAACGCGATGTTTAGTGGATTGCGTGTTTTAATGCTTCGGTAATAGCATTTTGTATAGTGGAGTGTAATGCGGTTGTTGGGGTGGCGCGCTAGTAATGCTACTTTTGTTTTGGCAAACATGCATTTGGTGTATTTATGTTTGTGCTTGAAGCAGTATGTGGAGGGTTTAGGGTTTTGCCAGATGTAAGATTTTCTTTTAATTGAATGGAGAACACGGAAATCACAATTACACTCTTCTCATCTACGTTACCTTTTCCAGGTTGAGAGCGCTAGTCGTGCCGTAAAAAGATAAATACGTCGCTCACGAGCTTTGAGATGAGGTCGAAGAGATCCATGATAGAGTTAGAGGAGGTGTGCTAGGGCAATTATCTGCGATGAAGGTACCTGACACTAGATTTAATGACCATATATCATTCAGACCTAGCACAATGAGACACGCACAAATGATGGCGCCGTAGTACAAGAGGGGCGGAGGAGGTTACACCACAGGCCAAAGGACAAAAACTACTCCTAGACACACATCGATAACTGTACCGAGGAAAATCTCCAAACAAAGGGAAAGCAGTGATGATGCGTAGAAAGAGGACGGGACGGAGAAACGGTAACTGCCGGAGAGGACATGGGAGTAAATGTGTGAGAGGGAGGAAACGAACAAGAAGACGTGGGAGGAGAATCAGGAAGGGAAAGAGCATGTTGGAAATATATCAAAGCGAAGCAGGCAAGGGAGAACGCTAGCAAAGACGAATAAGGTGAGCAGAAAGATGGGGGTAGGAAGGAACAGCCAAAGGACTGTACAAATCACTGGGAAGATACAGTGCACATGGAACTCGGGAATAAGAAGTAAAAGAGCTTCAAGGAGAAGGAGTAGAAGTCGTCTTAGGATGCCAAAGCGGGGGAGGCTCGAGATTCCGAATCTGATCAGTCCGCTCGGAATGGAGATGCAAGTAACCTAACACGAAGAAGCGCGGACGCGGGGCGAACCGGATCGGCAGAAACAAAGAAGTGTAAGAGCAATGGCAGCATTGGAAAACCGCAGGGTCTAGCTGGCAAGAAGGCTCGCGTTCCGAAGAAGGGTCAGAAGGTTCAGAGGAAGACACTGCCGGGGTTCGTTGACGGGGAAGGGCTTGAGGTGGTATACGAAAGGAAGATGGAGGAAGTAAGTTAACGCTAGTAAAGAGACCCCCTGGGTGGTGCCCAAGACCAGCAAGGTTGCAGTTCACAAGCCAGAAGCTCTGTATTTCGGTTAGTGTTTATTTAGTACACCACCGGCGCTATTTCGCTGGAGAGGTCCGAGTAGTAGGTCTGGAAATGTACGGCAGCTGCACGTTTCAGTCGCTCTCTCGAGGCCTCACGAAAGCCGGCAAGTACGCCCGAAATTCTGACAAGATGCATTGGTGTAGCTGAACTGCTGCAGGACTCGGTCGGCCATCGTTGTATCATAGTTTCATGGCACTTTTTTCTCAACGATAACTCTTACGGAGAATCCATGTGCCGTAACCTACTCCTGTGCTGCGGTGGCGACTCTCCACAGACATGGCATTTGGTCGTCTGACGAGGGGTGCGTATTCGGAATGGCGATGAGCGTTGGAGGAATACCCCTCGTGGAAATGGAGGGCTTCCGCGGCATTCCAGTGGCTTCTCTCCCCTCCCAGTTCCGCGAGCCAGTTCCCCAGGTCTTGGACATTGGACATGCGAATAGGAAAGGCTCGGGGCGTGGAAATAGCAGGTGCCCCACAGCGTCGTCTTTGGATGAGCATGCAGCAGAGGCCGTCTTGGTGCATCGTCAGCGGGTCTGGATCTCTTGGAGATGTGGTGGAGGGGAAAGCAGCATCAAAGTGCATGCTAGCCTGCGCATCGGCCAGCAGCTGCCAGCATCAAGCATGCAGTGCGGCGGCGTGATTGGGTACGGGCGAGGGCGATCTGCATGTCTGCAAAAGGTTGTGCGCCAGACGGCCGTTTCTCTGAATCTGCAGGTCCTGGCGAAGAGCACATTATTTTCGTGAAGCCCTCCCCAAGAAAGCAAATCGAGGAGAAATCATGCTGTGCAACGTTGAGCGGTGCCTTGGTTTTGCAGTCACATTTCAGCAGAATCGTTCGATCATGGCGATATCCGTCGGACGACAGCGACTTCAGATTGACCCTCACCGACTCCTCAAACGCGGAAGTCGCGAGACGACTGCGATCTCGAGATTCGAAGAATATTCAAATTCTTGGGAAGCGCAGCGTGGAGGCGACGGAAACCGGTTCGAGGCGGTTGTACCCGTTCGTCGTTCGTGCGTGCTGAGGTCTCATGCCCGCAACGATGACAGCAGTCAACAGAGCGCAGACATGTCTCGAGATCCAAGCCTCTGGTTCGTCTTCGTGTTACTCGACGCTGACAGAGACACGGCGAAGCATCGAGCAAAATGGTGCCGGGCTCCCCAGCTCCAACGCTCCAACCCGGCCAAGTCAGGACAGCTCTGCAGGCTGAGTGGGAAGTCATGCGTGTGCTGAGGGCTGCTGGGTGGGGGATTATCGGAAAAATACGCTTGCGCTGCCGGTGCGCTGCGGGAGGCAGTCAGATGTCAAGGCGGCAGAGGCGTGAGAGCCCTGGGGAGCCTTCTTCATTTACAAGCTCTCCAGTGCTGTGCGATGACAAGGGCGAGGCCGATGGAACGGACAAAGAAGGGGAGAGTGAATGTTCGCCATGGCTAGGGAACGCTCGGGGCACCCAACGGCTCGCTAGGGTCGAGCGACCAGGGCCGACCCAGCAGCATCAGCGGCGCGCGCTTTTCCTCTTGGTGTTGTCTGTGTGACTCCCTTCAGACGCGTGGGGACTTTTGCCAGCTGGATAGCGTGCTTAGGTGCAAAAAGCGTCCCCGTCCTTGCAGCGCCGCCGGCTGGAGGTCACGCAGCAAGCCCCCCCCAAAGACGTCCATCCACACAGCGGCAGTCTGCGCCTGCGGCCAGTCGTCTTTTGTTTGGCGCCGCTCTGACAAGCGACCCAAGTGCCCCTCCTCATCGATTGCCTCAGATCCCATCACCGCCAACACCAAAATTTCTGGCAGGAGACAGCACCGCTCGCACTCACCAGCCCCTGCGACGCCCCTACACGCTCATTACCTATTCAATCGCTTCGTCCTTCGCGCAATGCTGCTTCTCTAGTGCCGTCTGGCGTGGACAATTCGTCCGTCCCACCCCTCGACCACCACCGCCTCTCGCCGTCAGCACCACCAATACTCGACACCTCGCAACACCCTCGCACCCGCACGCCGCCCGCACACGCCTCCCTTCACTCCACGTCCTCACCATGGTCCACGGGGCGGCCCTCATATAACCCATCCGCTGCCGGTCCTTTGGTGGACTCCTCCCACGTCGCCGGGACGGACCCCCATTCGACATTCGGAATCTTGTATCGAGCAACAAACTTGCAATGGCTGAGGAAGGGAAGCCGCAGACACTGGCCCCGCCAGCTGTGACGGCATTGAGGGAAGAGGCGGCGGGGACAGCACCGCACCGTGTTCAGATGGAGCGCACAGCCAGCCAGGATATTCGCGAAGAGCGCGAGGACCTCAAAGAGGCTGCTGAGCACAGCTTAAACGTCATCATGGACCTCGATCTAGACGGCAAGATCCGATACGTGAGCGACTCGTGGAAGGACGTTATCGGCACGACTCCCGAGGAAGTCGTTGGCATCCCCGTTGCCGACCTTCTTCTCGACAACAGCTCCCAGTTCGCCGAGACGGTTGAGTCAATAAAGGAAGATGATTCCAGGAGCCAAATCACCCGTTTCTCTGTGCGTATGGGCCCGCTGTCTGTCCTCCGACGGAAGCGCTCAAGACGTTCAGAATCAGAAGAGTCGGAACTGTCGCCCGAGTCACCCCAAGACGAGCAAGAGCAGATCCTCAACCTCGAAGCCCAGGGCATTATGGTGTACGACCGAACCACTGGCGGGGAGAGTCACGTGTGTAATATCTGTGTCCATATTCTATCAATCCTACTAACTTTTGCTAGACTATGTGGATGATTCGACCTTCAGTGATCCGTGAAGTCACCATTGATCTCCCAGAAGTCCTCGTGGAGTCTCTTGGAGTTGGTGCAGAAATGTTAGCCCATTATTTGACTGGCCTCGCCGAGCAAGGTGCTAAAGATCCTGGAAATCATCCGCCCCCGCTCCCCGTCTTGTGTCGGATTTGTGAGCGGCAGATCACCCCATGGTGGTTTGAGAAGCACACCGAACTCTGTCTGCAGGAACATCGTGCGGAGATGGACGTCCAATTAGCACAAGAGAGTCTTGGTGAACACCGCAACGCTATTGTTAAGGTTCTAGATGCTCTGGAGGCACAGTCTCGACAGCCGATGGCCACTTCCGGGGATATCGCTCCCCCGGTACTGCCTCCTCCAGAATACAAGGGAATCCTGATTCAGCCAACCTCAACACCCTCGTCTGGAACACCATCAGGTCGAAATTCTCCTGCCTCCCCTCCTTCGAGGTCTCGCGAAAGGTCCACAGGCTTTGGGCATCACCGTGCACGGTCGTTTGCTGTGAGGAGACCGTTGGCTCGCATCGTTGAGCTTGTGCTTGATCTGTGTGACACTGCGCTGGAGATCAACACACCTGCCATTAAAGACAATACGAGGACCCAGTCAGCATCTGAAATTCGGACTCAGTCGCCGCAATCCGAGAACCGCATATCCCAGGTCTTGCAGTGGCAGTCTCCAAGCTCTGGCTCTGTTGATCATGGAGAGGGGTTCAAACTGCTTTGTGACGACACAAACAAACTTGCACGCGCTAAAGTCGATGCCGTCTTTCGTCATAGACGAATTCTTGAATATTCCGAGCGAATCCGTGTTGAATTCGACGTTCTGGTGCAAGAATGCATAGAAGCTGCCATGGTCAAGGCCGCTAGAATCGCCGCAGGAGAGGACAGCTCATCTGATGACGACGACCAGCAAGAAGAGGAAGACCGTCAGTCCGAAGCCGACGAGACACCTCCTGTAGAAGAGGGTATATTCCCTGGGTCTTTTGACCCCCCATCGGCCATGGCACAGGCTCTTCGCAATGCTTCCGATACCTCCCTTCCGGCGCGTGTCAGCCGGAGGGAGTCTTCTGTAGCAGGATCAACAAGATCAAGCAGCCCTCGAGGTGGGTGTCAGACGCCACGCTCGCACGCTGGAGCTATTAGTATCGCCACGCAAAACAAGCGCCATTCGATGCATTTCGAGAGCGATGCTGGAGCAGACAGCGACACCAGCGTACGGTCGTCTGTCATGTCCGGGCCGAGGCGGGCAGACTCACCTTCATCAGAGCTCAGCTTGAGCCGAGTAGCCAGTTCTCGTGAGCGTAAGCGAAAAAGTCTCATCCTCCCAAGCGTCATGTCGAGCCGGCAGCATTCGCCGGCACGGTCGATGGTCCCTCCTTCTTCGCCTCTGAGGACGAACAAGCCACGCATCCCCAGTGGGGTCGAAGGCCTACAGTCTCCAATCACGTCGCCTGTTCTAGCCACGAGCGAGTTCTCCTCCCCAGCTCTGGCTCAGATTCATCACCATCGTAGACAGTCGTCCACGGCCGGTTCTGACGGCCCCAAGCCAATCTCTCCAAGGCTGATGCCTGTCAGTGCACCCCAGCCTCGTGCAGTCCCCCCATCCATCAAAGATTTCGAGATCATCAAGCCCATTAGCAAAGGAGCCTTTGGTAGCGTGTATTTGGCAAAAAAGAAATCGACAGGGGAGTATTTCGCAATCAAAGTCTTGAAGAAAGCAGACATGGTTGCGAAGAATCAAGTCACCAACGTCAAAGCTGAGCGAGCAATCATGATGTGGCAGGGCGAGAGCGACTTTGTTGCCAAACTGTATTGGACATTCTCAAGCAAAGACTTCCTGTATCTGGTGATGGAGTATCTCAATGGTGGCGATTGTGCCTCACTGATTAAGGTTCTTGGTGCTTTGCCCGAGGACTGGGCGAAGAAATACTTAGCTGAAGTTGTTCTTGGCGTAGAACACCTTCACAGTCGAGGAATTGTCCATCGAGACCTGAAGCCAGATAATCTTCTCATAGATCAGAAAGGTCATTTGAAGCTGACCGACTTCGGTCTATCCCGTATGGGTTTGATCGGACGCCAAAAGCGGGCCCTGAACAGCAAATCGGATGAGCAAGCCCCTGATCTCTTGAAGACAGGACCCTTCCATCGCGCCACCTCAGTTGGGTCATCTCGCTCTGCATCATTTGATTTGAACCCATCTCCTTCGCAGACACCGAGCATGACACCAGCTCTCACTGGAGACCTCGGCCAACCGTCGTATTTCAGTCTGAACCGAGAGACCAGTCACGCCCGCGAGCCGTCAAGGAGGACATCTGGGAACCGTAGCGACAGCGGCGATAGCGAGGCATTGCAGGCAATGTTCCGCCGCTTCTCCATCGTCGATGACCAGCTCCTTCAACCCCGAAAGGGCTCACCAATAGAGGAGGAAGCGTACAGCGATGAAGGGTCACCCGACCTCTTCCCTGTTGCACCCACAATTAGTCAGTCTAGTGCTGCACAGAACAATACCCCACCCCCAACCTCGACTATGCCCCCGCCACCTATGGCGTTGTTTGACCCTCAAGACAGCAATCGTAGGTTTGTCGGAACACCTGATTACTTGGCCCCGGAAACCATCGCAGGTAGCGGTCAGGACGAAGTTAGTGATTGGTGGTCGCTAGGATGTATCCTCTTCGAGTGCTTGTATGGCTACCCACCTTTCCATGCGGAGACACCCGATCAAGTCTTCCAAAACATCCTCTCCCGGAAGATCGACTGGCCCGATGATGACTCCGATGAGATCTCAGGGGAAGCGAAGGATCTGATGAATCGTCTCATGTCGATTGACCCTACGAAGCGGCTAGGTGCGAACATGGACGATAAATACGCTAGTGGTGGAGAGGAGATCCGAAGCCATCCATGGTTTTCTGACTTGAACTGGGAGACCCTTCGCGATGATGAAGCGTCTTTTGTTCCCGCACCGGAAAATCCAGAAGACACCGAGTACTTCGATTCGAGGGGAGCTGCCATGCAAAGCTTCGCACCTGAATTCGAAGATCAAGGGACTTCTTCCGCTGGTACTCCTAGTGCCGATTACCCTGACCGTCCTCACGACGCGCTGTCTCGTGTTCGCTCCCAGATTAGTGTCACAAGCATGAAACGAGGCCTCATCCCACTGCATATCCCTGCCCATGTTCGAGAAGGGCGGTCGAGACGGCTGAGTGAGCCCGTAGCTACAGACGACTTTGGTAATTTCAGCTACAAGAACCTTCCAGTACTTGAGAAAGCCAACAAGGATGTCATCCAGAAGCTTCGGGCAGAGGCTATGCAAGCACAGAACAAGCCATCATCAGCGCTTCAATCACCAAGTGTCACTTCGCCATCTCCGTCCCTTGAATCAAGTCCCATGCTCCCCGCACCTTTGAAGAGGACACTTTCGACAAAGGGCACTGGTAGGCCTACTTCCCCATCAATTAGTGGACTAAACTCTTCCCCAAGTCGGGGATCTCAGCCATCTTCTCCACTACTTGTTCAGTTTAGCACAGGGCAGCATCACGAAAGGAGAAAAACGTCGAGCAGCTCCTCGACTTTATCACACGCGACCAGCAATCCGGCCTCTCTTCAACTGCCTGGCAACCTTTTCGATGCGCCGCGTCTTACAACTGGCTTCAACCCCACGCCTGACTCTGTATCGCCGATAAAACTCGTCAAAACACCATCTGCGATGTCCGGTTCGTTTACAGAGAAAGGAGTTCCCACTCAACGCCAGACATCAATCGGTCAAACAAGCGCCCCCTCTCCCCGGGCACGATCCCAAACTATGGGCTCACAAGACGGTGATGTTGTGCGCGACCTGATGCCAAGCCATCACAAGCGGAGGAGCCAAGTCTTTGATGTGTCGCCATCCTCGTCAGACACAGAGGACTCCCGAGCCAAGGCACTCTTGCGTGTGCAACGAAGAAGGCAGAGTTCTCGTCGCCTTTCTCAGATCAGTCTTGCTGATGGTCCCATATTCAGACCTCTGGATGTTCTCGTGTGCGAAGATCACCCCGTTTCAAGACTGGTTATGGAAAAGCTCCTAGAGAAACTTCGCTGTCGCACATTGACTGTCACAAACGGCTCAGAGGCTATCCGATATGCCATGGGCGAAGTCAAGTTTGATATCATTATGATGGAGTTCAAGCTTCCTCAGGTCAATGGAGCCGATGTTGCACGAATGATTAGGGACACCAAAAACGCGAATTCCAACACTCCAATTGTTGCCGTGACTGGCTACCTCAAAGAATTGCAAGCCCCTCATCACTTTGATGCACTCATCGAAAAGCCTCCAACAGTCGGGAAGCTCACGGACACCATGGGGAAGTTGTGTCAATGGAAGGCTCCTCCGCCAGGCTGGACTCCGGGTCACAGTCAATATCCGTCCATGATGCCATCCACTCTTCGTCAAGAATCGACTCGACAGGGAGACAGCCCGACCTCGAATTCTTCAGGCTTCCCTGCGATGCCCTCTGGTAGTTACCGTGGCTCCAGCCGCGAAGACTCGATTAGTTCGAGTTTCTTTGGCGACAACGAAAGTCGCACAGACGACGTGCCTGTCATTATCTCTCGTCCTAACATCGACGATTGGCGCGACCGGGATATAGCTCGCGTTATGAGTGGATTGGGTATTTCAGAAGAACCAATGGGCAATGTCGATCCCAAAAACGTTGGGCAGAATCTTCCCGTTCCGCATGACCTTACATCCCATGGGGCTTCTGCGCCTGCCGTGCTGGAGCATGCAACGATCCGAAAGCAACGATCGGCCGAGATGGTTGGTGTCAAACGGCGTATACTTGAAACGCGTAAACATGAATCTGCAGAATCAGGTGACGATGAAGACGACGAGCTCGGGAATGTCAATGTCCGTGCCAGGAGTCCCAAGACACGGCCCAAGTCATCGTCAAAGCTTGGCATCGAGATGATGCGAACCAACAGCAGAGGAAGTGTGATTTCAATAGACGATGTCGCGCCGCCAGACTCTACTTTAACTACATCGCCGCCGCCAGCCATAACCGAAGAGCGGAGTGCCGAGGAACACGAGGTGAACCTTCCCATGTCAGACGTTCCACCTGTGTCACTCACCCCACCTGAGATCTTCCCGCGTGTTCCTGGAGAGGAAGTCCAAGACATCGAGATGGAGACACCAAAGGCTTCCGTCCAGTTAGCTATGGAGCAGGACCTTGATCCTACTCCCAGGGCCATCGCGTCGCCTGAGGCATAGATCTCCTTCACAGTTCTCCCCGGTTTCCGATAGATTGCATACTTTGACCACTCTTCATTTCCTTTGTGTTTGTTACATGCAGATGGCCTATCACGCTATCAGTAATCTTCCTCCGCTTCCTGTCGAAATTTGAGCATGGTGTTGGTGGTGTTCCTGAAGGTAGTGCACCGAGGAAACCGGGTATTGGCTGGCTGGCGTTGTTCTCTTCTTTGCATTTTGCAACTTGCTACTACTCTTTTTGACATCTATCACCTGGTATATGCATTTGCATGCGAGGGTTTTGGGTGGGTGTCACTATCGAGCTTATTGTTGCATGTTTTAACTGCACGAATTCTTCTCTACCGTTTCATTTGTTCAATGTATTTGATTTACATGGTCAGGCTTGGTGCTGGTGGCTCACATTCGTTCCTGCAAATTGCTGATACTTATACCTGGAGGCTTTTCTTCCGGGACAGACTGTCACTTATTTCCTTTCTAACATATCTTACAAACCCTCCACTCTTTTTCTAAAGTGTCTTTTTGCCGGTTTGCGCATACCAATTTGCAACATGCGCGGCTCTCAGTCCCAGTCTGCTTGGCTTAAGTCCCCTCTTTATATTCCCTTTTTTTTCCCTGGATATAGCCAATATGGTGATGGAGAAATTTTGGCATCCCTTGTATCGTTAAATGGTCGCTAATGGTTGGGGGTTCTGGTCCTTAGGAGTTCGGGAGACTGCATTCTTTCGAAGGCAGGAAATTGGCTCGGGACTGGATGGAAAATGTGGCATTGGAATGGCTTGAGGTAGACGAAGGAGGTTGGGGTTGAGGATGTGCCTGTATAGGGTGGATAGTGGAGGAAGAAATAATAGAGAAGTCGCTCGGTGCGAATTTTGGTGTCTTAGACGTATACGTGAGCTGTGAATTTGCTTTGTTTGAGCTGGAATTGGTTGGTGAAGACCATAGCTGCAAACTCACATTCACGTTGACATTCACGGCATCCTCTTAGTACTTCCGACGTCTTTCATCACGCTATTCAAGTAGCATAGATATTGAGATCGAACATTTGCAGGTGGCAAAGTCCTTCGTGAGCAAGTGAGCCGGTGAGACCTAACACATTATAAAGGAAGTTCCGATATCTCCTTGTAGTTCGGTATAGAATGACGAATGACTGACAAGCCAGAAGTTTTGCTCAAGTCAGAATCAATCATCCATGGAACAGGGATGTCGTCAGATCTTGGCAGTGAGGGGACGATACCCGGACTTTCCAAATCTCTGGCCGAGAAGTCCTCTGGAGGGCTTTGATCGCATGATAAGTCAATATGCAGGAGCTGCAAGGATACTTGCCAAATTTCATCTGCCGTACGTGCTACAGCATCTTATCACAAAACGTTAAGAATGACAAGGGCCGAACACTTGCATCCTGCTAGTTTGCCCGAATACTAATGAGAGGTTTATTAGATTAAGCCCACCCTGTTAACGTTTCATGATATGTACTTGCACTTTGCCTTCGTCTCTTGTCTGCTCAACGATCATGTTTCCCACGTCTATCCTCGCGGCTGTAGCCCTCTTTATCTTGTATTGCATTGCCCAAAAGCGTCGACGAGGAAGACTTCCTCCAGGACCTCCGCGTATCCCTATATTGGGGAACCTCCACCAGGCTCCCAAAGACGCCCCTTGGCGAACCTTCGACCAATGGATTCAGAAATACGGACCACTCGTCAGCGCTGACTTTGGTGGTACAACCGTGATTCTGGTTGGAGATTTTGCTACTGCTCGAGACTTGCTGGGCAAGCGCGCCAACATCTACAGCAGTCGCCCGCGCATGGTCATGGCCGGGGAGCTGACTTGCAAAGGACAGCATATCATGCTGCGTCCGTTCGACGAGACATTCCTCCTGCATCAACGACTCGAAGCCAGTGTCTTGAGCCCACGTGCCTCGGCTTGTTACACACCTGTTCAGGATATGGAGAGCAAGGTGCTACTGAAGAATCTTCTTAGTACTAATGAATTTCCAAAACAATATGAACGTTTTGCAGCTAGCATTGTATACGTCCTCGTCTACGGCTTTCGGATCGAGACAGGCGACGAATGGCAGTTGCTGACGGCGCACGAGGTGTTGAAGAACTTTACATATGCTGGTCAAGTTGGTGCTTGGATTGTCGACGCACTTCCAGTCCTGAACTACCTGCCTGGGTTCCTTGCTACGTGGAAGAAGCAGGCGGAACAATGGTACCAAATCGAAGCTAACCTTCACATGGTAAACATGAAGGAGGCTCTAGAACGCAGCAGTTGGAATTGGAGCAAGGACTTCAAGAACGCCAAACAAGCCGAAGGATTGACGGACGTCGATATTTCGTGGGATCTAGGTATCCTCTGCGACGCAGGAGTTGAGACGACAAACGTAACCTTGCAGATCTTCACGTTAGCTTGCCTCGCGTATCCCGAGTTCATTCCAAAAGCCCAACAAGAATTGGATAGTATCGTGGGATATAATAGGCTGCCAACTTTTGAAGACTTGGAGCACTTGCCGTATATCCAAGCTGTAGTAGAAGAAAATTTCCGATGGCGACATATCGCTCCTGCCGGGATTCCGCATGCAACAACCCGAGAAGATTATTACAAGGGGTATTGGATCCCTAAAGGGAGCACAATCATGCCTGTCTTCTACTCCATGTGCAAAGATGAGAAGCTCTTTGATTCTCCATTCGAGTTTCGCCCTGAGCGGTGGACAGACAAGACCCAGTTGAGCAACTTTGGATATGGGAGGAGAGTGTGCCCAGGGAGATTTATTGCGAGAAATTCTGTCAGTATAGCGATTGCACGGCTGCTATGGGCATTCAACATTCGACAGGCTAAAAAGGGAGGTGAAAAAGTGGTCGTTCACGAGGACATATTCACGACGGGATTCGTGTCAGCGCCAAAACCGGTCGAAGTGGTGTTCGAGCCTAGAAGCGAGCAGCACAAGAATGTAATTGAAAAGGAGTTCGGATCAGTGGATAAGAATGTCGCGAATATGCTTGATGATATCCGTAAGAGGCAGATTGCTGTTGGGTTACATCCTCGAGCGTAAGCAAAATAGGAGATTCAGAGGCCTCATTAGCGTGCATGACTAAGTAGGATTCAAAATACACTATTGACGCTCCCTGAATTGAAGCCTGTTTTTCTAATATATTAATGTTACATATTTTAACGGCTAATGAGTCGAGCAGAGAGGTATGCGTTCTTAGTGCGCTGCTTGCAGCCTTCTATCTCGTCTCTGGTGGTCTTTGTCCCATGTTAAGCCTAAACCAAAGTATGTTTGGGGCTAGCGTTAGCCTTAACATCTTTGGCTCGTTCTCTTTGTTCAAGCAATCAAATTTCAAGTGTAAAGGGAGAGAAGGCAAACTCCACGTAATAATAGTTAGGGACTCACCAGGTCGGCCAGGGAGCAGAAGACTACTTCGACGATAACCCGTGGCTTCGAGTACTAGGGAATGGACTCCACGATAGAAAGCTGAGGCCAAAAAGAAAAAAAAACAATATATTTCGAGCCTCTAATGAAGATTTATACATAACGCGACTCGGTTAGGAGAGGGCATATAATGCAGCAGAGAAGCTAGGTGCTATGCAAACGGGAGGTTGCATTTTTTTGAAAAAAATAAAAATTAGATAGAGGCGCCAAACGATCTCGATAGCATGTGCTCTTCCATATTTTCGCAAATCCAGCGACGAACAGGCAGAAGGCATAAAATCTCACTTCTGAAATCTCAAAGCCTCAAGAATCGAAGAACTTAGTAGGAGTGTTAAAGAAATAGGTGGCAGAAAGCTAGCCATGCTTTTCTAAGACTAGTTCCACGAACACCTTGAATTGGGGGCTCTGAGGGATTGGTCTAATAACCCTTCAGAAACGCTCGTTAGTTTTATGCTAGTTTTGGATGCCATGCAATTGGAGACTGGAGTGCGGAGAAGATCGAAGTGTCAAAGACGACGTAAGCTTATTGCTGCTAAGAAAGCAAAGCTATAAATGGTTCTAAATCAAGGTTTGGCGTCCAAAGACAAGAGAGCAGATGTGTAGAGGAAAATAATACTATACTCAGAAGAAAGACGGGGTTTACATAATCAGCCATAGAGAGTTGGAGGAATCATAGCATGTCGTCACATAAAGTGAAACATAAATATGATAGGGTCTATCTCGTAATCATCCTTCTAGAATGCATCAGGGTGTCCAACAGAATTCAATTTTTAGTCCTGAATTCCCTTTGCTATGTACTACGTTAGGTGATAATATGAAGTAAGCTAACTTAGAGACAGGAGACGTGACTAAGTATAAGTAAAATAGCACTCACGTGCTTGATCTGGTATCTACACCCCGAGGTCTCATTCATTTATCTACCTAAATGCACCTAGGCCTGCCTCATCCCTTCTTATTCTCTGTAAATCCCTGCACCCAATTTTCCTCGGCGCAGTCCCTCATCGCTTTCGCTATCAATATCGTAAATCTACCATTCCACTATACTAAAAGCACGCAAACCCAACGCCTAACGCCATACGAAATCCCAATGCATGGTCGCGAATAAAGAGGAGTAAGGCTGAAAATGGATGTTTTAGCTCGAATGCATTTTCTTGACCTTGTTGACGCCCTCGTACACGGCCCGATCCACCGCAGCGGCCACGGTTAGCGTGCCTCCAATGACAGCGCAGAGACCAACAAGGAAGCCAGAGAAGGATTTCGCGCGGACTTCACGGTTGATGACTTTCATCGGGGAGATGTCCTGTTCCTCGTCAGCACGATGTCCTCAAGTACCATCCTGCAGACCCATCGATAAGTCAAGGAAGGAGATAGTGACTTACGTAGGAGAAGAATACACCCGGGATGCCACCACGAGCGTGTATACGTTCTTTATGTCCCGCCTCCTCATCGCTCCCACCCTGCAGACTCCTCTTATGGCTCGTGACGCTATACTGATGCGTCTCAATGCTGCCCTTGTAGTTCGCGTCAATCGTCGCGCCAAGCGTATCCGTATACTTTGACGACATTGATTGCTGTTTCTCCCATCCAAGGGGAAGATAGGCCGTCGACACGACTTTGACAAAGTACATGAAGTTGTAAGCTTTCTCATCGGTATGTTGATCAGTATTGTCGAGAGGGTTGATGTGGTGGCTCGTCCACCCCCCGGGTCCAGTGGCCGCGTGCGACTTCTGCATCTTTTGGATTACGACATCCGAGAGTTGTGGACCGAAGCGGAGATGATGGATGGTGTGGGTAAAGGTATGTCCGCCCTCATCTTTGAAGTAGTTCTCAAGGTCATGTACATGTAGATTTCCATTGGAAAAACTCTTTCCTGGCGCGATGTGGAAGTTCCCAATTACTTTGTTGACACGGATTCCGCCTTCGAGACGGCACCCCTCTCTGCGCTGTTCGTCGAGATGCTCTGCGTAGTGTTCTCGTTCGCATTGTTCGACTCCTTCTCCACGGCCAAATGACCATGAGATTGAGGCATAGGCTTCGCGAACTTCCTCGCAGGTGTTGCAGCATCCGGATTTGGTGGCGGCGGGGGGTGGGGGAGCGCCGTAGCATTCTCCGCAGTATTCGGGGTCGAGGTGGAGGGCTTCGTCTTTGTGCCTGTTGGGTCCAATTAGCCCATCTCCAAGTAAGCAAACCGGCTGATATTAAGCAACATACAATTCCAAGGCCTTGGTCTCAATGACAGTGCTTCCTTCGTTCTCGGGCCGTAGGCGGACTTTGTTGATTCCATGCATCACGCCCATCTGCATTTCGCCCGACACATCCATAACATCGAGAGTCAGGAGTTCGCAAGGGAGGCGGGGGAATGTAATGTTCATCGAAATCTCCATCTTCTCTCCTATTCAGTATCCCGTCAGTAAATCATGTAGCGACATTCCCATGCTTCAATTCCTCATCTTCAGCCTTGCCAAACACCTCCCAAGAGCAGCTGAAATGAACCCACCTCGACCCTTATCTACAACCAGCTCCGGCCTCACTATGACCCTTCTATAATCTGCCCATTCTCCCCACACTAGCCAAAAGATAACCAGCAGACTCGTTATCGTTACTACGCCACCGCTTGTCGTCCGAATGCGGGCATCCTCGACCGTCTTCGTAAAAGCATCGAGCCTCGTAAACCGCGACTTAGCAGGCATTGTAGAACTGCAAATCACTGAACCACCCAGGACTTGAGATTCAGTGAATCACGGATGAATCCTTAGATTGTTGGGTTTTCTTATGAGGTTTCGTCGAGGCTACGACCGTCTAGAAAAAGTTCGGGGGAGCCGCAGGGCAATTGAAAGTTTCCCAAGGTGCAATTCCGGGGAAGCGGAATGAGAAGGGGAATCAAAGGAGTGAGAGTGCACACACAGTGCTAAGGCGTCTGTATCATGGCACAGCAGAAGGGAATATTAGAGGCAACGTGGTTGTGTGTGAGGGCGGAATTATGGCTGAATAAAGGACAGCTATGCGATCTGATGCTAGCTCCAGGTACATTAAGAAATCCGCGCTAGCGCGTTTCGGGAATGGCAGCAGTCGCGGCTTTCACCAGCACGTGCCGAGCTCACTCACCACTTTGACTTACTATCATGAAAAGACCTACAATTTGAAGCTTTTCAAGAAATTGTATCCCGGTATCATCTATCTAATCCGAAATCCATTTACCCACAAACTCCTCCGCGGCCATCATTACTTCCTATTACTTAATCGTCTCAGTGTGACTTCCTCTGCACATTCGCCAACGCACTGTTCAGAGCCGCTGTGATATCGACATGGAATAAAGGTCTGTTTAAGCCCTGTACAACCGCAACCCTAGCCGGCCTCTGCCCAATGGTGCCATACGCCTTTGATGTACTGATCTGCTTGTCGAGTGAATCGCTCTCGGAGCTAGGCGTCGAAACGCCTTCCTCAATATCATCTGCAGTACTAGATCCACGGCGTTTGGCAGCCTCATGCAGGGCCCTTTTGTTCTCCCTGGCCTCCGCTGCGGCTGCGGCGCTGTTGCTACCACCAATCTCGGCCACGCTAAAGATAGGTTTCCATCTATGGACACCCGAGTCAAGTGGATCTGGGGAGTAGTATCCGAAGCCGGCGGCCGCAAGCGCACGCTTTGTCCATCGGTTGTTGATGCAGCAGAAGTGCCAGTCCACGGTATCGGGAGCCGCATACCGATCGAGTTGGTTGCGGACGTCAATGAGATTCTGGACTGAGGTGATGTCGACATTGTTGACTGAAGAGAAGTCGAGAATGACAGCTTTCAATGTAGGACGGTGATCAGTTGGGTCAACTTCCTTGCCGCGGCGTGGGCCGGGGTCGTTCCATGGCCGATCCTAATTCAATGAGCTCGATGCATATTAACAGTAGAAGGAAGCACTCACTCCAGGTTTGCCATATGTAGCAGGGTTCGTGCGGCGAGTCTTCTTAAAGATGGTGTCGACCAATTGATCAAGATATTGGTTCGCATTTGGATAGTTGAAGCCCTCAGAAAATCGATAGATGAAAATGCCGGGGTATGGATCCTCCAGATCAATTTGCGGATTGGAACCATCATGATGGCCGATTGGCAAGAAGACATTCCTGACCGAGTCTTCTCCTTCAGATGGAGACTTTCGCGTAGTGATCCCACCACCCTCTTTGGTATCGTTCGTGGGATTAAGGAGATGATCCCCAATAACGGAGTGGATTTTAGCTCTTCCTAGGAAGCGACCCTTGGCTTTAAAAGCGCGGAATAAGAACATGGCTGCCGAAGCTGAGACAGTCGTGTAGATTCCGTTCTCAATGCTGCTGAAGACTGTTACAAACACCCCAGCAAAGAAAATAGGCACTTCTAGAGGCGATATCCTCCAAAATTGGTACACAGTATTTGGTGGTGTAATCAGGTCTCCGACAGCATGTATAATGACGGCGGCAAGGGCAGCGTTTGGAATGTAGAAGAACATAGCTGGAAGAGCATAGATGGCGAGCAAAACCACGATAGCTGTAATGACACCTGCAAATGGAGTCCGCACACCAGCCTTTGACTTGATAGCGGTTCTGGAGAAGGACCCAGTGGCGGGGTAAGCGCCAAGCATCGGCCCCAAAACGTTGGTAACGCCAATAGCGACCAATTCTTGAGAAGGATCAATGGTATAGTTGTTGACTCTTCCAAAGGACTTCGAAATTGATATGTGTTCAATTAAAAGGACAATGACAGTTGAGGGTAGCTCAGAAGCAAAGGCTGAGAGTATATTTGTGGTGATTGGGGGAGCTCGGGCATGTTTGAAACCTAAGACAATGTTAGAAGATGATCGCTATCGAAGACTTCATGCTATACCTCGCGGGACGCTGCCAAGAATGCTGAACTTGGGATGCTTCCGATGATGCCTATTAGCCAAGTAGCTGATCAAGACATAGAGCAAGATAACGAAAGCAGTTCGTAGAGTGCTGATAAAAAAGAACATCTTCCTCCTGTTCGGGTATCTCTTGGCCAGGAAGTTGCATGTCATGCGGATGAGGTACAGCAAGAATAGGGCCGTGAGTCCAACAGCGGCATTCATGTTCGATCGCCCAAGGTGCTTCAAGATGTTTATGACTACCTTGTAAGTGGATTCACGAGTCGAGAAACCAGTGATGCCCATAAGCGTCGGCACTTGACCCACGGCGATATTGAGGGCAGACCCAGTCATGAATGCACTGATGGCTGCCAGTGTGATGAATTCTACAATCCACCCAAGTCGTGCCAGGCCGAGAAAGAGTACGATAGAGCCAGCAATGATGGCTAGGGCTGAAGCGATGATATCCTTCGAGACGCCCGGGAGTTTCTTGGACGCTTCAATGACAACATTTCCGGTGACAGTTGATAGAACCGCGACGGGCTACAAGAGTTGTTAATGGTGGACGCAGGTTATATTCTGAGCCGCTACTTACGCCAATGGTAATGTCTTTGGACGTGGCGAAGAACCAGTAAATCAGAACTCCCATGAATGATGAGTAGAGCCCGAACTCAACGGGAAGTTGGGCGAGCTTTGCATAGGCCATGCTCTGTGGCACGACGACGGCACCAACGGTGATACCTACGCACTCTTAGCTTTCTTACATGATGTATGAAGGTGGCGGGAAACATACCCGCGACAAGATCTCCGATGAGCCATTGGGCGTTGTAGCGAGTGATCCATTGAAGGAAGGGGAACAGCCGGATGAAGTACTGCGCGACGTCATGGCCGGAGGGAGTAATATCCTGAAGCCATTCTAGGGTGGTAGGCTCTTGTTCGACATATGTATCTGCAGATGAGACCGAGAAGACTGATTCTCCTCGAGTGACACGCTCGGAGCCAGTTTCGTTGCGGTAGTGTAGGTCGATGCCTAAGACTTTGGCAAGGCCATGGCCAACTTTGGTCCTTGTTGAAGTCATGATAAGGGAAAAGTTGTTGTTAAAGTGTATATAGCCAGAAAGGTTTCTGGCAGGGATTGGAGGGTTGGTCAGACACTGTCCAGTCCCGGAAGGAAGTCCACGTGCGTTCTTACCCCTTCACTTGCAGTGGCCTGACAGGTGCCAACAAGCTTCAACAAGCTTCCACAGGTTACATCCAGGTCCTTGGGATTTATAGACAGCGAGCTGCACTGATCTCCCCCGCGTGTGAATAAATGTAGATTGCTTTTTGGTAATTCCGCCCACGAACCGTACTATTTGAGAGGCGGTTGGCCTGGGCTTGGGCCTTGAAGGGCAGCAGCAGCCACAGTTACGAGGGGTGGAGGGCTGGGAGTGGAGCTAGGCTGCCCTGTTGATGGCGTTTGCAAGCGGAGCAGACGATGAATGGACAGACCAGAAATCACCCCAAATTGGTTGATAAGTAACAGATATTGCGTGACGCCAGACCGCTAAGTGCGGAAACGAAATTTGTAGTCAAGGGATCTTGCGTAAGAGCAAAGTGCAGAAAAGATGGCAGGGCCGGAGCAGTCTTGGAGACTGACGGCAAGAGGTGTGCTAAGAACAGTGTGGAAAAGGAACTTTAATTGGGACAAGCAGAACATTTCCAAGCAGCAGAGTTTGACAGGTAACATAATAAGACGAAATTCTTGATGTGCTGGGGGGCGGAGGTACGAATTGGAGTGGAAGGGAGCATCTGTCCATGTCCTACACCGCGCTGCCGGAATTGAGACAAAGAGCGCCCAAACTACGGGATCGCAGGGATGCTCGGCTGAGGCGACAGGGATTATCAGCTTGGCAACCACGGGGGACTTTGGACGCGACGACACGGCTCCACAACTGGCCAATGAAAAGACTGGTCTGCACAATGGCGTGCTTGATTGCAAAGATGTCGTTTTGCTTTCAGTGGACACGCTAGGCTCTTTGACCGCGCTGAAGGAAGCTTCTTGCTTCTCAAAGCTCCAGAACAAGACCAGGTGGAGCTGTGTGGCTTTTTGCTCCGGAAACGTGACCAAGGAAAGTCGGCACATTTCTATAATGGAAAGCCCCTTGGGGTGATAAATGTTCCGCAAATTATGACGTCTGATTGCGAATTTGGAATATGCTTCGATGACCGTGGGAGTCTCGAGCTCGAAGGCGCTCGTATTCACTCGAGAGCTCTTTTACCTTGTTGCGCGCCGTGGATTTTGGAGCTCGGTCAAACGATCAGGATTCGTTAGGAAGGTGCCACAGCATCACCGACTTCTTTTTGATGTTGGCAAAAACGCAGGGCCCGGTTCATTAGTGATGAGTTCGCATCACATGCAGTGCGCCTAGACAGGGATACTGTTCACACGTGGGACCAACGAAGGGCTAGAGATGCATGCGTCCATCTTGATGAAGAGTGAGATAGGCGTCCGGTCGAGGATGGGTGGGTTAAGTTGAGGAGGTCGCGTTGAGGTCGCCAGCGATACGCAGTTGACCGATAAAGGCCTGCACGTGGCTGCCCTGGCCCAGTAATTGTTGGACAGATATTCGCTGTGGCCTCAGGCAGAAGGCTGGTAGATAAATGTCCGATTACACTCTCGGTTGAGACTGGTAGAAATTGAAAAGTGACTAGCACAAGATGGAGGCCGGCGAAACGCTTCATATGCCCGCTTCTGCGTCCCGTATTATCTCACTTCGCTATCCTCTTTGCAAGTCTCGAAAAGCTGGGGAGGAGCACTACAAGCATTAGGTCATGGTGGCTGCTCAGGTGTGGTTGATTTAATCATAAGTGTCCTAGGACAAAGCCGGTGAGGGTGGCATTTGATTGGCTGTCGCGTCCGGACGCGCCAAGCATAACGTACACCTCGACCTTTGGAACCATGAATACAAAATTTACTCCACCCGCACTACCAAAGCTCCGAAGGCCAGCAAAATGAGCCTCGACATGCTGCTACTCAAGGGTCCTCCTTCGGGCCACCTCGAGGGAGGGTTAAACGAGCTCCGTTACACGGTTCTCATCGACGGCATCCCCCAAAACAGTGAGGGCATGGTGAGTGCTTTTACATGGTAAACGCAGTATCTTGAGCCAGTTACATAGCGCGACTGCGCTAATTGGTGTCGCTCTCACTCTTCACCGTGTCATCCACCGTCTTCGCCCTCCTATTACTGACCCTCTGGTATATAGTCTGAGCTGCGCATGTACATCTGGCTCATCCTGCTCAATGCCCCTCCTCTTCGCACCGACGTTTACCTCGACCTTGTCCGGCAGGGTGCTTCTCCCGCGCACGCAAAAATCCTCAACGATGCCTTCCGCACGTTTCAGGGTGATCCTCTCTTCCGTCGGCGCGTCACTCAGAACAGCATCACCCGTGTTCTCAATGCCGTTGCGTGGAGGCTGAACGACGCGCACGAGGCTCGCGTCAACGGCTGGCAGTCTCCACCCACGTTGTCAGAGTTCGGCGGTAGTCCGGACACCACTATGATGTCCCGCCATTCTCTCACCACGGGCGCTCGGACGGACGCGTCAACGACAAACGACGCTGAACAGATCGGTTACGTACAGGGAATGAATGTGCTCGCCGGGCCATTCCTCTATGCTGCACGAAGCGAAGTAGAAGCCTTTACCGGGTTCGAGAAGCTGATCACTCAGGAGTGTCCGGGATACGTCCGAGGTTCTATGGAAGGTGTGCACAAAGGTCTGGACCTTGTCGATAGAGTTCTGAAGGTGGTGGATCCAAAGCTCTATGATCATCTTATGGCCAGCCACATGCATGCCAAGATCTACGCCTTTGCATCTGTTCTCACTATGAGCGCTTGCACCCCTCCTTTGACCGAAGTCCTTCGCCTGTGGGATTTCCTGTTCGCCTACGGCCCTCATATGAATATCCTGTGTATAGTAGCCCAGTTGGTTCTGATTCGAGACCAAATCCTAGCAAGCTCAAGGCAAGTGCATCCGTGCTTGTAATTGTGGTTACCTTCACTGACAGGATCGTAGCCCAAACCAAATCCTGCGAAACCTTCCTAGTTTGAACGCTCCGAGGATCATTCCAATGACCATGAGCTTTGCAGGCAAGATTTCGGAAGACCTTTACGAGGAAATTCTCAACCATGCAAAGTAATGTAGTCAGGGCAAAGGATGAAAAACTGTTAAAAGGGTTTATGCAAAAGTTGGAATATATACTCTCAGGAGCAAAATGGGCAAATGATGCGATTGTTATGAAGCATATAAAATACTTGGAACCGCATGCCACGGGCGTCTGGAATATTTACGAATATGATACCAATTTTTCTTTATCTCCCACCAACCCTTTTTTCCCTTCCGAATGCTCACATCTTTTAACTGTCCCCTCTGATCCGGATGATTACCTTCGACTGCGCCTTATTTTAGGCTATCATCTGCCAAAAAAAAAGGTGTGAGATTTCTAGCACCCAAGGAATACAGGTAGGAAATTTGGCGGGGAGTCGACGACTCCATCGTCTATCCTGCAAGGGCTTGGCTAGCTACTCTAAAGCTTGATACTACTACATCAACTCTGTGACCAGGGAGCAGCTTTCCACTCAGCCATATCCCCGGTAAAGTGAGTTAGCCTTGAATGACAGCGAAGGGATTTGCGGTCCCCTCGCAATGAGCGGCCTAGGATTGACGTGTCAAAGGCGAACTACTACCACACAAAGTGCTCTCCGTCGGGGAAAGAAGAAGGCATGAGGAGCCATAATGTTCCGCAGGTCGAAGACAGTCGCGGTGACCAGCGTCATGCTGTTCCACAACCCAAGCTCTCGGAGCAATCCATACTATTCAATCATATTTCTCACATCTCCACCCACAACTACCGAGGACGTGTAGCATTGTTAGGCAAAAGCACAAGATGACAACAACTACAAAGAGCACCTTCGCATGTATCCTCAGTGCAGGTACAGGCCTCGAAACCCAGGCCAGAATAGTAGCAGTCATGAGATGTAACACGAGCCGCCGTCGCATTTGGGACAGCTGTACTTCGAGAGTGATGCGTAGGAACGCATTCGTAGGGTTTGATACTACTGTGTCCTCGTTTCCGTTTTCAACTACCCATACTTACAGGGAATGATGGGAAAGCCACCTTGTCACATATCGAGCGGCCCAATAGGTAAACCATCTCACATCAGTCCCGCGTTTGGTGCGCCATTGGGTACCCATCTGCGGTGCACCCTGCCAGCCGTAAGCAACTACCTCTTACCAGGCCCAGGTCTGTATACGATATTACCGTACTCGGTGTCACACTAAAAGATCATGCTCAGATGAGGTCTGCTGAAAGAGCTTTCCTGCTGCAAAGAAAGACTGGTAGATGGAGCAAATCAGGGTGGCAAAGGGAAACGAGCTTAACCACGGAGGCCCTTTCCCGGAGACCCCAGTTCAGCCCAGAACATCCTCTGTGGACTACAAGCTAATCTCACTAAACCCGCTTTCACTCAGGTTGTGTTCTTAAGATTCACAGAGGGTTTCAATGAGGGAGAGTTTCTCTTCCGGAGCTCTGCGGACGAAACTTCCACTCACCTGTGCTTTGCCAATACAGGTCGATGCTTCTTCGGGTCTCCTCGTATCACCTTTGTAATTAAGGGTCATGTCCTACATCTACTTGCCGAATTCGCGTCCTCCCACCCCACTCACTGCCATCTCCACACACGATCCTGATGCAGCTTACCCCTACGCTTAGCCTGCAGCATATCTGGTCATCTATACTATGAGTCGCTGTTTTTGGTCCACCCTGCCCAAAGATATCTCTAAGATCTCTCGTCCATGGCACTAATTCAACCCTACAATCACAATCAAGCTGGTATGTCCCCCAAACGGCATAAACGGCAAGCACGATAGCAAGGGAGAGGTCGACTTCCTAGTCACCTGAACTGCTCTTGGAGGGTTTTTTTTTTCGATAGATCCTAGCCTACCGAGATGCCGAATTGAAGTTTCTTTATCATCCCATTGACAAATACGATGCTGGGCAAAATCAAGCTTGTATTCAAGCTAAATTGCGGAATTCAACTTACCCCCGAAGTGTGGTTTGGCGCCTGCTCTCTAATTTTAGTGCTATCTGGTAAATATATTCTTATCTGGTCACTGAAGTCGCGGTCCAACCTTATCGGTATTTTATGGGAAGAGAATCCGAATAAGCCTCCCCAGTCCCGAATGACGAAGTCTTAGTCCATCATCCGAGATCAAATCGGTAGGCTTGACAACCTCGAGCGGAGCTTCGGGGCGACATGGTATATGCAGTTAAGTTCTCCGAAACAAGGCATTGAATAATGAAGGACTTATCGAATCCATAGGGTATGAAAACTACCTATCAATAGCGCGACATTCGCGGCTAGGCTGCTGTAGCTATAGACTCGGTTTCGCCAAGAAGATATTTCATTTTTGGTCTAGGGCACACAATATCTTTGGAGATGCTTACTGGAATTGTAATAAATGTGTCAGTGAAGATTTTCTGAGACCGCTTTTTGAAACATACAACTACCTTTTCTTCGAGATGATTTGAATTCACCTTGAGCAGCCGGCCGATAACACTAAGGCGGACTCGGTGTACTGGATATGGCTCCACATAGCCAATCAATTCTGGAATTTCTGCCCTCCAAGGGCCTTTCTCTTGTGCGGAGTTTACAAGAACTGAACGGCCATCCGTACTAGAGGATCTCAGCATTGAGGGCGTTATCTGTTTCCAGTCACGAAGAACACTAGCAGCGCCATAAAGCATATTCATGCTATCTTGTCTATCGATAAGGGCGACCAGAGACACAGTGTGTGATGGTATGAGAGGGTTAGGTGAATGAACAAGTCAGCAAAGAAAACTCTCCTCTCGATGTGTAATCTCGCATCGTGTGCCCATATCTCATCAATGGTTCGCGCTTCATCCTAGTGGGAATCAAGGGGCAGGAGTAAGAGGAAATGGAAACATAGTCGTCGATGCCTACATTCAAGATCACTCAAACTGCCTCCCCAAGCAATTTCTGGAGGATGAAGGCCGACACCAGCACAACAAGGGGGAACGATGTCAAGGGGCAGCTATTCATTAGATGTAGAATAGAGGTCCGAGTATGGGATCTGTGGATAATCTAACGGCATGGCTCGTTTGAAAGACCTATTTCGCTAGTTAAAAAATCATAGCTTCTGCTAATTTTTCAATCTCATTTTCACTTAAACTACATACTCTTAAAGACCTCTACCTCGAGAATTAACGCCCTTGATCTTGACGCCCGTTTCAAGCTCTTGCTGTTCTATGCAATGTATTCGTGATGACATTCACTCCCAGCAAAGATAGTAGCACACAAACTGAAAGCTTGAAGGATTGGGCGCAATGGTTTCATGGCACTATATTCCAGAGCTTTCTATAAGATATTCTTAGAGAGTGCGTGGCTGTCCAGGCCTGGATTTTCGCTTCTGAGAAGGGAGTTCACAGTTGAGCCTCAAGCTAGAGGGTGTTTACCCATGAAGCTGGAGCTGATGACTTTACATATACTCACATTGATGCATATTACTGAAGAAGCACTGCATCACTGACGTTTTCCTCATTTTGCATCGCCTTATCCGCAGAATAACAATAAGACGTATGTGCAGCACCAATCATATCCACATTGAGACTATCTTAGCTAGACTCAGCTTTTGCCTCGCGCATACCTTTGGTGACTACGTTGGATTTTGTCTCCACGGCCCTACCCACATACTAGTTTCGTAGTTTAGGTTGGACATGGTTCTTATTAGAATGCCTTTTAGATTCCCCCGAAGAGAGTGGAGAAGTTTTGGAGAACGACTCTTGTTTCAGATCCAGAAGATAAACTGTGAATTGTATCGAGGAAGTCTCCCACCGCATTTGTGCAGTGAGCGGCGATTTGGAGGTATTCCATGCCCAAATGTCAAGTGGTCTTTTACTGCCCATTGTTCTTGTGTTGGCCTTTTTTGTGATTGAAGAGGCAGAGGAAATGTCTACAGAGAAGTGTTGTCGGAATGGAGGGGGCTGTATGTAAACCTCGCAGGTAATAGCGGATTTGCGGGAGCCCCCTGTCGTCTAATCTTCCCTAATCTGTCTTAATATTTAGTTAGCCTGCTAATGAGATTTCCTTGATTGTTGCTAGGTTGCGGTTGATAGTAATTCATCAGTGCAGGCTGAATTTAGGATAACTCAGAATCCTGGGATCACATAGTCTCCATGAGTCATTAACCAAAAAGAAGCCCAGAGCAAGGAGATAAAGAAATTCGTTAGATCACTCCATCCCACCTCATTCACGAAGCTACACCAGATCTCCATCTCATCCCTTCTACCCGAGACCGTTTACAACCTTTCCTGTGAGCTCCTAATTCACCCTCCCCTTCGACCACGCACTCCCAAAAGCAAAAAGCCCATAAGTCGCCAACAAGCTCAACGCGATTGGCAATGGCTTCCCCAGTTTAATTGCTCTAGGAAGCGAGCTTCCGGCGAGCACAATCGAAGCCAGGAGACCTAGCTCGACACCATAGGGAGTGCGGTTGCGGATTCGGAGGCCACCGAGCATGTACTGTTCTCATTAGCTCGTTCTCATTGGAGCATCCACGTGGGACTATCTAGATAGAGGGCTGAGAGGAGGAGTATGGATAAGCGTACAGTAGGTGCCAGGAAGTGATCATCCTCCGCACCGTGCGCAAGCGAATACGATCTGCCCACGCAGTTTTCTATGAGGATTTTGGGGATAGATTGCAATTAAAAATTAAAGCTTTTAATTTATATAATAGAATTAATAACAGAGAATCTTTTAGAGTAGCAATCGTTCACTAGCGGGTGGAGCCTCCCTGGGCAGCCCTGACGTCAGCAACGCGCTGGGGCATAGATAATATACACTTCTGCTAATCTTCTGGCTTCAACCTATTCTACTCCTT